CCCCCCCCCACCTGTTTGTTTCAGTAATACACGAAATTCACTAGTGCGCATTTTCTTTACAGCATGAAGAAAGGCCCTATCGCCAACAGTGACAATATTCCCTATGACTACATCGTCATCATCGACCTGGGCTCCAAGGGCTCACGAGTGTTTGTCTACAACTGGCTCAACCCATCTCACGCTTTGAAGGGTCTGGTGGACTTGAATCAGTACCAGTCGTTTAAAGACTTTAAACTCGTGAAGTCGGCCACTACCCAAGACAATGGTACTACCCCCGAATCCGACGACGAGGACCAGGACAACTCGGACTCGGACTCGGACTCGGACCCGGACTCCAACTCCGGCTCCAAGCCCCAAAAACAAAAACAAAAACCAACCAAACAAAAACTGTACAAAGCCCGACTCCCCAAAGTCAACTCCAACAAAAAATGGAAACACAAGGTCAAACCCGGCATCTCCACCTTTAACCTCAGTCCACAGAAAATAGGAAACCACCACCTCAGGCCACTTTTGGCGGTGGCCAGCCGCGTGGTCCCCAAGTCCCAGCACCACCGTACCCCCATATTCTTACACTCCACCGCCGGAATGCGTCTTTTGACCCCCACCGAACAACAGAAGATCTTGGACACCGTGTGTGAGTATTTCCAGCTGAACTCCGACTTCTTCTTGCCGGACTGTGCCTCTCACATCAATGTCATTGAGGGTGATGTCGAAGGGCTCTACGGGTGGTTGGCCATCAACTATCTTGTGGGCGCATTTGACGATCCCCAGAACCACCAGCACGGCAAGAACCACACGACCTACGGGCTCTTGGATATGGGTGGCGCCTCCACTCAGGTTGTGTTTCAGCCCAACCACTCCGAGATCACCGAGCACCAGAACAACTTGTACAATGTGAGCTTGTGCCAGCTTCCTAAACTCAAGCACCTGCAACCAGACAACGCGGTGGGCAAGTACTTGAGGCCTTCTCCGTTGGCCTTTAGCGTTTACTCCGATTCGTTCTTGGGGTTGGGAATGTCGCAGGCCTATACCAAGTTTTTGGGGTTTTTGGTTGCAAATTCCCCCACAAAACCCGGGGTCTTCTATAACCCGCCAATTTCAGACCCCTGCTTGCCCAAGGGATACGTCAGCAACTTGAAGTTGGGCGACGACAGGTATGATTTCACCGGTGACTCCAACTTCGAAACGTGCTTGAACTCCATCTTCCCCATTTTGTCCCAAAGCTCCTACCGCTCCAGTTCGCCACATTCAGGGAATTGCAAGCAGGACAATGATGACAGCAAGGTCAGCTCGTGTCTCTTGAACGACTTGATTCCGGCGTTTGACTTTGACATCAACCATTTCTATGGGGTGAGTGGATACTGGTATGCTATTTCCACCTTGATGCTGTACAACCAGCCCCAACTATCCCCAAGAGTCGAGAAACACCCTACCGATACTGAATACGACTACAAAGTGATTTCCGAAAACACCAAGAATATCTGCTCTAAGTCGTACAGTGAATTGATAGATCTAAATAAAATGAGACCTGAGAGTCAGCAGCTTTCCACCGAAGAATTGACCAACTTGTGTTTCAAGTCGTCGTGGATCTTGAACTTTTTGCATTTGGGTCTTGGGTTTCCTCGATTTGGCATTGACGAAATTAAGCAGGACGACAAGTTCAAGTCGTTGCGGTTGGTGGATAAAATCAAAGGGTCCGAGTTCTCCTGGACTTTGGGAAGAGCCATTCTTTACGCCAATGATGAATATGTTGAAGCCTTCAACAACTATACGCTGCAGAACTCGGTGGCATCTCCCAGCCTCTTGGCTCGTGCTGGGTTCACCTACACGCCGTCTCCTAATTCCTTTCACTACGGAAGCGAACAGAACGGAGTGGCCAAAAGACCCCAGTTTGTGAAGCCCGTTCCTAATGCCAAGTACAATTACTATGACTACGAGAAGAGTAGCAGTAAGGGCAAAAACGAACTGAAATGGGATATCGAGCCTCATCGGTGGTATGGAGGGTTTATGTTTTTAGTGTTGTTGAGTCTTATATTCTGGCTCCTTTTGGGACTGAAAGGCCGGTCTAGGATTGTTGTACGCATAAAAAATGACTATCAGAAGGCAAAGGACATGGTGCTGTCGTGGACTAATCACACCTATCAACGGGTCAGCGACGTGGAGATTGGTGAGTATCAGCTTCAAAATTTGGAAGTTCCAACGCCGTCACCTCCGGCAAACTTTGTCATTGGGGAGTAGACTACTTGAGATTAATCTAAACTTGTCTTGTCTAACAATATAAATATATAACCTCACTCATAGAGCGTATCCTTAATAGGAAGCTTCCCATCCCTAATCAGGTAAAAGATTTTTTGGATTCTGTCCACAGCTATATCAACATCTCCCACATGAATTCCATCCTTGTAAAATGGAGACCGTCTATTCTTAGTAAAGAACCGAGACATTGGCTTCAAAAATTGCTCTTCCATCTTTGTATGGGCAAAGTAAAGAAAGCCTTCTACTGGAGGAGATTCTGCTCTTTCAATTTCCCACTTTATCTGCTCTTCTTTTGATGGGAGCTCGGTAACCCCCGACCATACACCAGCTATAGCTGCGGCACTGGTCTCCATACAGAAAAACGTCAAGGTTGATGATGTCAATCCCGTGCTTGCAATCGTAGGGTCTTCGATCCAAAAGGTGTTGTAGTACAAACCAGGAAGTCTCCTCTTCTGACGATCAAACTTTACTAATCCCTTCAAAAACGGGAAATGGAAATGATAGCCGGTGGAAAACACAATCTTGTCGAACCCTGAATCCCGGGATCCATCCTTGAAGGTGATTTCACCGGTCTTGCCATCGATGCTGTCGATCTGAGGCTTTAAAATAACACCTCCGGTTCTCAAAGCACTATTAACCCACTTGTACACTTTGTTTTCTTCTCGCAAAGCCACCGTGAACGACTTAGCCAACCGAAGAACGTACTGAATGGTGTTCATGGTACTGATACTTCCTCCTACCACCAATACCTTTTTATCTCTAAAATCTTCATGGTTTCTGTAACTATTGGCATGAGAAACCACTCCCGGAAAGTTTCGGTTGAACTCCGCTAATCCGGTGGTATGGGGGAATACTGGCACCCCAAAGTGTCCTATTGCCACAAGCACTGCGTCAAACTCTTCCTGGTACCATTCTTCATGGTCTCCATCGTAAACCTTTCGAATGCTCAACAACCATTTACCAGACTCCGTCTTGACCACCGACTCCACCCGTGAGTTGAACCTGTAGTACTTTTCAATGCCTTCTTTGGCCACAAACGTCTGGATCCGTTTACATAATTCCACCTGGGACATCAATGGGTATATTGTCCGTTTTTCATCGTGGAACTTATCTTCGTTCTCCATGTACGAGAACCGTGTGAACCTCGCAGGAACGTTGGTGTAAAGGTCCTTGTAAACACCTCCAAACCGCCACAGCAAGTCTCGGGCTTTCTGGTCGAAATCAGTCTTGACAGGGTTTTGTTCCAGGCTGCCTTCGAGCCCAGCAGGAACATCTGCTGGAGGACTAATGACATCAGGCTCATTGTACCGCTCGGTATCCAAGATATCTTGTGGTGGCACTTCCAAGTCCGTCTGGTCGAACGATGGGTTCCAGCTGCCACCAGCCCTTTCACGTTGTTCAAATCCCACGATCTTGGTGAACTGAGGGTTTTTTGCGGCCTTTCCATCTCCCTCGAGAGTGATGGTGGAAATACCTCCTCTTTCTGTGTGAGTCAATTCGTATACGCTAGCTATTCCACTGGGGCCCCCGCCTATAACGGCGACCGACCGCACATCCAATACCATTTGCAGTGTCAACTGACAATTTTTTATTCTTCAGGTGTAATCTCTGCGCGCACCCAAACTGTGGAAACTGTGGATCCAAACAAATCTGATGTCTTTTGATATAAACTGGGACAACCTCGTGGGAGATGAGAGCATCAACGAGAGCATCCGCCGGTTTCTTGACGAGCAGCTCCAATCGCTAACGCTCCCGTCCTTCATCAGTGACCTCTCGGTGTCTGGATTCGATTTGGGCTCCACTGCCCCAGATATCTCGATTCTTCACGTAGGAGATCCATTCGATGAGTTCTACGACGAGAACTTGAAAGACATAGATGAGCGCCTCAAGAGCTTGAATATGAGCTATATGCATGGGCGCAACAGCTACGAGTACTCCAGCGATGAGGACGACTATAATGACCATCCTAATGACAATGATAATGCCAGCACCAACATCTCGATATTGGAGTTCCCGAAAATAGGCGGCAAGTCTGGGGCAGAACTCCACCGCCAGGAGCAGACCCTCACGCGAAGCTCGCTGGACTCGTTGTCGTTGATGCTTGGAAATTCCAACTTGAACTTCCTTCACAACCACAACCTCAATAACCTAGGGCTTGGAAACCTCAACTCCCCCAGCCATATACCCACACGAGCCGATACTCCCACGCGGTTTCTCAACCACGTCACGCGGCCTGGCTCGTACCGAGATCCGTCCAGCTTTACTGGTTCTGATAGGCATGAAAATGATATTCAGTTGACGATGGAAGTCAACTACCACGGCGACTTGGAAATCAATGTGCTTGTCAACCTTCTTGTCAACTACCCTTCACCCAAGTTCATCTCGCTCCCCATCAAACTCCATATCACAGGTTTGGTTATCCACTCAATTGCGGTGGTAGCCTACTTGCGAAACCTGGTATTTGTGTCGTTTCTATGTGATGTGAATGAGCAAACCTCGGACTACTTCTCGTCTTCGATCCATTCGTATGGGGTCAACTCTCCCGCCAATCCAGGTAACTCGGGGGGAAACTTCGTCGAGTATATCAACTCCAGTAACACCCAAGAGCGTATAGATATCATCAAGAAGGTAAAAATCGAGTCTGAAATCGGAGGAGTTGAGCAGAACGTGTTGAGGAACGTGGGAAAGGTCGAGAAGTTCCTTATTGACGGGCTTCGGAGTTTGCTTCGAGAGGAAGTAGCTTGGCCCAGCTGGTTGTGCTTTGACTTGCTGGACGACGATGATCATGAGTCTGCCAGTCCCAACGCCAGTGAGTAATATTGTTCTGGTTTTCTGACTAATACTTCAGAGTACTTGTACATAGAGGAATGCAACTAGATGCTTCACTTCAATTTAAAGCGATACCATAGTGGCTGCTGATCACCTTACACGGATTACCGTTGAAAATATTCTTTATACCCCTGCTCTAAAGACTATGTTTCTTCTCAGACACTTTGCAACCACTCGACTTTTTCTGGGTCTTCTTTGGTTGCAAACCAATATTGCCGTTAAGTGAACCTCCAGCTCTATATCTCTTCTTTGTTCCACCTGGCCTATATAATAGCCATCAGTGTAGAGAGAGTTCAAGTAAAAATAGTAGCTAATTAAGCTAGCAAAGTTAAACATTTCAATAGGGTGGAATATTACATAATCAATCCGCACGATTCACCTCATCACGTCTTCTCAGTATGTCAGATATATCCCTGCTAATTTCAGGCTTCCAATTCAAACAGGTCCTCCAATCGGATCCACAGACTAAGAACATTGCTTTGCTCGGAACTATCAACAACGAGAACGCAATTGTATCTTTGGAAAAATCCCATTTCTTCATCTCGAACGATACGGTAGATATCAACCAAACCGTCCAGGAATTGCAATTGATCCAAAACAATGACGTGTACTACTGGTCGGCGGCCTCATTGGTTCAAAAGCTCCCCGATTTACCTGCTGCTAAGTTGAACTTGATCTACCCGGCCACCGAAACACACATCCAGAAACTAAGTACTCAAGTATCCCATTACGTGCTTGAAACTCCCCAAATGTATCAGGAATTTGCCGTTTCCTACATCGAGTCAATGAAGGGCGATAGAATCAAGTGGGTCTACAATATCTTGTTCGAAGGTAAGGAGAGCGAGACATTTGTGTACCATGACAAAGACCCTGAGACAGGGTTTGTTCTTCTTCCAGACATGAAGTGGGATAGAGTCAGTATGGACTCGTTATACCTCTGCTGTATTGTCAACAGAACAGATATTTCTTCCGTCAGAGACTTGAATGCTTCCCACGCTTCTTACTTACAAGCCTTGAGAAACAAGATTCTTGAGGTTACCTGTGAAAAGTATAACATTCAACCCGATCAGTTGAGACTATTTATTCACTATCACCCTTCCTACTACCATTTCCATATACACTGTGTGACCATCAAGCATCCGGGACTTGGAAACGGTATCAACGTTGGGAAAGCCATTTTGTTGGATGATGTCATTGAAAATATCCAGTTGGCCAGCGACTACTACCAGAAAAAAACCATTGGTTTCATTTTGGGAGAAAACCACGGGCTTTGGAACGTAGACGGCTACAGAAACGCCCATTTGCAACACTGATATATTTTGAATACATAAACTCGTTAATAATTGAATTCACTGCTACTGGCCTTGACAGCCATCCGGGCCATATGAAGCATTTTCTGCCGTGGATCGAGCTTTCTGGTTCGTTTGGATTTGTCTCCACTATCTTTTGACTGGTTATTGCCAAAGCTTCTTCCTAGCTTCTTGGGATTCTCTCGCAACCCGAAAGCCTTTGCCAAATGTCCCAAATGCAATTCCTTGACATTAAAAAAGTTTCTTTCCGAAGACAAGTGAGTAGCATAAGCTCTGATATGAGAGGTGAAGGCCAAGGTAGCCTTGTCGTGAACCCCCAGATCTTCAAGAATCCATCTCTCAATATTCAAGTGCCAAGTAGTGGCATGGATGTCCCATTTTCCCCGACCTTTTGCTGAGTCGGGTTCACTGTACGCTTTCTTCAAGAGCTTCTCGTACCCTTCGATTTTCAAACTTCCTTTGGGGTGAACAATCGAGAGTTTGGCGTCAATATAGGTTTCTTCAATCCCAGGTAACAAGAATATACTGGCACTACCCTCGTTACCAACTCTGGCTGATCTTCCGATTCTGTGCAAATGGTCTTCAATGGAAAATGGGGGATCGTATTCCACCACCTCGGAGATATTGGGCAAGTCCAACCCACGAGATGCCACATCTGTACAGAATAAAATCGAGTGTTTATACACTGAGCTGTCTTTGACAAACCCTTGTAAAGTCGATGTTCTTTCTTGTTGGGTCATAGAACCATGCAATTTGAAAACTGCGGTGTCACTGCTGATCAATGGAGCAGTTGCAATACTATATTCAAACTCTTCTGCGTCATCTTCCGAACCCTCTTTGTGTTTCAGAAGAGGTTTTCCTCCTCTAGTGAACACATCGAAGTGGTAGTTGACCGAATCAGAGCAGGTGAAAAACACCATCGTTCTCAAATGGTCCACCTGCCTGTCGTGGGTAAAGTTCTTAAACATCGCATTCAACGTCACAAGTCTCAATTTTGGAGGCACTATAAGCACATTCTGGGTCAACTGGTCAGGAGCAGTCATGTTCTGGCTGGTGTCTTCAGTCTCTGTTTCTTCCACGTCGTCGTCGTTGAAAATAACCGTTCCCTCAATGGCTCTCTTACTGTCTACTGTGATCATCTCGGGATTATCAAGTAAAATACTTCCTAGTTTCTCGACATTCTCTTGCATGGTGGCCGAACACAAGACATTGACTCTCTTTGTGGGCAATCCCTGCCACTTGGGGGCGGTGTGGTGGATTTCGCTGGTTTTGGTAATCTGGTTGGTGATCTTGCTGATGGTTTCCTCGAATCCCAATTCCACAAGTCTGTCACCCTCGTCCAATATAAGCCATCTCAACTGACTCAAATTTAACACCTGGGTGTTTTCAATGTGATCGGCCAACCGTCCTGGCGTCCCCACCAAAATGTTTACTCCTTTTCTAAGACGAGCCTTTTCAGACTTTTTCTTTTCACCACCAATCACAATTCCAGGCACAATTTGGTGGTGACATCTGCTCAAGGTCTCAAGAACACTGTAGATCTGGGTGGCCAATTCTCTGGTAGGAGCCAAAATCATCGCAAATACCCCCAGTTCTCGGGTGATCTTATGCTTGTCTTCTTGCATCAATTTATGGAAAATCGGTAACAAGAACGCAAGGGTTTTTCCCGACCCTGTTTGGGCCTTGATGAACAAGTCACTCTTGGCGAATAGTAAGCTCGGGATTGTAGACCTCTGGACCTTTGTAGGGTTCTTAAACCTCAAGGTTTCTGTTAAATGACTAACCAACTTCGGATTCAATCCCAACCCTTCAAAAGTAGTGGCATCTTTCAACGGAGCATTGGAAGGCAAGTAAGTCACGTCCTCCTTCTCCTCGTCTTTCTTGGACTCCTCTAAGACCGAACTTTTGGTGTTGGAAGTAAACAATGAAGACACATACGAGTTATTCTTTCCTCCAAACTCGCCCTTTCCTTCTGAAAACTTAATTCGTTTGATCCGCTCTTCATGCTGGGCCTGAAGATGGTCAGGAGCCGTTCCACTACCGTTTGCTTCTCTCGGGTCGGCCGTGGTTCTCTTTGTACGAGCATTTGGGACTTCAATGCTGTTGACACCCGAAGTACGAGTGTGCAGCTTCTTCTCATTTCTACCCCTTCCCAGCATTGTAAGCTGCATTTTTCTCCGATCCTTCCACCGGCCACCCGTGACCTTAACCGATCCCCGAGCCTTCTTGGCTGGTGCTCCACTATCGACGGCGAAGTTTAAAAGTAATCCGTCGTCTTCGTCCATCGCTCTTAGTTTGATTTCTCAAAAGTTTTCAAGCCGCACGATGACTTTTATTTTAGTAGTGTGCTATATGCTCTAATATACATAAATCCCTAAATACTCTCAGTGAGTCAACTGATCCAAGTATTGTGCCAACTTCGTGTCGGTGATAAACTGGCTGTCACTAGTATTGATGATCTGTTTGGACAATTCAGGGGTCGCTTCAGTCCACCTCACCGGTTTCCAATCCTCCTGGTCGAATCGCCTCACATGCCTCAAAGATTCACCTAAGCTGGCATTGGCAAGTGGATCGGATGGAATGCTTTTATTGGTCTTGGAAGAAGATTGCAAGATATGGACGTTCTGAGGCCCAGCACGTGGCGGCTCGGCCATATCTCTCTTTTGTTGTAATTTGACATTCTCGGCTTCGTCCAAGTACTTGAAAGATGGTCTCAACTGCACACTGGAAACCACTGGCACAAGCACCACCTTACGATGGCCATCTTCAACAACAAACTTGGCGGCGTAGATCCCACCGTTGGTCTGGTTCATCACACCAGTATGGTCGTGCTCCTCGACTTGTACTCCCCATTCTTCTGCTTTACTGTCGTCGTAAAACTTGCTGGTGTCCAACGGAAGTGTCACCTGTAAAAAATTAGACTCCGGCTTGATGCTGGCCCGCAAGTGATGAAGCGGTGCTGGGCTGCGCTTAGACTTCCCGGTGTACTGTAGAAGGTGGAGCGACTGGCCAGCAGCAGGAGCTGTGTTCATAAATAAGGGGATTGATTGCACCACTGGATCGGCATCAAGGGGATCAGAGGAGAAATCGCTACCACTGTCGCTACCAGCCTCCAGGGACACGTCGTCACTAATCTGGCTGATGATGTGGTCTGTTTCAGACTCCATGTGGTCTTCGTCGGCATCCACAAAAAGCGTAGCTTCGTTTGGGTTCTCCATGGTTTCAAGATGAGTAGAGATTTATTTCTCAAAGTGCGCGAAGAACGATTTTTTACTGCCATCATGAGTCAAGACTTTGATATCACACAGGTATACCTTAAGTTCTTGGAGGACGACCAGGACATGACGATGCCGATTGCGGCCATCGAGTCACTTGTGACGATGCTCCGGATCAAGCAGCCATCCACATCTTCCGAGTTGATCAACTTGGTCAAATCCAATACCGATAAGTTAAAAAGCTCCATCTCCAACGCCATATCACTTTCTGCCGGTTGTGATTTGTTCATGAGATTTGTCTTGAGAAACATCAACTTATACTCCGACTGGGAGTCATGCCGAAGAGACTTGGTGGAAAATGGAGAACTCTTTGTCCAAAGAGCAAAAGAATCCCGATCCAAAGCCGCTCAGTTTGGACTCCCGTTCATAAAAGACGACGATATCATTCTTGTCCACTCCTTCTCGAGAGTGGTGTACCAGATGTTGCTTATGGCCAAGAAGGAAAAGCTCATTCGGTTCCGGGTCATTGTTACCGAGTCCCGTCCTAGTGAAAAGGGTTACCATATGGCATCACTCTTGAGAACAGCAGGAATCCCTGTGGAAGTGATTGTGGACAATGCTGTGGGCTACGTGATACACAAAGTCGACAAAATCATTGTGGGGGCGGAAGGGGTGGCGGAAAGTGGTGGGATCATCAACCATATCGGTTCGTATCAGATTGGATGCTTGGCCAAAACCAACAACAAACCCTTTTACGTGGTGACAGAGTCCCATAAGTTTGTCAGATTGTTCCCGTTGGCACCGGACGACTTACCTAACCAGATTAGTCCGGTGTTATCGGCCACCAATAGTAGTATCAATGCAATTCTTGAGTCTGAATCCGATAACCCCAAGAGTCTTCTCAGCATCCAGCAAATCGACTTCACCCCCCACGAGTTCATCACCGCGTTGATCACCGACTTGGGAGTCTTGACCCCGTCGGCGGTGTCGGAAGAATTGATCAAAATATGGTATGATTAACTAGAAGCTATACATTGGTCACCATGCGCAATTTGGCCTCCAAGTCTGTAAGGTCAAAGCAGTCGGAGTCGGCACTCTCCCGCCGCACCTCCACACACTCCACGCCCCTGCTGGCGATGAGGTCTTTATCCACCCGGATTTTGGAGTCACTCATATAGAATAAATACGATACAAACCGTCTCCAATCACCGTCGGTTCCACCCTGCTTTCTAAATGAGTAGGAGGCCAGCTCCACGATCACGCGGATGTAGTCCAGTGCCTCCATTCCGTGTGTTTCTCGATCAGAACACCCATTCAATAGAAGAATTCGTTTTTTGGTGCCACCGTTGGTGAGCTCTGAAGCAATGGCTTTTCCTACTCCTTTCAACACCACCACCGGCACTATGCTGGTCATCAACGACCCGATCGAATATATCACCACATCGGCATTGCTGAGTGTGGTACACACCTTATGGTGGGCGGTGGGACGAATCTCTTCTCCGTATGGAGACACATAGAAGATCCGCTCGATGGGTGAAAGTAATGGGGTGAGTCCATCGGACTTGGAGAAATGCAACTGACTCTTCTTTAACTCCGGGTGCGTGTACTGGGGGACGCTGCCGGTCTCTTCGTCGTCGGAAATTTCAGAAAAGTCAGACCCCTGCTCAATCTGGTCCCCGGTGGTGAGCAGATGGTTAACGGCTGTGATATTTGAAATGGGCGTATCCACCAGCACCCGGCCACCGAAGTAGTCTCCAAGTGGTTCGCCCTCGAACGACGGGGTGCTGGGCCGTGTTTTACTGATGGGAGGTGGATAGTTGTCAGGAGTCTGGTCTTCAGACGGATGCGAAATCTGCGATTGGCCGGTGATGATGAGCCCATTTTGCAAAAGCGCACTGATGTGGTACGAGAAATTGGTGTTGATACACGGAAGCACTTCCACGTCCGGGTCGATGCCCGAAAGTCGAGAGAATAATTCCACGGCTGAGTCCAAAGATCCAATAAAGAGTCGGGCACCTGTCAAAAAGAGGTTTCCGATGCTAGCCAACTCATACCGAAATTGTTTCTTGGTGGTTTTCACGGCCGACTGGTGCTTTGACCGCTTTAGAAGCTCCACGTTGACGTGAATAATAAATGCTCTAAAGATTTCCCTTCGTGCTGGCTCTATGTCCCTCCAAAGCTCGTGAGACCCATCCACGAGGTCGTTCCACTCGGCTTTGGCCACCACAGGGTCTTCCGAGAGCCGGAACCCGAGGAGACGACGCAACGCCTTTTGGTTCTCAGGGATAAGGCGGGTTAATCGAGATCTGATATCTCCTATGGCGGGGCCACCAATGACACGAATGAGCTCGGAGGTCGACCCGCCGTTGTCCAGGATCGGGAGGATGTAGCTCACGTGACTCGCCATTGCCCTGAAGTGAGGGACGAGGGCGTTGGTGGCGGTTCCTCCAGAAATGATTGCCACTTGTAATTGAGATTGCTGCATAGGTGTCACTGAGTGTGGAGGTGAGTTCGCATCACCTGCGACGCGAGATGGAGAGGATGGTTTGGCGTCGCGTGCTGACCTAAGCATCCGACCAATTCTCGGCAAAAAGCAGTCACTGGTAGTCCCGGGACCGCGCCGCGGGTAATTTTCAGCATGTTGCTTTGAGGTGGTGGATGCAAAACCGCAGTGAAAAATTAAAATTTTTCATTCCATACAACAGTATTTTAAACATGGCTAGTCAAGAAGTTTTAGTTTTAAGAGGAACCTTAGAAGGTCACAACGGCTGGGTCACCTCCCTTGCCACCACCGCCGCTCACCCAGACTTGTTGTTGTCTGGTTCCAGAGACAAGACTTTGATCACCTGGAAATTGACCGGAGGTGAAGACTCTCAATACGGTGTGCCAAAGAAGTCTTTCAAGGGACACTCTCACATTGTCCAAGATGTCACCATTTCTGCTGATGGTGCTTATGCTTTGTCTGGTTCATGGGACAAGACCTTGAGATTGTGGGATTTGGAAACCGGTGAATGTACCAAGAGATTTGTTGGACACACTGGAGACGTTTTGTCTGTGTCTATTGCTCAGAACTTGAGACAAATTGTTTCTGCTTCCAGAGACAAGACCGTCAAGGTCTGGAACACCATTGGTGAATGTATGCAAACCTTGACCGGTCACGGTGACTGGGTTTCTGCTGTCAGATTCTCTCCAAAGGAAAACGATGTGTCTACTGTCATTTCTGCTTCTTGGGATAAGACTATTAAGGTATGTTATTTTTTTTTGTGGATGGAAGTAAACCCTTGGCTTGAAATGATGTTTACAATATTTGCTACTTCAGACGTTGCTCACAAGCTTCGAATGAGACATCAATTACACCAAGATCTCTGATTCTTCAAGGGTTTTTTTCCAGTAGTATTTTTTAGACTGTGTTACTAACTTCTCTCTAGTCCTGGGATTTGTCTGAGTACAAATTGAACGCCGACTTCATTGGCCACACCGGATACATCTCCTGTATCACCATCTCCCCAGATGGATCTTTGTGTGCTTCTGCTGGTAAGGACGGTGCCATCATCTTGTGGGATTTGAACGTCCACAAGTCTTTGTACACCTTGAACGCCGGTAGCGAAGTCCATGCTTTGGCCTTCTCTCCTTCCAGATACTGGGTGGCTGCTGCCACCTCCACTGGTATCAAGATCTTCAACTTGCAAGAAAGATCTTTGTTGGATGAATTGAAGCCTGAATTTGCCATTGGTGCTAAGGCCAAGGACCCAGAACCAATCTCTTTGACCTGGTCCGCCGATGGTCAAACCTTGTTTGCCGGTTACACCGACAGCTTGATCAGAGTTTGGCAAGTCATGACCTCTTCTGCTTAGAGGGTGTGTATAATTAATCGATTATATCTGTACATTTACTCACTGTAGTTACTCAAACATGTAAACTTTCCCGCTGGCGCTGCCACCCGCGCACCAGTTTTGAGTCGGGTGCATCGAGCACACGGCGGGAACAGCGCCCACATTCAGTCCCGTTAAGTGTGCTAATATCTGGCCCTTTTGGTCGTAGATATCGAACCCTCGGTTCATATTGGCAATGACAAACTTCTGCACCCCATCTTCGGGTGCCACCTGCCACTTGGATTTTAAAATCGATACCCACCGGCCTGTCTGACAGTTATGCCTTATCCTGGTAAAAGGTTCAAGATTCGTAGGTATTTCGTCCTCCTCCAGCTTTTGGGTTTTCTTTCCTGGTACCTGGTAGTCTGTGCTCCACTGTGTCACCGCCGGTTGTTGTTTGTTGCCGCTCAAGTCGAAAATACAAATATTGTCGTCGTAGCCATTGCAGACAATGCGGTTCTCAAGGTTCCAATCCACACATGAAACAGAGAGCCGAGACCCGTACGCTCCGTAGGGATGTGGGCTTGGGCTGGTGTCGAACTCGGACCACGATGCGGCCCCCACATTTCTCAAGTCCCAGATCCGAAGAGTTCTGTCTAATGAAGCAGAAGCAATTTGGTGCGACGCGTTTGGATTGATTGCAAAAGACCCAATTTTCTTATCGTGAAGCCTTAACAACTGCTTGCCATTGAGTTTGAACTTGGTTCGGAGGTCGTGCTGGTAGAAATTCCCCGAGAGCGTCGTCATATAAAGAATGCTGGGGTTGTCCATACACACGTTGATATCAGACACTCCGAGAGGATAATCACTAGATTCGTACGGATCGTTCAAGTACGCCACCTCTGTCGACTCGAGCTTGTTCAAGTCCATTCGCCGCACCGAGCCGTCGTACGAGGCCGTTAAGAACTGCGACGGGGCGTTGAACGGAGCCAAGATCTTGGACACTGACTTCCCGTGAGGTTTGACAATCGAGATGGTGGGATCATCTCCCAGCGCATCCACCGCCCAGATCCCGACGTTTCCATTGGTGTCCCCACCGGCTATCACCCGACCGGTTGTGGATGGATGAAAGTTGAGTGAGGTGATCCGCTGGTGGGTGATTTTGATGTCCAAGGGATCGAATTTCTCCAACACTTTCAACTCGTCAAACTCCTTGCGCTTGGCCTGTAGAATCTTGTCGGTGTACGCCAAGTCTGACCGGCGGATCAAGTCGTAGAAGTCGCCTGCTGACATCTTGTCACCCAATTCCCGGAAGAGCTTGAGCACCTCATTGTCACTGCTGATGTCAAGAACTTCTTCAGCTGTTTCTGTCTCTAATTTCACAGAAGGATCATTGGTACCGTCAGATTTCGTGGCCCCAAGCACCTTGTCCTCAAACTTTAAATTGCCCTTCCTATCAGTGATGAGATCAAGCAATTGGAAGTCTCCATATAAACGCGTCTGCTTGAGCCTCTCCATCTCCTTTCGCCGCCGGTCACGTTCTTCTTCCTCCTCCCTCATCTTCTGCACCTCCTCCGTGTTCTCCATGTTGATCCCGGCTATTCTTCTTGATCTTCTTGAAGGTTCTATCTCTTGTTTAACTTTGGGAGAAGGCTTCCTTCTCTTGACCAGTTTGGGTTTCTCATCAGGAACCTCTCGCGCGATCGAGTCATGGATCAGGTCAAGGTCCAATTGGCGCAAAAGCTCCTTGTTCCGACGGATATTCTCCTGTCTTTGTCTTTCGAATTCAGATAGCACAACCATTTAGTAGTAAAGTGAATTTTTCATTCGCGTCTGTTACATGCATTTTCGAGCCATGGCTAACTATTTACAAGTCTGAGGACATCAGAACAAAGATATAAACTGCCACACACAACCACCTTCCGGCTGTCGCCTTGGGCCTTGAGGGCAACTATACGGTCCAAGATATCTTGCACGGTTTGACTATCGTCAGACTCAATCACGTCTTTAAAATGCGGTTTCGCAGCCATTATCACCTCTTCCACCCCGTAAGAAGAAACCCACGGCATACCTTCAGGACGGGAGAATTTGGTGCCTATAATCGAGTCTTTTTGTTGGTTGGCAATATACTTAACGAGATTCTCGACCGATTTGCCCTTACTCAACGCTACCACCATAATTAACCCTTCTTCGTCTCGGTACGATTGCAAGTATGTGCCCAATTCCTGGGCCGCACTCTCGTTGTGGGCTCCGTCGATAAGCATATCCACTCCTCTGTACCGCACCAGTTGAAGCCGTCCCGGCCATACCACGCTCGCGACACCGTTTGCAACTGATTCCTTGGTAATCTGACTACTGAATTTGGCCTTGAGAAGTTCTACCAACCTGAGAGCCACACTCAAGTTCTGGAGCTGGTAGTTTCCTTTTAATGGCGACTTTGAACGAAGATCTTGGACCTGTTCTTGAGTATACTCTGAAAAGGAAGAACTCGTTGTTCCATTCACAATATGCACTGTACTCCCACACTCAGCAGCCTTCTGTCGTATGGTCTCCAAGACCTCTTCACTATTTGTCCCGTCCACTACGCAAGGAATACCGGTTTTGATTATGCCTGCTTTTTCAGAAGCGATTTCGCTCAATGTTGATCCCAAAAACTGCTCATGATCAATACCGATCTTGGTGATTCCACAGACAATCACACCACCCTTATGCTGGCCACCAAATGGCTCCAACACGTTGGTAGCATCGAGCCGGCCTCCCAACCCCACTTCTATCACCGCATATTCAACCTTCTCCAACTCAAAGATCTTGAATGCCGTCACCGTCAACAATTCGAACTCCGTACACCCTACGTCGTGTATCTTGTTCTGCTGCTTTACTAGCTCGGACACTTCGTGGAACTTTCCCAATGGATATGTTTCGTTGTTTATGGAAATACAATCGTTATAATAAAGTAGATGCGGTGAGGTGAACCTCCCGTTGCGGATGCGAGAAGCGGTAAGAATCGAGGAAATGTAGGCCACGGTGGAACCCTTACCATTTGTCCCTGCTATGTGAATAGACTTGTAGCTGCTGACATGGGGGTTTCCCAAAATCAGTAGAAGCCTACTTATTCTCGTTAGGGCTAGGTTGATGCCCATGGTGTGCAAATTTGCGAAATCTCACTTTTCACGCTCACGCAAGCGATAAAATTCCCCATATATTTCACTGACAGATCATGTCAATCCCAAAATTAACCATACCCGAGACAGCGTTCGACCCCAGCATATATACGTCGAGCCATAGAAGGTCACGTCTTCTTGTATACTTGCTCCAACTCACCAACTCATCTGCTATTTTACTTGTGTTGATTTATGTGGTCAGCTACATTGGAATTAAGCCTCTCCTTGAGTTGACATGTTCTCGACGACTCGAGATGCTCGATAAATACCGCCACAAGCTTCGAGACTTGTACTTGCTTCTCGTCAGCAAGGTGGACCATATTCCCATTGTGGGCTTTAATAGGCATGGGAAGGTGTTTAGTGATGCGATGATCCAAACCGACGCTTCGTACGCCAGAAGGCTCAAACAATTATCACCGGCTGACCAATTGGAAGAGCTCGAAAAGACCGATAAGTTAAACCATCTGAAGCTTTTGAGCAAATTGCGCAAGCTCAATGATGTTTTATCAGGGTGCACTTCATATACCATTCTGGAGATGCCCCACTACAAGTCCACCAGGGAAACTGTCAAGCTGTTCCAGCACGAAATAGACACCAAGATCTTTGACTACGACGAATTGTACACGGTGGAAACGAACAGCGAACATAGAAAAAAGCGCAACTTGGTGGTGGATACCAAGAATGATATCAGAAGCATCAAGGGCCTTTTTATGAGTGGGCAGGCATAAGTTTCGTATATATGGCCGTCCTAAAAATGTATAATTTCCCTACTGGACTCTAATAATTTCTAATAATCTCACCGCAAAAACTACCACTGGACCCGGCTAGTTCTTTAAATCTCTCCGCACAAACTTGTTCTCAGCAAATAGTTAACATCACTAGCTTACTCGCCTAGGGTCAAATGTGTAAAATTCGCATTTTCAACATCAACATGTCCAATGGCCAATTCATACAACAGCGATTGGATTCATTGAACGACATCGATTCCAGCATCGTGTCCCTCTTGGGATACATGTCCGATATCTTTGACAGATACTCCACTCCGTCAAACAACAGCGATGATGCCAAAGATACCATAGAAACCCAGACCAGACTTATATATCAAACCCTCAGCGATATAGCAATAAATCTCCGAAAAGAGGTGAAGATCATGGATGACAACACCGGTGTATTCGACAAAAATGAAGACCAGGTGATGATACTCCCCATACCTGTTGATCAGAAAAACACAGCGTTGGGAAAACGCAGGTTGAATGAAGAGATAGACCTTTTGACCCACCTCATCCCACAAGAACCTACAGAGGACCAGAAGTTTAAGCCTGAACCCGAGACTGTCGAAGAAGAGTCCGTCAAGGAAGAGCCTGTTGAAGAAGAGCCTGTTGAAGAAGAGCCTGTCAAAGAAGAACAGCCAGAAGAAAAAAATGGTGTTGATGACACCGATGAGCCTGACCCCATTGTCAAACCAGAAGCCGATGTCGAAACATTCGGAATCTCTGACGTCGAAATGGAAGAGTAAATCTCCTTTCCACAACCCCAGTCTCACAATTAACTTATATTATAGTACAATTAATGCAACGGAATGAACCTACAACTCTTCTAAATACCCCTGCTGAATCAACCTCTCCACATCGGATTTTCTCACGTAGAACTGTGAGTCCTTGATCAAGTTGAACACTCCATACTCCGTCTGCACCTCTCCCCCGTCCTTCAACACCCTCACATCTATGAATATGCTCGTGGGAGGCTCTAGATCTCCGCTGAGGTCAATGTCAACATACTTCGATTTCATATCGACAAGGAGTTGCAGATACTGCTTGAAGTACTCTTGTTCCTGGTTACTCAAGTTGTCCAATATCATGCGAGTTGTGTAATTGGATCCCAAAGCACCAGTTTTTGTAAGCGATGGTTGGGGAGTACTATTGGAATCGGAAGGATCTATGTTGAGCCATGCAAATTCGTTCATCTTGTCAGCTCGAAGTTTCTGATGGGCTAATAAGCAGCGCTTGTTTCTTCTCATTGACAATCGGGCCACAAACAACTGACACTCAAGAGCTACTATTTGTTCAGCTGAGGTGCCTTCTGGATTCGTTCTTTGTTGTTCAGTAATGTAATCGACATCCCTGCCCAAATCGTTAGTTTCTTTGACGATGTCGTCCACCAAGTCGGACTGGTAGAGTGTTATTTCGGGAAGGTTTGACGTTCGGTGAGCGTCCAACACAAGCTTATTTGCTTGGTCTCCAAACATGTTGGTGTTTAGCGTGAAATTTAACGCGACTTTGAGAGACGCATCGAATATAAGAGAACAAAGTTTCTATGACATAGTAGAATTTGTGCGACGTTTCCACGGATTTTAAAGGATAGTTATGGCACTGGTTAGTCCTAGTGAGCCATTTAATGGTCTTAAATAGCCCTTCAAGAGTAACACATACTCATGAAAAACAGCTTCATTTTTCATTATGAATGTAGCTCGTATGGCGCAGTGGTAGCGCAGCAGATTGCAAATCTGTTGGTCCTTAGTTCGAACCTGAGTGCGAGCTCTTTCTTTTTGCAGCCATATCCTTCTTCAGGACTTCAAAACTCGGCCACCGCTGGAACTAGATGTTGTATTTTTTTACTTTTAAGAAGAGGTGGTTTATCATTGTGATTGGTCATAACTATTGATTGCACACGCAGTTATGAGGAAGTTTTGTGTTCTTTCCAATATACTCAAGATTCCAGCAAGAGCCATTGTACCAGGGACCGTGGCAGATGGTGATATGAAGTGCAAAAAAAAAAGACGAAATCTCCTGGGATACAAAGTATTCTCTTTAACAAAACCACCATTAGCTATATCTATCGAGTTGCTGACTAACTATAAATATCAGCCCGTACCCGAGCGCATTTGGATATTAAAGGTAGCTTTTGGGCCTCCAAAATATATTTCACTTGGTAGCTCCATCCATATTTTCTATGGGACTATTGCATCCAGCCATTATAATTTTGCTCTTGCCTGCTGTTTTTATTCTGCTACTTTTACATAAGAGTAGTTCTTCCACCAATATCGTTGCTAGCCGAACCATCAGGCATATTTCCGTCTCTTCCTGAAACGAATTCGTGGTAGATCATATCGAGTTTGAGCTTTTCCTTGACAGAAATGGATGGTTTGGTCTCCTTCAAAGACTCGACAAAATTTTCATGGGAAATCAGTACCACTGACAGTGGACTGTTTTTCTTTTTCTCCTTCAAGTCCATGTTCTCCTTAGAGTTTCCAAATAGCTCCTCAATTTGTTGTAAAATCTTTAGCCTATCAGCTGGTCTCATTTTGGCGTTCTTCAACTTTTCAGAGTTTACCTTAAAAAAGTCGAGTTCTTGGCTATTAGGAGTGTTGGACTCCATTTGCTCCAAACTTTCGTCTTGCGAAAGCTTGACGTGAACCGCTTTCAAGTACGCGTTGTATCCCAACCCTTGCATATCCGCACCACTGAACCCTTCTGTCTGTAAGGCAATCTCCTTCAAATCAATACCATTTTCTAAGTCCATTTTAGCGGTGATGCTTTCAAGAATATCCAATCTGTCGTTGTAGTCTGGCATGCTGCAAATTACACTCTTATCCAATCTCCCGGGACGTAATAATGCTGAATCGATCAAATCGGGTCTACTGGTAGCTGCCAACACGTAGACACCATCTAATCCTTCTGCACCATCCATTTGTGTCAACATCTGATTAACCACTCTATCAGTTACACCGGTGGAGTCGTGTCCTCTCTTGGGGGCAATGGAATCGAATTCATCAAAGAACAAAATGCACGGCTTGGCAGCTTGTGCTCTTTCAAACAACTCTCTTACAGACTGTTCCGAAGCACCAATATACTTATTCAAGATCTCGGGTCCTTTGATGGAGATAAAGTTCAAACCACATTGACCGGCAACGGCACTTGCCAATAATGTTTTTCCACAACCTGGATAACCGTAAAGTAAAATTCCCGATCTGAGTCTCAAAGGACAGTTAGCAAAGATAGGAGCATATTTGGTGGGCCATTCTAAGGTTTCCAACAATATGTTTTTGGCTTCTTTCAACCCTCCAATGTCAGACCAGTTAATAGATGACTTTTGTAACTTTACCCCCCTTAAGTTCAATGGAGTATATCCTTGTAAAGCTTTCTCAAAATCCTCCATAGTAATAGAAACTTCGTCATCGAGAATTGCAGACGATTGATTGAACAATGATTCGTGATAAATCCGGTCACACAACGTTTTCAAATCATTGGGCAAGTATCCCTCAGTTTCTGCCACCATTTCCATCACGTCAAACCCGATTTTGCATCCCAAGTCGTTATTGAAATAGTGTTCAATCAATTTGGAACGTGTGGTTTTGTCTGGAGGTGAAAGATGAAGGATGTTCTCAATCAAATGAGACAGAAACAAGAATCCATTTAATGATTCTTTGGAAGACGAAGATGCTAAGATCGAAAAGTTGCAATTTGGTTGACAGTGAATCTTCTGCACTTGAGACACCAAGAATTCCGCCAAGTTCTTGGAGTTGGAGGAGTCTACATGTTCCACTTCAGCACCAATAAGCTTATCAAGGTTGTCCAAAATTAACACCGACGGCTTGTACCAAGTACATTCTTGAAGCCACCTATTGAAGTGACTGGTGCTTAACAGATTGAAGTTTTCGTTCATTATAGACTCACAGGATATGAATTTACAGTGATACCCGTGTAGATTCTCAAGCTGCTGTGAGATGTGCTTGAGTACAAGAGTCTTCCCACTTCCACTATTCCCATGGACCAAGATCCCAGAATTGTTATCGATAATTATATGTTCAACAGTTTCTTGTATCATAGACTCAAAGCCAATCGCATCAGATAAGGGCTTTTCAACTTTTGTTTCCTCGATGAAAGAAGCAGCACGAAGCAACTCCTCATCAATCTCGATGGAAGGACCTTTCTTGTCGGATCCGTGCAATGGCTTGATCCAAGCGTTTAAATCATCATTTCTCTTAAACTTCAACATCCCACCATTAGGCAAAATATTGGGAATTATGGGTAATTTTGTGAAGTTAGTGATGGGAGATTTGTATAGGGAAGAATCTTGACTGAGCAAAATTGACTCAATGGCTTTCGCCAATTTCGAAGCCTTTTCCTTCTTCTCGGATGAGTTGATGTTGACCTGGTTGGATTTCTTTGACTGTGTGATGTAGGGGTAGATCGTGAATGTAGAGGGTAATTTCTGGGTTTGTTTAATAGACGGTTTCAACACCAAAATGCTCCCCAAATTGGACTCAACCGACAAGGCTACCGCCAACTTCCGCGACACTCCCACATGATTAGCAGGAGATTTTGGATAGTTGACAAGACGGGCCACTACTCTTTTGTTTTCCTCTAAAGGAACCGTTTCCTTAGCTTCTTTCTCAGATGAGCCTGGTAGATTTGGAGAAGACTTCTCTTGTTTTGGTGTATGGTTCTTCTTGGAGTTTGGACCTGGTATAACAGACACCGCCACGTACTCTGCCCGCTTCAATATTCCTGCCACCTCTTTGAAGTTCACATACACTTCATAGCCGTTTGTGTCAGCGTATTCAGGTAAGTCTGCGTACAATTGATGAGGAAGAGGGATGGATCTCTTCAACACCGACGGAAGATTCATATAGTCATCACCAGACTTGTCTGTTCGTGACGATTTAGCTGACTTTACCGACCCAGACCTCTTTTTCACACGTGGTTTTGGTGCAATTGCAACCTCACATTCTGGGGAAAGCTTAGCGAAGTTGACAGATTTAGTTCCGATGTCGGTCACCACCAAATTGGCCGAAGTCGTCAGGCTTGGGTACACTACAAGAACCTGGTTCAACGAAACGCATCGAGTTTGCGATAAAAGCTTGTCTTCCAAAGTTTGTGCATGTAGTTCCACAAGCTCCCAATCAGAAGAAGTAACTGGCTCCAAGTTGACCTGACGAGTCTCAAAGTTGTTAACCTTCAAGTTGATCACCACCGGCTCTGTCTCAGCCAAAGACAAACTCTTGGCCAAAATCGAGTCGATTTCAAGGGAATTAATACTCGTGGCATTCCAACCAGACCAGCCAGTGTAACTGCTTTTGCCCTTACAAACAATTTCCACAATCACGTCTTGTACCTTGATGTTTGCATTGGCAAGAAGGTTGCCTAGTCTTGAAGGTAAGTTGACTAAGTTTGTTCTCAGCAGCACATGAACAATGTTGGCTTTGTGGCCATCCATAATCGTGTATTGAGTTGTACAGGTTTGTCAGATTTCTCCAGATTTCGAGTGAGCATGGCTCACGCATTTTGACCCGAGGCCGATGCGTTTGATTTTTCACAGGTGCACCAATAGGTACTTTACAAGAATTAGTGAAATGTATACCTGGACGATACGACGCCTGTGTATTGACGGTCCTAACAAGCGGTGCTCTATGTACATTATCTACTTCTTCTTACTCTCGTAGTGTTCCTGGACTTGTCTCCATTTCTCGAGTCTCTCGTCTTTGGTATTGGAAGCTTTATCCTCCCACTTCTGTTCGTTCTTTTGTTGCTTCACCTGCCTAGCCTTCTCAACGGTCTCAAACGACTTTCTTCGAATCGACCGGCACTGCTCCCACCCGACGATATTTCCTAAGAAAAATCCGCAAACACCCCAGTTCAACGATTTATTGGGGTTCTTATGGATCAAAAACGTCACCCCACCTAGCACCGCCATGGCCTGGAACCCGGTCATCATGGCTTCTCGAAAGCACGGCATTCCAATGTACGTCAGTGGTTTTACATCGGCAAGCCTCACTTGACTGAGGGCACCTTCGTACATCGACTGGTCACTGGCATCACCTGGAACATCTCCTTGGTCCTCGAACTTGGGTGGAAGATCTTCTAGAAACTTCTGGGGATTTCCCTCTGGTACTTGTGTTACCGGTGTAGATTTCACGGTATTTCCTCCGAACCATCCCATTCTTTTGGAAAGTAATATTCAGACAATCGCGCGCCCAACTTTTCTTCTCAAACCTCATGGTGCCTGACGAATTAGTATTGGATCCCCAATTGAAATACTGGGTTCTCCTTCCCATTTCAGTGGTGATGGTGGTTGTTGGACTACTTCGGTCTAATGTCACCCTTCTCCTTAAATCTGATCCCAAATTAGAGGAGTTCAAGAAGAACAGAGAAAAGTATGTGTGATCTTGTGTTGAACTGATGAATTTGAATACTAACAATCAACTAGGCAATTCTTGAAGAGAGCCACGTCATTCAAGAATGGTAGCTCAGTGCTCACTCGGGACGAGTTTCTCGTCAGACAAGAGTACTTTATTACTCAGTTGAAGTCTAGTGAGTTCTTTGCTAACAAGAACGTCTCCAGTGATGCCCCTGCCAACCCCTTGACAGACCCCGGGTCGGCCGATGCATTAATGGAAATGGCAAAGGGAAATATGATGAACTACATTCCACAAACGCTTATCATGGCGTGGGTCAACTATTTTTTTGCTGGGTTTGTGATCATGAAGTTGCCCTTCCCTATCACAGACAGTTTTAAAAGCATGCTACAACAGGGAATCGTGACTCCAGATTTGAACGTCCGGTACGTATCACTGATATCGTGGTACTTTGTCAACTTGATGGGATTGAAACCAGTCTACTCATTAATCATGAACGATTCATCTGCTGCTGATGAGCTTGTCAATCTGCAACAACAAAATCAGCAACTTCCAAACTTGGGAGCTCCTGGAGCCCCAAAAGTCGATAAGATCTTTGAGAAGGAGGCGGCAGACATTCAAATCTTGTCCCACGAGTCTATCTATGATGGCATTATAGATCGAGTTTTAGCAGCCGATTTGTAAGTGTAGGCTAATGCGCGGAAATATATAAGTAAGCATCGCATCTCGTTTTCGAAATTTTGTCATTCGGTTACAAACATGAGTCCAGCAACTGTGATATGTATTGGAATGGCGGGGTCTGGAAAGACCACGTTCATGCAAAGATTGAATGCTCACTTACATTCTAAAAACACTCCTCCCTATGTGATTAACCTAGATCCAGCAGTGTTGAAAATTCCCTATGGTGCCAACATCGATATTAGAGACTCTATCAAATACAAACAAGTAATGGAACAGTACAATTTGGGACCCAACGGGGCAATCGTCACTTCATTGAACTTGTTTTCCACTAAGATCGACCAGGTGATCAAGTTAGTGGAAAAACGTTCTGAATCTGTTAACAATGTCATTGTGGATACTCCAGGACAAATCGAATGCTTTATTTGGTCTGCCAGTGGTTCCATCATCACCGAAGCGTTTGCGTCGACTTTCCCCACCGTCATCGCCTATATTGTTGACACTCCAAGAAACACATCACCCACCACTTTCATGTCCAACATGTTATACGCATGTTCGATTTTGTATAAAACCAAATTGCCCATGATCATAGTATTCAACAAAACCGATGCCCAAGACGCTGAGTTTGCTAAAGAATGGATGAAGGATTTCGAAACGTTCCAAATTGCCATCAACAAAGACCAGGATATGAATAGTGAAGACGGGTCCAGTTATATGTCTTCTCTTGTGAACTCGATGTCCTTGATGTTGGAAGAGTTCTACTCCACTTTGGATGTTGTTGGTGTCAGCTCGTATACCGGGGCGGGATTCGACGATTTCATGGATGCTATTGACAACAAGGTGGAAGAATACAACGAGTTTTATAAGGCAGAAAGAGAACGGATCTTAAAGAAGAAAGAAGAGGACGAGAAGAAGAGACAGGCAAAACAGTTAAGTTCATTGATGAAAGACTTGAAGATCAAGAACGGTAAAACCGCTTCGAACGACGGCGAAGTATTATCTGATTTGGAAGACGAAGAAGAGGATGAATACAATGGAGAAGTGTTGAGGGATGAAGACGAGCCCCAAAGAGAATACACCTTCCCTGAAGATAGAAACTCCGAGATTAATAGTAATACTGATTCTGACTTACAGTCTCGATACCAAGCTGCTCTTGAAGCTACTTCCAAGACGACATCATCCAAGACTGCTGAAAACATTGCTCAGTATATCAGACGTTAAGCTTACGAAATAAATGTATATTACCTTTGCAATTTTTTAGCCATATCATTTTGTGGCATACCTCTTTTTTAGATGTGCATCATTACTTCTGCTGTGCTTGGAACTCTTGCAACACCTTGTCTATGTCGTAAGGCTGGTGGTACTCTTCCTTAAATATCAAATGCGGCTTGTGCTTCGCAAGATGCAAAATAGTCTTTCCAAACTCGGAATTGCCCCAGGCAAACCAACTTCGTGTATAAGCATTACCACCCCTGGAATTCACTTGTACACTCTCGTGAATCAAACCTAATCCTGCCGTGGATTCCATAACAAGCTTCAAATCTCTCAAGATCTCCTCATCGTCATTGGTGGTACGCATGGCTACCAATAAAGACATTGGCCAAGCATTGTTAATACCGATATGCGGCCCTCCAATTCCACTAAAGTACCTTCCTTTTAAGTAGTATGGGTTCCCGTTCTTGGAAAGAAGCATTTTCCGGGTGTTTTGGTACACTTTGTTTTCTAGTTCAATATACCCCATATCTGGGGCAGCTAATAACGATGGGATATTGGCATCGTCCATGAATATCGAACTTCCGTACCCATCAACCTCATAAGCATAAACCTTGCCGAATATCGGATGGTCGACAATCCCGTGCTGATTTATACCAATTTCGACATTCTTGATAACTGTATCTGTTGTAGCAATCATCGCATTGATATCGAGTTTAGAATCCACATGTAATTTCTCGTTCAAAATTTGGGTTCTTAATGTCTTCAATTCTGTTAACATGTGCATGTTTGCCGGGATGAAGAACTGGAGAATACAGGCATCATCAGAAGGCCTGAAGGCTGACCTGATAAGTCCGGTACCATAGTTAACAGGGTTTCCAGTTCCTGCCAATGGTAACGTTTCAGTTCCAATATTGGTGTCTCTTTGGAAGGTATAGTAAAATGGTAACACCAGGCCCGTTCGCTGGTTAAAAGTTGGCGACGACTCTCTTCTCAACACGGAGAGGATTTGATTGTATGCTTGTAACCAAGCGTCGTTCACAAAAGACATGTCACCTGAATTAGCGTAGTATTCATTGGACAACGTCAAGAACGATGCCAACGAGTCCAATTCGTATTTGCACTCAAATACATGTCTCCAATCGGGACGAGGATGCACCTTATCAATAGCCGAATTGCCTTTCTTAATACCAGACCCTGTTGGTGGGTGGAATGCATTGCAATACGGAGAGTTCCATAGATATAACAGCTGGGTGTTGATGGCACCTTTAATCAACTCCTGTAGTTTTGTGTCGTACTTGACAAATGGTTGGTACGCTGACATTTGACGAGCGGAATCTCTCAACCACTCGGCATGGATGTCACCTGTCACAATAAAGGTTTGGGGTGTTGGAACCTGTTTTGCTGTGTTTTTCTCTCCCGTGGGAACATGCCATAAAATGGCGGTATCTAACGTGTTCGGTAAGCAATTCTCCACCAACCGGCCCAAGTCCTCGTCTTTCAATTTCTTCTTCAAATCATCAATTACGTACTCCACAGCTGACGAAACAAAAGTCCGACATTTGGGAGCAGGTCTCATATATGCGTACTTCAAGGGTCCTTTGGAGAAAGGCTCATGTGATAGCTCAGAGTATTTGGTATAGTCGGGACATTTGGTCACTTTAGAGTCCATGTACTCAAGAAATTGTTGGTCAATATTGTCAATGCCCTGACGACGGGGTAACAGCACAACCAGTGATTTTTTGTCATCCACCACCTCTGGTAGAATGTTTGGTAGGCTGTACACGTATAAGTATACCGTGAATACCACAGCTGCCACCACGAGCACCGCCAAGCGCTCGGGTCGGATGCGTTTGCCATACACATACATAGCCATTGTTTCTGAATGAGTTTTAACAGGTTGCGAAATTCCGTGCGAATAGATGCGATGTAGCCTTTCTATAGATATATGCAAGAGGGTTATTTTTCAAGAAGGTAGAGGCTGTCTTGGGCCTTGTTAAGAGCCACCCGTGTCGACCCTTGTTCTGCGAAAAATTGGATGAGGTCGTCTATGTTAGAATGCAATTTGGCATTTTTGGCGATCTCAAGCAAATCGTCGTACTTGTAGTCTACATTCTTTTGCACAGACGGTTTCATAGACGATTTGAAGCTCAGTAAAAGGAGCTGTTGTGTGAGGTCAAGCCTGACGGCAAAAATCTGGAACTCAGATTCCAGGGCCCGCAATATTCTCATCAACTCTTCATGGCTGTCACCGAGAACTGGAGCCTCGATGGTGAGAATATACAAATCATTGAATGAGACGTCATAGGGGAACACATCTGCGATTGAAGTCTGCTCTAGCTCACCGATTGTTTCCTTCACCGGGAACTGTTCGAAGATATCGGACTCGGGCCCTTCAAACCGGGTTCCCTTGTGAAGTATCTCAATGTCTTTGGAAGACGAGAGTTTATTGCACAACTCATCGTGTTCAATGTTAATCGATGGCCAGTCTTTGATGCGAGGCTTAGTTTCCGTATACCCACGCTCCCGGCTCCTGATGGCAAGCGAAAGAGTGTCGTAATAAATAAGTTCTGTTAAATGGTAGCTTCTCTTACTCCCGTGTTTACTACTGAGGGCCTTGATTTGGTACTTGAGGTTTCGGTACGGAAAATTGATCTGACTGGTGGACAGTTCGGAGAGTAGCCGGTTTTTCTGTTTCAAAAAGATGGTGACGGGCGAATATTGGAGAAGTCGTTGGTACCATCTGAAGATGTTTCTATGGGTGACGGAGTTGGGAATGAATTGTCGAGGAGAAAAATGAGCAGCAAACGAGTTGGCCATATTTCCGTAGGCTTTTGAATGTTTGGCTGTTGTTATGGACGAAGATGACGGTATTCGAGCAAGGATAGGCTCATTGGAGCTGTCTTTTGTATTTAATTGAGGAGTTTTGTGCCTGTTATATTCATCTTTGAAGAGGCCTTCCACGTCATAGCTCTCAAGCTTGTCCAAAGGATGGTGCTTCAGGAAAAGTGGCCGTATGAGTTGTTGTTCGATCCTCAGAAAGTGTTGTGACGTTAATTGTAGTCGGTTATGGATAACCTTATTTCTCATAAATTGGGCATTGTTGTTATTACGGTGATTTCGAACACTCGAGTTCATTGTGTCACTCTGCTTGATTATGCAAGCCTCATACACTCGAAGGAACAGTTGCATGTGCTTCGGTAGCCGATTCAAAGCTATCTGGGACATGGTGGTTGTGGGATCTCAGATTCGCGATGGGATATTTTTCTACCTCTACCGCACTTGCAAACCATGTCTGAAGAAGAAGAGATCTTGGACTTGGGGATGTTCGAGGAGCCTGCGGACTTCAGACCCCCGGCCGCCGAACACCACTTTGCCTTGTATGAGCGGGTGACCACTAAAGCCCCTAGCACCATCAATTTGCGCTTGGTGGGCAAGTCTCCGCTCTGGGGCCATCTCCTCTGGAACGCAGGCAAATACACAGCAAATTACATAGATGAGCACGCAGAAGAGCTCGTCCGCGGTAAGCGGATTCTTGAGCTTGGGGCTGCCGCTGCGTTGCCGTCGTTGATTTGTGGCTTGAACGGAGCTTCAGAAGTTATCTGTACAGACTATCCAGATCCTGATTTGATTGAAAATATTCAGTACAACGTCGACCACTGTCAAGAATTAAGTCCACAGGCTGTCAAAGTCAGGGGGTACATCTGGGGAGGTGAAAAGGCTGGGATATATGGAGTGGAAGAGAAGAAGATGGTTTTGGAGGATGAAAAATTCGACTTGATCATTCTTCTGGACTTGGTGTTCAATCATACGGAACACTTGAAGTTGTTACAGGATTGTCGGGATTTACTTAAAAGAGACGGGAAGGTGTTTGTGGTTTTCAGCCCTCACCGGCCCCGCCTTTTGTCAAACGACCTAGAGTTTTTCAAGACTGCCGAGCAGTATGAGTTTAAGAGCGTGCAAAATGACTTGGTGATATGGAAGCCGATGTTTGAAGAGGACGATGAAACTGCCGAAATCAGAGCTCGAGTGTACTCATACTTTTTAATTCCTCAATGGATTGAATAATATCTTTATATTTATATAAAATTATTAGTGGAGACTAATGTAACATGAAAAGTTTTCAAAGGATCAACTTAATGCGCTTATTGGCTGGATGGACCTGGGTTCATTCTTCTCTTACCATTAGTCAAGGTGACGTTAACGAATCTTCTGGTGTACAACAAACGCTTGTAAGCTCTACCCTTTGGCTTCTTGGCCTTTTCCTGTTTTTCAACCTTTGGAGTTTGAGACTTGACTTTACCAGCACGAGCTAAAGAACCGTGAACTTTTCCCTAGAAAGATGTTAGTAACAGGTTTGTGACATTATCGACAGCAGATACTGAGAGACTGGGTGGGAATAGAAAATAAGGATTTTGAAATACAGTCACGAAATTTGGGGTATACCGTTCATCAGGATACAACGGACTCATATGACGACACGAAGTGGGTCTTCTAGTGGTCATATCTCCACTGGGGTGAAACTGGAAGATGTGGCTACTAACACATCATTCACGCAACTTTGGACTTGACGGATCATCACTTCAGTACAGCTATTCTTTTGGGGGAAACGGGTATGGACGACATCCCACTCTTCTCTCTCTCAGAAGATATCCCGTAGTTTATCAGGATATCCAAATGCTTCATTATATTAAACCGTTTCAACATACCATTTTGTCTTAGTAATATGTGTATGGGCGATTAAAATTTTTAAATGGTGGATTTTCTTGGGGCGTGAGGAAATATGGCGGCGGCGCACGACATGTTCCCTGGTGGGGGCCAAGCAGCGTGACTGGGGCATACGCGCACGAGATTATAGGGCGCGCGCCCTTGACTTGCAACCCATACATTCACATCTACATCCACCACCTAGTGCCTCGTATGCGGTTCTAATCAGTATTATCTATTGCTTTTGCTATCATTACACACTAATATTCCCGAATCACCACCACCAAAAGCGTCACCAATACCGCCAAAATTACCCCTATCAATGTAGCCAATGCCTTTCGAGTGGCAGGATAATAATTGTATATGAGAAGGTGCTGCACTTTGAAGTACCGCACGAACCCATGAAGTAAGGTGACGATGCCCAAGGCAATGAAAATCCCACCCAATGGCTTACCATATTTGTGGAACCGATCAGCATCGGGAATGTCAAGGTTCACAAACCTACCTGAGGTCTTCACCTTTGAATTGCTCAGCAACTTGAAGAGTTGAGTGATACCAATGCCTATGGTGATAAAGGAGAGCGATGTTCTGAGCCACGCTAGGAACGTTCGTTCATTGGCCATCTATTTGAGTTAGTATACAACTTGAGGGTAGAAGGTATTTGAATGGAAAAACATACGTGGTCTCGGGCAACTGACCCTTTGTTCTCGAGGGAAATAGACCCTTGGAAGATGGTGGCCGAGCTGAACTCGGGGATGTCGGGCTCGTCAATGGTTTGGTCTGCCATGGTGATGAAGGGGGTTTTGTCGCAGGCGGTTTCACCAAAATGCGATTAGCCAACTGTGGTGCGCCACAAACGTGATATGCAGCAAGAGGCTGCTGGGAGGCTGCTGGGAGGCTCCAGGCTGCGCACGTGACATCTGTTCCCCCCCATGGGTATACTTTTTCCTGGATGTCAGAATGAGGATCTCCGGCTACGCTATAGCAGTAGGGCACAACCAGGTGTCCTATTCGGGGTCGTGTTCCAGGCGAGACCGGCATATCCAATGAGTGCTGCTCTCAATGATTGCATCATCCACTAAACTCTAGGTTTGGACTCTCGGAAAAGGGTTATTAAGATTTGGAGGGGTAGGGATCATGACCCCCACCTGTATACCTTGTTTATTTGCTTATCACACCAAGTGTATTTCTTTTCTTTTGCTCATACCAAGATTTTACGGTTGTTGCAAGCCTTATCAGGAAGTCGGGTGCGGGTCTCCGGATACTTCTGAAAGGTTAATCGACCAGCGGTGAAACCTTGTAACCACCACATACTTTCGAACTCCAGGTGCCTAACCCTTGAACACTTCTCGAACCTCCACCAGCCCTTTGGTAATTAAAAAATATCCATATTTCTTAATGCGGTTTTGATTGTGTCAAGCTGCGCCGATCTATCGGGTTCCGCGCGGAAGCTGCAGTTAAATAACGCACCCGAACCTACAATTTCACACCATTTGGTTCAGTCAATGATTTCTGTATATAGGTAATCTATGCTATTAACTGGTTCATGCTATTATGTCTTGTGTCTTGATGAATAGGGTGTAGATGTAGATGCTTGAAGCTCACATACACAAGAGGAAAGCACCTGCCAAGAGAGGTAAAAAAATTAAGCCTTGGGTACTACCTGAAACTGCCAAGATGGATGGATGGCTACGTCCAGGGCTGGCCCCGTTGGTGGCCGTGATGGTGGTCTGATCGTATGTTCTGATCTGTCCCACCTGCCCAGAAAGTGATCCCAACCCCATGGATCCCGACACCGGCGACGACACTTCCTCGTACATCAGGGTGAATTTTTGGCGGTAGATGGATTGATACGTTGTAAGTTTTCCCGAGATGGTACCAGTGGCCCACACCAAGGTGTTGGTGGTTGTGGTGGCATCAGCATGAACGAAAAAAATCAACTGGAGGGCAAACAATATCGAAATAAACAATCTCATGATGGTGTGGCAGATTTTCAATCAAGGATGCTGCTTTTATTCAAGTGAATGCTAGTACTTGGATTATGCAAAGGAAAAGTAGGACCCGGATGCCTGATTCACACGTTTTTCAACGTCACCGTAAGATTTTGAACGAGTGTAGAAGTTGAACAAAGTTGTCAAGCCGTTGAAAAAAACTTCCTGTTCACCATCGCTATATAAGTGTCACCAGTGTTTGAAATCAAGATGATAAAATAAAAATAAAATAAGCGAAAATCCTGAGTTAGACCTGCATGTATTCCTCTCCTTCATGCACCTCAGACCTTGTTATATTTTGTCAACAGCCAGATTTTCAGCCCTGTCTCTTATATTTGAGTTCCGGATTAACCTCGTCCTTACAATTGCTAACGGCCGGTAGCTGGGCAAACACCTGCAGAGCGGAGACTAACATTAGATCCGAACTGTCGGGTGAAAGTTATTTTAAGCTCCTGTTGTTAACTGACATATAAACACGTCCTCTCCTCTAAGCCCTGTGCTGCACTGTTACGTGGTTCGTGGTGCTGCCGAACCTGGCGTGGTTCATAATTCTGCGCCTAAAATTTCATAGTTGTTAAGGACGGATGCAGAAAAAGGCATTTCGTGTCAGGAATTGCGAGGGTTGGTTATTGTTCCCTAACACAGTGGAACACCACGGTGTTTGAGTTTACAGTACCAGCCCTCAAATTTCAAGTACATGTAGCCTTAAATAAAGTAATCAATGGTAGGCTTCTTGGAAGGGATAGAAGAGATTTCTTGGTTGGTGGACGCCTCGAAAACCTTATACTGTCGGCCCAATGCGTTATCGATGGCTAGCACCAGGGCAATATTCCCACACCGGTAACAATAATTAGGAGCAGACCACACCGTTACCAATCTCTTATCAAACATTTCCTTATATCCTTCCATTACAAGCTGGTGGGCCCGAGCTATCAACGAGACGCCGTTGGTGTGAGAAAACTTCTTGACTTCGTTGTACCCGAATAAAAACCCTGCCCCTCGAGGGGAAATCGACCAACTGGGCACATCTTCTGGATCCGACCAAAGCAAATCGCACATGGCCCCTTCGTGAGGAACTTCTTGTTTCCTATTGATCACACGGATCTGATCGATCTGATCTATCATCGGGCTCAAGCCCCCGTGGACACAGAAAACCCCGTCTTGACCGCCTATCATCGCTCCCAAGGATAAATAATCAAACACCTCACAACAGTACCTCCACACATTGACACTGCCATACTTGCGGAGACACTCGTCGTAGAACCCGTAGACAGTTGTGATCTGTCGGGTCTCATGATTGCCTCTGATGAGGGTGATGCGGTCAGGGTACCTCACTTTGAGCGCCATAAGCAAGAGAAAACTCTCTAATGAGTAGAATCCTCTATCCACAAAGTCTCCCAAAAAAAGGTATTGGGTAGACGGACACTCGCCACCTGTTTTGAATAGCGTCAACAAATCATGGAGCTGCCCATGGATATCTCCACAAATGGTTATAGGTGTATCTAGGGCTTGCACGTTTCCCTCTTCAATGAGAATTTCAATAATCTTATTGCATAACTCTTCCACATCCCTTTCGGGAATTAACTTGCACTCCTTGACACGCTCGATTGTACTGGTCAAAGGTTAGTATAAAGCGCTCGGTATATTCAATTGGGTGGATACTTACTCGTCCAAGTTTAACATTGAAGCTGCGTACTTTTTTCTGGAGCCTCAAAAACGCGTACTGTTATCGCTAACATTTATTCCTAAATCACAATCTATATTACACATTTAATTCGTATACGCTCTCCATAAGCGTCTAGCTCCTCCTGGTGGGCAATGTATACTTCATGAAGGCACGTTGCAACTTCTTCCGTACCGTCACCTTTTGTGCTCCCACAAAACTATCGATACTCACCTTGATGGCCCGATTCAAATCACTTTGACTGACAAAATCACTCAACCTCATCTTGGCAAATGCTTCTGCAATTCTCAAAATACTTTCCAAATGACGAACCGTGATAGGGAAGGACTCAGTGGCAAGCGATTCTCTTCTCAAGTCGGCATATACCTTGGCAACCTTGTCCATATCCATTTGGTGTAATTTTGGATGAACTTTGGCTCTGGCATAAGCAATATATTTGCCTAACAATTCCTGGCTGATTGGAGAAATTTCCTTTTCTTTCTGCTTGTTGACCTCGGCAAGACGTCTTTGTCTCGAACTCTTACTAGGAGTATCGATTTCCATAACTTCATCGTCTTCACCCATGAAATCATCACCAAGCTCAGTGTTGGGATGTGATCTCATATGAGAATCAATGACGAAACTCGCCAATCTTTCATCCAGCTCTTCATTCACGATGTCTCTCACCACACACAAAATATCGAATCTCGACAAAATTGGTTCTGTCAAGTCAACGTTCTGTGATAAAGTCAATGTCGAATTGTACTTTCCTCCGTTAGGGTTAGCAGCTGCAACGATCGAGCATCTGGCTTGTAAAGTGGTGACAATACCGGCTTTGGAAACAGAGATACTTTGCTGTTCCATAGCTTCGTGAATGGAGGTTCTGTCTTGGTCGTTCATCTTATCAAATTCATCAATCAAACAAACACCTTTATCTGCCAAAACCAAGGCACCACCTTCCAAAGTCCATTCGCTAGTTAATGGGTCTCTTCTGACAGAGGCTGTCAACCCGACGGCAGATGCACCTTGACCAGTTGCAAAAACAGCTCTGTTTGCAATTTTTTCGACATACTTCAAGATTTGTGATTTGGCAGTACCGGGATCACCCAATAATAACACATTAATATCACCTCTAATGGAATGCTTACCATTGATGTCTTTTGGAACACCGCTGAAAAGAGAACACGCAACAGCAGTCTTGATGTCTTTATGTCCATAGATAGAAGGGGCCATGGACGAGATGATCTTATCGATGATACCTCGTTCTTGACTCAACTTCCTGAATTCTCTTTCCTCTTCTTCCGAAAACAAACTCATATTCTGGTTTGAAATTTCCTTCTTGTTGATCGAGTTGGCTTCAATAATGGTAGCGAACACTGGGAATCCACTCTTAACGTTTAAGTTACCATCATAGTTGTTCTTGTAAATACCAGTGACCTCGACTTCTTCACCGGGTTTAGCTGTATCGACTAAGTCACTCAACAAAATGATTTCTCTATGTCTAGGTAATCTACCAGCAGGTACTGACCCAGGCCTTTCCTGTAATGTGATTCTTTGGTAGTTTCTGTATAAGGTTTTTTCGCTGTTGATTTTTAAAGGTCCCTTGGACTGACAATTGGTACAGAATGAAATCTTAACTTCAGTATGCGATTCTTGAATAAACGGACCCAAAACAGCACCACACTTGAGACAGTCGAACTTGACGTACTTCAACTGAGGGAAAACACTGGTTCTTCTGGTAACAACCCCATTGATCTTGATCAAGTTATTCAAGTTGCTCTCTCTCAAATCTCTTAAGCTCATCAAGTTGGGGAAGTTGATGATTCTAACGTGGATTTCTTGGTGAATTTGCGAATAGTTAGGGTAGTGCAATTCAGTGGCTTCCATGGCAACAATGTCAAATATTCTTAACACTTCAGCAGGGGAAGTGGCCAAAAATAATGCCAAAATGGCTTTGGATTCAGCCAAGTGGTCGTAAGACACTTCCAACGATTCACTGTTAACTTCACCCAAAGATCTAATTCTGGCACCATACACGGATCTACCCTTCTCATCAGTATATTCCAAGAGGAAAGATCTCAATTCTCTAGCAATGGACCGAGAAACCGCAGGTTGCAAAATCCATTCGGTGATGCTAGGAGCCTTAATGTCACTCAAGCTTTCCAAAGATAACTCTTCGTTGAAAGGGTCAATTTCTTCGAGCTCGTCCATGCCATCGCCTTCTTCTTCCAATTGACGTCTTCTTCTTCTTTGAATAGGCAACCCGTACTGGTCCAACCTTCCTTCATCGTCGCCATCATCGTCTCCATCCAAAAATGCCTGGCTTCTGGACCGGCCACCTCTTGACATTAATTCGTCTCTTCTGTTCAACTGGTTGTCGATTCTTCTTCTGGTGGCAGCGTCCAACTCTTCGTATTCTTCATCATCGATGTTTCCATCTCCCAAGTCGTACTGGTCTTGAGCCTCATTAATTCTGTAGTCACCTTCAATGTTCTCCATCAAATCCTCTCCGTCTTCTTCGTCACTAGGATTTAAATCTTGTATATCATCGTGGATTTCCTCTTCTTCATCTTCAAAAGGCCGCGAGGGTGAAGAGGGAAGAGGTGGAGACGAAGGGATGGGTGATGAATGGTCACTCAACACCTCGTCATCTTCATCTACTTGTCTTTTTCTAGGGTTTCGTGTTGGACTTGACATGATGAATGTTGGAGTTGTACAAATGAGATAAATGTGCCATATATCAAGTGCGCACTACGCGATAATTTTTTTCCACACAACGCGTCTAATAAATTATCCTAATTGGGTTAATTAATGTTATGGCTTGGGAGGACACGACTATCACTTAGGCATTTTGAAAGGGGAAGAATGCCTAGCAGGTCTTAGTTGTGTGCTGGTAGTGGGAGGCCCGCCCGGGAGAATGAGAGCTGTTATGAAATTGTTTTTAGTAACAGATTTTGTAAGACTATAGCCACCCATTCCTAAGAACCTATCTCCTAACGTCTCTATCCCCAGTCTCATGTCTTCTCTTGGTATATCATGGTGTTCACGACTAGTGTAATTCCTTCTGTTGATTATATTTGTTATGGTTCATTTTTGTTCTGTCTCAAATCCCTCTCATTTCTGCGAAACTCACAAATATATAAAGGCTCAATTTAGGCTACAGTGAAGTTCTGACCAATAAAACTATGCACCTTCACAACGTCTCATGGTTGCTTTTATCGCTATTCGCAGTAGCCACCGCTGACAAAATTAAAACCACTAACGACACTTTGCTCAACGCTAACCTGGTTAAGGCAAATTTTGCAGCCACTGAGAACCAAACTCAGGTACCACCTCTATCATGGAAAGAGCTCATCACAAGCTTTTTTCACGATCCCAAACCCGTCACCAAGAGACATTATATCCTCGACAGCCACTTCAACCAAGTTAAATATTTTCAGACCATGGACGATTTCATCACGTCCACCTACTTCAAAAACCCCAAGAGGCCCGACCAAGTTTATGCCAAGATCAATGAGACCGAAAGTAATTCCCTCTTCTCGGTGGTATCTTATCCTACGGAGAAGAAAACAGGCAACATAATTGTGAGGGAGGTCTACTATGGAGAGCCAAAGTCTGCATCGATTCTAAACCAGCCCATCACCAAGTGTGCTTATTCTCACAGTCCTCTTGCTTCGGTACAAATCAGGAAGAGTAACTCATTTTCCCGTGCGTTCGAGCATGTGCATGGATTCCAGGTTTCAGCTAGTTATTCACTCAATATTATGGATGTGTTAACTGCCGGCCTTCTGAGCATTATCGATAATGTTTTGCCGGGACTCGCAAACCTTACCATTGGCTTAGGGGTTTCCAGTGAGATTGGAAAACTGTATTCTACGTCTCGTTCGTTTGGGGGAACAGTCAACTGTGGATCTGGAACCAGTGATTCCACCCAGTTGTTTGTCAGTATCCGATACGTATACTATCCCAACGCCAAAGTCCGGTACCGGGTGTATAGGACCAAGGGCCGTTTTTCTGGGTCGTCTGCCAAGTTTGTTGAAGCTTCTCCCTGGGAAAAGGCATACAGCTCTGAGTCCCATTCCGAGTATGGAGTAGTCGTCTACGATAATAGCCATGGGACCGAATACGCGTGTGTAAACGACCCCAAGTACTTACAGTGTGATGATGAGGTGAATTTCAAAGTGTTTGATCCTCAGTATGATCCGGTGGAAGGTCTTCACTATGCGCTCCAAGTTTAGTTATCGCGACCTGAAAAAATCGAAATTCATAACCTGTTAGATCAAGATGAAAGACAATGAATCCAATGATACTGGGGGTGCGGATGATAAGGTGACGACGGCTGTGGCCTATATTGAAGAGCAGGATGAACTTGAAAAAGAGGCCAAGGAATTGATGCCATATGAGCCCAATGAGTGTACCTTCAATCAGGGGCCGCTTCGCCAGCCTGTGTTTGCGTGTTTGACATGTTCAAGAGACAATAACGGCAATGCTATTGGAGTATGTTATTCGTGTTCCATCCAGTGCCACTCATCTCATGAAATAGTTGAGTTATTCTCCAAGAGAAGTTTTGTGTGTGACTGTGGTACAACTCGAATGTCCAAGTCCTTCAACGGTGCCTGTAAAGTCAGGAACAAGATAGACCATAGTGATGAATCTTTTCGACCACGGACCGGTTCTTCGTCTACACCATCGCATCGGTCATGGGGCAGTGTGAGTAATTTGGACTCGCCTGCTGAAGACGTTCCAGGATCTAATTCCTATAACCACAACTACAAGGGCTTGTTTTGCAGTTGTGAGAAACCCTATAATCCTTTGGAAGAGACTGGGAATATGATCCAATGCTATTTCGGATTTGAGTGTGGTGAAGACTGGTACCATGAAGATTGTATTTTGGGCTACACAAAGGAAGCTTTGAGCAAGTCCAAAGTCAAACCTGAGCCTCTGAATCTATTGAACAATCTCCCCGAACCTGGTGATGAGGCTGCTAATGACATTCTGGTGAATACTACATCCGAGCCAGGACTTGAGAGAGTTGTCCCACATTTTCCCAATCTCGAAGATTTCGATGTATTTTTATGCTGGAAATGTGTGCTGGTGTTCTCCAAAGTATTTGATACTCTTGAAACTCATGGTGATATTGTTCTTTGTTCATTACCACACTTCAAAGACGTAAAGTCTGAGTCCGAATGGGAAGCGTTGTTCGCTCAATATAAGGGAAATGACGAAGGAGAACCAAGTTCCAAGAGAATAAAATTGGAGAGTTCAACCTCAGTGGTGCCTAAGCTGGTGTTTTTTAAATTTGACTTCAGAGATAACCTCAAGCAGCTTAAAGACACAACCACAGACGATAAAATCAAGAACTTTTTGATCAATCATGACTATCTTTACGAATCTGATCCCGTCTATGAACCCCCAGAAGATGACGAGTCTTCATCTACTCTCGAACTCGGAGCTGATGTACTTCTGTCTTTACCCAGAGAACAAGCTGTTGAGGGGTTACAAGCTTACAATCAAATTAGATCGAAACTTAAAGACTTTTTCAAACCGTTTGCCGAACAAGGTAAGGTTGTGACTGAAAAAGAAGTGAGAAACTTCTTTTCTAATATCAAGAAAGAGGACAAATGACACGAATAATATATATATATGTATAATGAATCTTATTTACAAAGTTATGATTTCAGGCTGCAGCAGAAGCAATTTGTCCTCTTGAAGACGTGGAAGACCTTTTATTCTTCTTCTTTTGATCCAACTTGGCGAATTCTTCCTTCCAGACATTATTACATTCTTCCTTAGAGACATCTGGGAAAATTCTGTCGAATACTTCTTGGTACCATTCAACAGGGACGAACGTAACACCTTCCTTAACTTCTTCTGGGATTTCTTCAAGCTCGTTTTCAATATCCTTAGGGAAAATGATGGTATCACAGCCGTATCTCTTGGCACCTAAAGTCTTTTCTCTTAATCCTCCAACAGGTAACACTCTACCAGTAACTGTGATTTCACCAGTCATGGCAATGTTTGGTGGTAAGGACCTGTTGAGGGCCAAGGATACCAAAGATGATGTAAATGAAATACCAGCAGAAGGACCGTCTTTTGGAATAGCACCATCTGGGCAATGAACATGAACGTCTGCAGCTTCAAAGAATCTGTTTTCTGGGAAGTTCTTAACCATGAACAGCTTAGTGAACGAGTAGGCAATGGAGGCCGATTCCTTCATAACTTCCTTCAAGCTACCAGTAACATGAATACCAGCGTGTCCAGATCCTGAGCCTATTGAATGGGTCAAAATGGACTCAATATACAAGGCATCACCATTACCAGAGGAACTATAAGCAAGACCCGTGGCTACACCTGGAGGTGGAATGTCATAAACACGATCTCTAGTATAGATTTCGGGTCCAACATAATCTTTCAAGTTTTCAGGGGTGATCTCTAACTTAATTTCTTCTGGAATCTTGAGCTTTTCAATCTTTTCTTCAGAACCCTTCTCAGTATCCACTTCCTTGATATCATTAGGCTTGATATCTTGAGGATTATTCAAAGGTTCGTCGATATCGACAGCTGGAGCACGAGCTGCGTTAGCATTTATGGTTTCTTTGGAAGAAGATGCAGCTACCACAGGTTCACTGGCTTGTGTTGATTCTTTAGGAGCAACAGTAAGAGGTTCATTTGGACCAGAGCTGGCTGATGTTGTTACAGCTTCCTTGGATGCTTCTGAACTGGCTTCTAATGGTGAATCTTCAAGCTGTTCAGCAATCTTGAGAGAAGCTTTACTGAAGATTCTAGTCACCAACTTCTTGACGTTTCTAAGGCCACTTTCACGACAATATTTCTCAATTAATCTCTTGATTGTTGCATCAGGTATAGCGACGTGGTTTCCTTCGAGACCTGCCTTCTTTTCAGCATCTGGAATTAAATGTCTCTTGGCAATCTCGAGCTTTTCGTTGTTGGTGTAACCATTGACGTTAATGATTTCCATACGATCTCTCAAAGGAGCAGGAATGTTCCCTAAGTAATTGGCAGTACAAACAAACAACACTTTGGACAAATCAACTTTAACATCAATATAGTTATCCACAAAAGCATTATTTTGTTCAGGGTCCAAGATTTCCAAAAAGGCAGAAGCAGCACCTCCACCACGACTCAAATCCAACTTATCAATTTCATCAATAAGCATAAGAGGGTTGGAGGTTTTGGCTTGTTTCAAGGCAGAGATAATCCGACCAGGAATAGAACCAACATAAGTCCTTCTGTGTCCTTTGACTTCATGAACATCTTGAATACCACCCATAGCAATTCTGACATACTTACGGTTCAAAGATTCTGCAATGGACTTGGCAATGGAAGTCTTTCCAGTACCGGGAGGACCTGCAAGACACAAGATCTTACCATCCACCTTACCAGAAATCTTACCCATTGAGATGAATTCCAAAATTCTTTCCTTGACATCCTTCAAACCGTAATGGTCCCTTTCCAAAATTTTTCTTGCTTCCTTGATATTGAAACTGTCCTTTGAGTAAATTCCCCAGGGAATAGAAGTCAACCAATCTAAGTATCGTTCACTGACACCTAATTCACTAGAATGCTCATTTTGATTTTCCATTTTGGCTCTTTCCGCATTATAGGCTTCCATAGCTTCTTCTGAAAGCTTCAAATGTTTCAATCTCTCATCAAACTTGTGAGTCTTCTTATCTTCTGACTCAGCGATTCCTGCTCTTTTCTGTAATTCCTTGATGAACTCCTTGATAAATAACTTGGTTTGAAATTCATCAGCTTTACTACTCAAGTTATGGATAGTGTTTTCTTTGATAAGATTAGCTCTCATTTCCACTTTCAATAATTCCAAAGCTTTGGATAACCTCTCTTCAATATCCACCGTCTCCAAGATCTCTTGGATCTTCTTTGGATCACCGTGAATGGTAGAACCAACAAAATCAGCAAACTTGGGTGGATCGCTAACAAGCTCAGTGCCTTCCTTGATTTGAAGCTTTTCCAATGGGTTTTTGCTGCCCATTTTACTCAACAAGGTCTTGATTGCTTCAATAAGAGATCTGATGTCAGGCGATTGGGAATCATAAGGCTCATCTTCCATAGGTCTGACCGTGGCATAAGATACTTTCAAATCCTTTAAATAGGAGGTCGAAAACTTATCCATGTCTATTGAATCCTTCTTTTCGCCAGGTGCACTAAGGTCCTCCAACTTGATTCTCTGTAAAGGATATCCCAAAATATTAAACGTTCCGGGACGTGGGGAAGTGTGTCTGATAATTTGACAATGAACACCGACGTCGTACACCGAATCTCTGCTTTGAATGATATCAGTATCACCCTTATCTTGGTCCTTGATATGAAACAATACAAAGTATGGTTCTCTCTTGTCGATGATGGTGTAGATGGACCTTATCACTTCTGGATCAGTGATGTTGATGGCAAACGGACGTCCTGGAAGTGGGGGTCTGTCTTTCATAGGGATTGCTAACAATGGCGGATATACCCCGGTCTTTGGATCTGCTTCCATTGACTTGTCACCATCATTTCCATATCCATTTCCATTGCCACCACCACCAGAAGCACCACCGGCGGATGTTGGGGTGATGGAGCTTGAAGCTGGAGTTACAGTAGAATCTTCTTCGGAAACAGATTTGTCGAGATCTTCTTCTTTGTTACCCTCGTCCTTCTTGATCTTATCATCAACGTCGGACTCTTCATCCTTTTTGATTTCCTTGCTATTGTCATCTTCTTGGGGCTCTTCCTTCTCTTCGGGAACAGTTTCACTTTCTTCAGACTTGAGCAACCATTCTATGTCCCGAGGAAACTGATTTACCGCAAATGGCTTGTAGGCGGATGGCGAGTATGGAAGTTTGGAAGAATAGTCGCCGGACACCAAGGAAGTGGCAAATCTGACGCATACCTTGTGGTGGGTAAGTGTCCGAGAGAGAACCGTGAAGTTACCTCTGGCTTTAATCATCGTGAATTATTAATTAAACTAGACGATCAGGTTGCAGTGACTACTATTAGTAATTGTGAATTGAGTGTCTTTTTGGTGATTGATGCGAACCCGAAAACGGTCAACTTTGAACCATTATTAGTGCGAAGGTCGGCAAGACCAAATGTGTGGTGCTACGTTTAAATAGATGGTTGTAGGCCTATAAGAGGTTGTAAATGGCCGTGTATCATGTATTAAGTATGGAGATGGACTTTTAAGTGATCTTGAACACCCGTCTCTTCTTTTTTTCGAAGGTGGTGGTGGTGCTGGTAGAAGCTTTCGTCTTGAAGTTGGGCGATTCATCTGCACCTTCGGCGAAATTACCTTCTTTGTAGTAGTCGAGAGAGTTGGCTCCATCCTGATCTAGATTCAAGCCTTGACTGAGACTTTGAGTTCGACTTTCAGCAAAATTTAGTCTTTTTGACTGTTTGCGCTTTCCAGATGTATTAGAGGCACCAGCTACAGTTGAGTTGGCACTAGCATATTCTTCGTCTTCGGATGCATTGTTGGAGCTATCCACGTTGGAGTTGGCGGTGATCACTGTGATATTCTCGCTATCGTCACCCATTATAGAGGTAGAGTTGGCATCGGGGCCTTCTTTTTCTTCCATAAGAATGTTCTCTTTCCCTTCGTTATTCAGTACTTTACGCAGCAGCGTGGTACTAAGCTTGACTTTGCCGTTGAACAACGTTCCATACCCAGATTCGTCATTACTAGAGTCTGATTTATCGAAATTCTCCACAAATGACATCCGGGATGGAGACTTGTTGGGCAGTGGTGGATCATATAGTCCCTTTGTTGGAGTCTCGAGAATGCTGCGGGTGGGCTTGGTTTGTCGCTTTGGTACCTGAAGTTGTTTCATTGTGTTTGAAGTCATGTACTTACCTCTTCGTTCGGTATTTTGGATAGGAGACACGAGCAACGGGTTTCTCACGGTGGTCTTATTAAGCGAGTTAAGGGTCGGGCTGAGAAAGCTCTTGGTGTCTAAAGCCCTGCTCAAGTATGGGGAGGTTGAATACGATAGACTGGTTTGGGGTTTGAGTTGAGGATGTTTGGTATTGTAGAACAAATTGGATGAGCCTTGAGAAGAGCCGGGGCGTTTGAGTTGTTGCTTCAACTTTGCGATCTCCTGCTTGAGCTTGTCGATTGTGGCCTCATTAATCTTATCCTTGGTATTCCATTCTTGTTTTAACTTGTTTATTGATAACTCATAGTTCAAGCACTTTTGGTTGAGGTCCTCAGAAGTCCCAGAGGGAACGGGTGCTGAACCGGTCTTCCTCTGGGACAACCCAATCACGTGCATCACTGCCAACCGTATTAGCTGCTTTCTATCGGCATCCTGTTCTTCGAGGGCATCAAGCGCTCGTCTCTTGTGATAATGATTTTGAATGTTCATGTTCTGTTTGTAAACAATAAATTGTATCAGTTCGCGTTTTCGAACTATTTCTCATCGCCTTCTGATCCATGCATCAACATAGTATCTATGAGGTGTGTAACGATCAGTTCGTCCAGAACCGAATTGTGGACGATTCAGTCAAGAGAAGAAATATACAAGGTGTCAGCGTGAAGAATCACACGGTTGTGGTGGATCTCGACAAGTACCGTGACCCACTCGAAGACATACTTCGAACCAAAGGAGTATATGTTTCACCAGACGAGATGTTTCGGTCGCTGCCCAACATGGTGGTAGATGTGCCGTTCCAGAGCAGAGAAGAATTTGAGGACTTGGAGCTTCCTGACTCCGAGTTGTTGAAGGTGCTTCATTATTATGTATCCAATCGGCTGGCTAACCAAGGTTGGAGACTCGAGAAGAAGTTGGATGAGACGGCTTTGTTGGCATTCGGGATGTTGGTAGAGAAATGGGCCGATGATATTGTTGATGAGAACGTTGCACGAATGTTCATTGAACAGCAAACTCGAGATAACAAAAGATTGCCTGTAGATGGAGATGAGGTTGAAGATGAGACTGCGCAAGACGCAGAAGTAGTACAAGAGGCACTAAGGGCCTACGAATAAGATGATTTTTGCAACGAAGACACATGACTTAGTACGGCTATAATATACAAGGTTTCATAGATGATTTATTTGGCTTCTGATGCTTCTTCAGGTTCTTCTGAGGCAGTGACACTGGCAGCTTCGGCTTCTCTACGGGCCAATTTATCTTCTTCTGCTTTTCTTTGGTAGATGGCTTCTTTCCCTTCATCTTTGGCAGTGGTGGCGATGTTGAAGAGTCTCATAAGTAATTCTTGAGTATCCTTTTTATTCACCATCAAGTTTACGTTGGCCTTACCCTTCCATAAAGGCAAAAATAAGTCTTCTTCATTTGGACCATCTCTCTTCACCGTCAAAAAAACACATCCTTCTCCAAACTGGTCAAGCTTATCGGAAAATTCCTTGTCGATGTTGGTGTCTCTGATCACACTAATCTTTGGGAACGCTTCCTGGAACAAAAACTCTAACAACTTCAAATTACCCGACACTTGCCTGGTGTCGGTCAAGTAAGATCTGAGAGTCACTAAAGACTCGTTTTGAACTCTCCAAGCACAGTTACCAGTATCGTTTCTCTGGGCCACAAACAATTTGATCCCACCGTGAATAAGCTTTAACTTTTGGTCTTCGATGGTCAAGATCTCCTTGACAATAGGAGAAACATAGTAAATGGTTCTCAAAGGTTCTCCGGTGGCGTTTCTCACAAGAGTACAGTCCTTAGGGAACTCCTCTTTGAATCCATAGAATGGCCAGCACTTTTCTAATTCTGGATGCTTTGGATCGAGGAAAATGAACGGTTCTTCGTTAGCATTTCTTGGTAACTTTTCCTTCTTCTGAGGTGCTGAATCACCATTGGCACCATCTTCCACCTTTTGTTTCTTAGCAACTGGACCTTCTTCAGAAGCTCCGTCTGGGTTGACCTTCTCAAACACAGCGATGAAGAAACCACCGGTGTTTTGTAAATGAGGGTAGACTCTAATGCAGTTTTCCAAACCGAATTGCTGAGCTTCTTCTTCAGTAGGAGCGAAAGCGGTTTCGGGAATTCCTTCTGCACCTTTTTCTTTCAACTCCATATCCTTTCCAAATACCTGCCAGTTGCTGAGACCTTGACGCCTAACAAGACCTGGCAATTCGTCTTGACAGTTAACAACCTTGATTTGGGTCCCCCATTTTCTCAAAGCAGATGCTACAACAGCCTCATTCTCAACAGGTGACAAGGAGCAAGTGGAGTACACTAATCTTCCTCCCTTCTTCAATAACTGTAATCCTCTGCTCAAAATGTTCACTTGCAAAGAGTGCAACCCCAAGCCGTTTCCAACGGTAAAATCCTTCCAGACATTAACATTCTTTCTCATAGTACCGTCACCAGAACAAGGAACATCACAAAGGATTCTGTCAAACTTGAGGAACTCGTTCGAATTATTGAGCTTGATTCTTGGGAATAATTGGGCATCATGGTTAACAACCACAAAGTTGGCAGAGTTTAATCTCTTGACCTGATGAACCAACATATGGGATCTCTTGTAGTCTGAATCATTGGCCAACACAAAGCCGGTGGGCAATTCAGTTTCGTCGTTGGCATGCAAGGCTTCCACCAACTGGGCAGTCTTGGAACCAGGAGCAGCACACATATCCAAAACCGCGTGATGAGGTTTGATGTCCATTAACAATGGAGGAATCATCGACACAGCTTCTTGTCTACTGATGTTTCCCACCTCAGTTTCCAAAACCAAAAACCTCTGGGTGGCAGCAAACTGCTCATTCTTTCTGATGACGGTTTTGGGGACATCTAACTGCCATCCCAACTTATTTGGATAGTACGACAAGTTTCTAGGTGCCAACTTAACTCCTTCAAACTCGGTGTCTTGCAACTTGGACACATGATTTTCGATGAAATTCTGGTTGATCTCATTAGCATGAGCTCTGGACCCGGTGACTCTGAATGTCAAGGGCAAGTTCTCCTGACAATGTTTCTTAAACGTATCCCACTCATCTTCGGGAACGATCTTCATTGCCTTATAGTAGGCTTCCCATTTAGCATTCTCCCTCTCGACTTCGGTCCAGCTTTCGCTTCTCTTATTCGAGCCTGAACGACCGCCGAACTTCTTTTGGCCACCTTTGTTTTTTCTAAAGTTCTTTTTTCCCATCTTAACTGGTTTCTGGTGCTATCTTTCACAAATTTTTTCGCATCTCATCTGCAGCAGTGCACGCAATTGTGGATTTGGGGTATAAACTGACCCATTTGACGAATTTGCTTTGACGAGTTTTGGAAGTGTGTTGAAGCCTGTTTCAGTTTCTTACTTTGTCAAAGTCGACTACTACTTGATTCTTCTGCAGTCAAATTTTACAGGGAAACTTTTTTGACTTCCTTTTCCCTTGAAGTTGATTGTACCGTGGTCTAGGCAAGAACGCGAAGCAAGCGCGGAGCCTGATAATTCAGTGACTTTAACTCTGATTCTAGTTTATTTTGTCAATGACAAGCACACGGTGGAAGTACCGCTCCAGCGCTGTAAGTAAGATTCAGATCATGACATCTTCACATTGGTGGACTTTATTTGTGGCTAACTTCATACTAACAATTTGTTTCAAGATTGGTGCTTTAATGGCTGTTTCAGCATACACAAATCCATATCTACGAAATTATGGTCTACAGGTAAAGACGAACCACGCAGATGTCGGTCTGGCTGTCAGCAGGTACTGGCAGGCTCTTGTACATAACCTCAGCAGCTTTAAACTTGTGAATTTCTGCCTTTTGATGTTTTTTGTACTCTTCAATTTGGTCAAATGGACCTTGTTTGGCAAGCTTTCAGACAACGAAGTCAGTCATCTCAGAGACAAGATCAGCTACACTATATGGGAGTTTTGGTTCGGGTTTCTCATATTCCTTCGAGAAGCCAACCAAATTCAAACATTGGATCCCTTGAATACGGTGGTACGACATGAGTTTGTGAAGTATTCAGGATTCTTTCTTTGTATCGTCTTGTTGAAGAGTTTTCATGTCATATGTGCTGAAAGAGCATACACTTTATCCAACCAGTCTCACCCGACATCCACCGACCTTGTGCAGTATAGGCGATTGGGGTATGGAGTTCTAATGATTAATTTCATTGATATTTTGTTAATCTGCTCCTTCTTCCATCAAATGTACTACACCTATTGTGGCAACTCGATACTTCGATTCAAGGATAACATTCTTGTTGCCATCTTTGGATTTGAGATTTTGCACCTGTTTCCCTTGGTGTTTTTCACGGGGATTAAGTATACTCTTGACTACTATGGGAAAATCACTTTTTTTGATCTGGAATCAAATACCTTGACCAATTATGCAGACTGGCAAGTCAAGAAGGCCAAAATCATCAGTTTGGTGGAATTTTCTGTGAATTTAATTAGGTTCGGAATGTCTTGCACGTTTGCAATCTTGTTCTTATACTTCTACACCTTCCCATTCCACATTTTACCGTCGTCGTACTTAAGCCTTCGGTTGCTTATCGTCAAAGCGAGATGTTTAATTAGCTTGGAACGAAGAAATATTAAACTCAAAAAGCTTAATCTACCCACCACAATAGATCCCACTGCAAGATGTATTATATGCTTTGATAATCTTAATAGCTCGTCTGTTGACGGTGTCAGATGCCTCAATTCATGTGAACACAACTTCCATTATTCTTGTTTGAAGAGTTGGCTTGAATGCTCCGATAATTGCCCTGTTTGCAGGACAAAAATATAGGCTTATTTATTAGTTAAGATGCAGTATTGAATACTTGTGTCAATATACATTCATACCCGGTACCAATTTTTTTGTTCTACGCTTGTTGTCATAAAATACATTGATAAATAAACTGGCTAAAGATAATAAAACATGGCTGAGAAGTGAATTTTTGAGCTCTAAAAGTATCCGTTTTCATTGGTACTGGCTATTCCAGCCGTCAATGTGTTGATATCAGGATCTTCGTTGGTGAGGTGCTTTGCAAGCTCATCAATATCGTATTCGTACTCTTTGTGAGTCGCAAGTTCTTTATCGGCCGCCTTGGGCTCGTCCCCATCGTACTGCTCGAAGAATGATTCGGACGATCCTATCGAACTGGCACCTGGTGTGTGGGAGCCACCCTCGTGGACCTTCTCGAGCTTGGTTCTCGGGTCCTCATCACCGTTTTCTTCCAACTCTTCACTATTGATGGTATCAGCTTCTTGTGTTTCTGCTTCCTGAGCAGCTCTTTGAGCTTTGAGCTGCTTTTTGGTCATTTTGGTTTCACCTCGTTCGTGTTTCAACGCCTGTTGTTCTCTGTACTTGGCCAAAAATATCTTCAACACCTCAGCATAGTTTTCAAACCCCAAATCATGCATGGAGTACAAGATATCTTCTCCATTGATGGTCTTTCTCTTCTCTCTCAAACACCGATCAGACGCTTCACTGGTCACAAATGATATAAATTCAGATACACATTCTTGCATACACTCTTTGGCATCTTTGGATACTTTGGCGGTGGGCGGTAATGTGTTTTTCATTAATCGTGCAACGTTTGCAATCGGTAGCCACCGATCTTGTTCTCTTAATTCAACTTCGTGGGGATTGATAGAGTTTGGGTCCATGATGGGTGAAGTAAAGGGCCGGAACTGTAGGGGAATAATATTCAATGTGGAGGAATTTTGCGATAAAACAGTCTTTTGTGGTTGTCACCGGTACACAATGATTACTTTTGAATGCCTGCTAATGGCTGTTTTGATGGGGAGCGACTCTGGTGAAAAAACCTCACGCTGGTGCCGGTTCGGTGTTTACTGCGTAACAGCGTAATATTTAGCACCGAAACCCCGATGCCTGCGCGAATCGATTTGGCTCACGTCAATAGCTGCTAATTAGGTGATTTGAACACAAGTAGGTATAGATGCTGGAGAAAATAGAACACCAGGAGTCTCCCGAAGGCAATTCCCTGGAAGTCTTTGTTCCGCCTTCTAAAGGGGTGTCGGCATTGATGATCACCCAAGTGGTTTCCAAGTTGCTTACGTTTATGCTTAACCAGATCCTCTTACGACTGGTAGCCCCAGCTATCTTTGGAATCTCGTTCCACTTGGAGTTTCTCTACTCAACGATACTCTTCTTTTCTCGAGAAGCTGGGCGCTTGGCCATCCAAAGAACCGCTCCTAAACCCAACTCAAACCACACATACCAAACAGTGTATAATTTTGGGTTCGTGTCGTTTATGATAGGAATACCTATATCACTATTAATCATGGGCTGGCAGCTCCAAGGTGAAAGTTTTGCCAAGGTTAATAGTATATCTAGCCACTACACGTTTGTTGTGGGAGTCTATTGGATTCTGGTGCTAATGGAGTTGCTGGTGGAACCAATATATGGTCTCTATCAGTACACCCTAAACTTCAAAAAAAGAAGCGAATTCGAATCTGGGGCAATGTTCTTGAAGTGTGTGGTTATTGTGTTGACTGTTTTAATTACGGGTTCACAAGATAAACAGAATAAGGGACCTTTTGAAAGAAACGGAGAGCTTTTGGTGGCATTCGCAGCCGGTCAGTTTCTGTATTCTTTCTGGCTATTTACCCGCTACATCTCCGGCTTCTCCCAGACTTTCAGACAGATACAATCGGTGCCTCTAGCGATCGAAATCAAAGACGGGGAGACTGAATGGCTCGATCCGGAGGTGCTTAGGTTCTGGAGAATCTCGTTTGTTCAGATGATCTTCAAACAGTTCTTGACAGAAGGTGACAAGCTTCTAATCAGTGCCTACTTTTCAGTGGAAAGCCAAGGAGTCTACTCGGTGATGAACAACTATGGGTCAATTATTGTCAGGCTACTCTTCAATCCAATCGAAGAATCTGTGAGGCTTTCGTTCACACGCATGCTCAACTCCAAGAGTTCGGATTCTAGCATCAGTGGAGCAGCCTCAACTCTTCAATACTTGTTGATGTTCTATTTACATCTCTCCATCCTCATGGTTGTTGCTGCGTTGTTTAATTCGTCCTTTTTGCTCAAGTTCGTACTTGCGGGTAAGTCTTCCTCATGGCTTGACACTGACTTGTTCGAGTTAATGCCATGGTACATCATCCACATTCCATTTTTGGCGTTTAATGGAGTACTCGAAGCGTTCTTCTCTGCAACTGCTTCCACCCATGATACCAAAATTTATTCATACTTCATGTCAGGTCTGAGTATTGCCATATTAGTGCTTATGTATGTTCTTGTTGAAAACTTCAAGATGGGAATCCTTGGGCTTATTGTGGCCAATTCTGTCAATATGATGGCCAGAATCGTATATTGCACCACCTTCATCGTCAACTACTTCAGAAAAAATGGTATACCAGTTAACTTTCTGGAAATACTACCATTTTGCATGAAATGCATTCTAGTTGGAGGTGTGGGGATCCATGCTAATTATGTGATTCTAGGAGAGTCGCTAAGAAGCCAGACATTCATAGATGTGTTCAAGAGTGCTGGGGTCTGTTTGTTTTGCCTTGTTGCACTCATGTGTACAGTTAAAGACGACCTCAAGACATTGATCAAATATTACTTCAAGGCCAAACAGTCGTGATACATAGGTTAATAAAAAATATCGGAGTTGCAACACCAGATACTCCAAACCTATTACATAACCAACGACGTGCCATCCGGTTCGCCTCCACCACGGGTAACCTACTGTGCTGAATTACTTCCCTCCAGTGATAATGTTACTCATTGCTGAGAATAGAGCGATTGATTACTCGAATCGTCTAATTCTCGACCGCAGGGATCGAACCGGACACTTCAATTGTAATAATAGATCTTGAGTACGCAGTCGGCGCGCTTCTACCACAAGCCATCACAGCAAATTTTTTTAAGAAAAATAGACTCGCAAAGTATAGATTATTCAAAAACAACAGGTTTTACTGTTTGTAAATGGGTCATTTGGACCGTATCCTTCCAATTTTATTTGCAGCAACTAAGCTTTAAGCCGTGTGCAAACAATTCTCACGCCTTATACGAATATACCTAATTCTTGAAGTACATAAAAGATGTTTTAGCCCCCAGAGAATATTCAGTATCAAAAGCATTCTTGCTGCTGAATTAAAGGAAAGAATGCAAGACATGAAAAAGCAGAAGACAGCAAACAAATCACTTATTAAAAGACGACTTGGAAAAAGTTGAAAGCAAAGTCGACTTCATACTCGAACAAGGAGAATAGATGAGGCTGTATTGTCGTATAACTCAATGCTCTTCGTAATACATTATGGTTCTAATTTTCAATCCCTTTTGACCATTTGGCTTTCCCGGCTCCAACATGGCCAAAAGTCTTTCTCCCGTGGACTATCTTTTGATACTGGAAAATCGCTCTCACGGAAATTCTCAGTGCGATGCAATGTCCCTAGTGGAAGTTCTGAAAAGCATTGGAGAACTAGCCAAGGCTTTCCACGAGAAATCCGTGGAACTAGATCGCCTCAAAGCGCTATACTCGTCCAAACTAGAGCTATTGAACTCGTACGTTGCCTGTCTCCCGGGTGAAAACAAAGAAACGATCTCCGATGAACTGCTACTCGACCATATAAAATCCCCCGTCTGCTGCCAGAACTGCAACGCCCTAGTATGGGACAGCAGCAGTGAGTTTTTGCTCCTACCAAAGAGACTCATACGAGTTCCAGGGGTGGAAAGTGATATGGCACTTACTCAGTTGTCCAACTCACTAGATCACACTAGCATCAAAGATGATAACGAAGAAAATGAAACCCACCATGGAAACGAAAACGAAAACCACAACTACAATCACGAATCTGAAATCTCCGTCGACAAGGCGAAGAAACTGTACCACGGGAAGTCCAAGAAGGTTTGTTCATACTGCAAGAAAACAGGCCATTCTCGTGCCCGGTGCTTTGTCAGACTCAATGGACAGGCTTAAACTGTTAAGCATTTTTATATATTCAAGCGGTCTATAATACATTGTAATTTTGTATGAGCGAGTGGGCACCCTTTACTTGGAGGTTTGAACCATGGCCTCTAAATAGGTTGTTAGTATATGAGAACAGCAAATAAGCACTTTAAAAAGTACCTGAAAAATGGAACATACCTCTTCTGGACGCATCTTGCAATAACGTGCAGTCGACGGAGTTGGGGTTCAAATGGATATAACGCACAGTAGAACCTCTAATGAATAAATTTTTCACTGAGTTCAAGTGTGGGTACTTCACGTCGTTGGTGCATGATATATTGTCTAACTTCAAATTCAAGTATTGATCAACAGACTTCAAGACTCCCTTGATCTCCATGTCGTTCTTCAACTCAACGGTAACCTCTTGATCCACAAGGGTCTTAAAAAAACTGAAAAATAACATCTTGTATCTGGAGGGTTATATGTGCTTGATGATTTTTGCTTTCCTTCACTGAACGAAACAAAAAAATTTGTGCGAAAAGTCTACAGCGGTTTGATTGAAGCTTATATTTTGCAGCTGATTAGGTTTAAATCTCAAAGCTATTGACACCAAATTCAGAACTCCAAATAGGAGGAAGGATGCTCTCCAAGCGGACATAGTCAATCTCGGGACTTGTATGCTTGTGGAATGAGTTTGGTTCCATCTGACTGTGGCTCTGGCCCTGGCTCTGGCTCTCTTGCTTGGTTTTGGAACCCTTGTGCTTGTGTTTATGCTTGTGTTTATGGGAATGCCTATGCTTATGGCGATGTTTACTCTTCTTCCTATGCTCATCATAATTACTGGAGGAGCTTCGGTGGTAGGGATCACTTTGTTTTTGCTTGGTACTGTTTAAGCCGCTTAAATGTAACTGTAACTGACTGCCCACTCCAAATTCATCTTGCTCGTCATAAACCTCATAATATTGATAGGCGTCCAAAAGACCCATATTTTCTTTGTCCTGATCTCCCGAAGAATCTTCTGGTGCTGGGGGTTCCTCTGGGACATAATTTGTTGGGGCATCTTCAAGTCTTTCTGATAAAATGTCGTGTAAATTCGCTTCTTCCAGTTTGTGTTCACGGTGATCTTCAAAAATAACTGGCTCAGATGACTTAAAGAAGCTCCATTTCTGGTTAACCATGTCTATGATTAACCCAGGGGTTTCCTTTTTGTATTGGATTTCTTCAATTGGAAGTTGTGTGTGTGTTTGTGAGCTGATTTCATTTTTCTCCGCCTCTGGTTCTTGTTCCCTTGCTGTTTCAAGAGAAAGCTTGTAATTGGAAGGAGATCTTCCTCTGACAATTAAAGGTGGAGTCTCACTAGACGCAAGAACGGAGTATTTTTCGTCGGCCAACACTGCCAAAAGCTCCACTCTCAAGACAAAACGACGGTTGAGTAAAGCAGGTTTCCTGTAGTTCAAAGTAGTGGAGAACTGCATTCTCTCATATTTGGCTACAGTACATACTTTTCCTTTGGGGTACCCCTTCAAAATTGAGCCTTCCTTTGCTTGCTTAAGCTTATTTTCTTCCAAATAGAACAATCTATCCAACTGCAGCATCTTCACTCCATTTCTAATATTGGCAGACAGCTTGATCACCTCATGCTCAGGCAAAACACCTGGCACTGAAACAAATACTGGTGGCAAATACTGTGGACCTCTGTCTCTCTTAGGTGTGTGTTGGACTAAAACAACTCCCACATCATTCTCACAGCACTCAGAGACCAATCGGATGGCAAAACACTCAATGTTTACCTCCTTACCTTCATCATCACAAATGTGAAACTTAGTGTTTGAACACAAGTCTCCTGGTTGGTCCAAGAACTCAAAAGTACTAACCAACGTGAAGTAGTTCCTCTTGTAACCAACCCATTCGTTGTTGATTAAGTCGAATCCTCTATCGATTCTTGCAGAAATAACTGGGACGATATGTTCTTTTGTAGAAGAAATAAAGCACTTTCTGTGGACTTCAGTGTCATCAAAGTCAGGTCCAACCTTGAACTGGTCACTTGATCTAGGGGCCACCTTTCTTTTGTTGGGATTTGTATTTGTTACCTCACTACAGTCGTTTTTTAAGTCTTCAGGGGAGTTTAAAGAAACCTGTTCTTTCTTGGAATTTTTGTCCCGTGCTTTGACCACCTGCTTCTTCCGTTGTTTGACAGTCAAACTTCTCTTTGATTTCCTTCTCATTCCTTGTCGACTTCTTTTGCACCGTGTATAAAAGATAGTAAAAGGATGGGTCTTCTTCTGTGGAGTATCGCCTTTCACAAACACAAGCGCGGTTTTTTTTGGCTGCAAATTTCGGACCAGAATATAGGTCGTTAACATACGGGTTTTCAAGACTCAAATTCGTACCAATACGAGAAACTCTATATGGGATATCCGAAAGTGTCTTAAGGAGTATTACGGATAAAATTATGCGCTAAAAGTCATTGATATGATGGAGTTTTGATGTAGTGTATCTCCAATTTGGGGCAAGTATTCACTCAAAATCATCTAGAACACTATTCAACAACTTCACTTGCCTTTCCCATTCTTTTCAAACTCTGAATCGCTTCTAAGTCTGGCCAAAACCAATCTCCTTTGAGTCCCATCTCCAGGTTATTGTTGGTTCGTGCACTACTCATCGATTCTCATATACGCACAATTTTTCCAATCTCAAACATTATCACAGAAGACCATGGGAAAAAAAGCTATTGATTCACGGGTCCCAGCGTTGATCCGGAACGGCGTCCAGGAGAAGCAAAGAAGCTTCTTCTTCATTGTGGGGGACAAAGCCAAAAACCAATTACCCAATCTCCATTACTTGATGATGTCTGCTGATTTGAAGATGAATAAATCGGTATTGTGGGCATACAAGAAGAAACTTTTAGGTTTTACTTCCCATAGACAGAAGAGAGAAGCCAAGATCAAGAAGGATATTAAGAGAGGAATTAGAGAAGTTAACGAGCAAGATCCATTCGAAGCATTTATCTCTAATCAAAACATCAGGTACGTTTACTACAAGGAAACCGAAAAAATTTTAGGTAATACCTATGGTATGTGTATCTTACAAGACTTTGAAGCCATCACTCCGAACTTACTCGCTAGAACCATCGAAACCGTCGAAGGTGGTGGGTTAGTGGTGATCTTGTTGAAGTCCATGACTTCTTTAAAGCAATTATACACCATGACAATGGATATTCATAGTCGGTATAGAACCGAAGCCCACAATGATGTTGTGGCCAGATTCAACGAAAGATTCTTATTGTCGTTAGGATCTTGTGAAAACTGTTTGGTTGTGGATGACGAGTTGAATGTATTGCCTATTTCTGGAGGAAAGCATGTTAAGGCCTTACCACCTAAAGATGATGATGAATTGACCCCTAAAGCCCAAGAATTGAAGGATCTAAAGGAAAGTTTAGCGGACGTTGAACCTGCCGGTGCATTGGTGGGCTTGTCCAAGACCCTTAATCAAGCACAGGCAATTTTGACGTTCATCGATGTTATCACCGAGAAGAGTTTGAGGAGTACTGTGACTTTGACTGCTGGAAGAGGTAGAGGTAAATCTGCCGCTCTTGGTGTTGCCATGGCTGCTGCCATTTCCCAAGGTTACTCCAATATATATGTGACTTCACCGTCTCCAGAAAATTTGAAGACCCTTTTCGAGTTTGTTTTCAAAGGTTTTGATGCTTTAGGATACAGCGAGCATTTGGACTATGATATTATTCAATCCACAAGTGCAGCTTTCAACAAGGCTATTGTCAGAGTGGATGTTAAGCGTGCTCACCGTCAAGTTATCCAGTACATTCAACCTTCTGATTACCAATACTTGTCTCAAGCTGAATTGGTGATCATTGATGAAGCTGCTGCCATTCCATTACCAGTTGTGAAGAAATTAATGGGGCCATACTTAGTTTTCATGGCATCCACCATTAATGGGTACGAAGGTACTGGTAGGTCCTTGTCGTTGAAATTGATCCAACAACTTCGTGATCAGTCCTTGAACAAAGAAATCTCCAAGGATACTATTGTTGTATCTAGAGATAGAAAAACAGAAGGTGAACATATGGCTACCACCAGAACATTACGTGAAGTTGTTTTGGATGAACCTATCAGATATGCTCCAGGAGATCCCGTGGAAAAATGGCTTAATAAGCTCTTGTGCTTGGATGTGACTTTGAACAAAAATTCCAAATTTGCAACCAAAGGAACTCCTCACCCATCTCAGTGTAATTTGTTCTACGTCAACAGAGACACTCTTTTCTCATACCATCCAGTTTCAGAAGCATTTTTGGAGAAGATGATGGCCCTTTACGTTGCATCTCACTACAAAAACTCACCTAATGATTTACAGTTGATGAGTGATGCTCCTGCCCACCAGTTGTATGTTTTGTTACCTCCTATTGATCCAAAAGATAACAGAATCCCAGATCCCCTCTGTGTAGTGCAGTTGGCCTTGGAAGGAGAAATCTCCAAAGATAGTGTTCGTAAGAGTTTATCTAGAGGCCAAAGAGCTGGAGGTGATTTGATTCCTTGGTTGGTGAGCCAACAGTTTCAAGATGAAGAATTTGCTTCTTTGTCGGGAGCTCGTGTTGTTAGAATTGCCACCAATCCTGAATACTCTGGTATGGGATACGGTTCGAGAGCTTTGGAATTATTGCAAGATTATTTTGAAGGAAAATTCACAGACATTAGTGAAGATAATGAACTTAAGGAAGAAACCATAACCAGGGTTACTGACAGGGAATTAAGCCAAGGTTCATTGAGAGATGAAATTAAATTGAGAGACTCTAAATCTTTACCACCATTATTATTAAATCTTTCTGAAAAAGCCCCTTACTACTTGCATTACCTTGGTGTGTCGTATGGTTTGACTCCCCAGTTACACAAGTTCTGGAAAAGAGCTGGTTTCGCTCCTGTTTATGTAAGACAAACAGCTAATGAATTGACTGGTGAGCATACAGCTGTCATGATCAACGTATTGAATGGACGTGATGATAAGTGGTTGACAGAGTTCTGCAAGGACTTCCAAAAGAGATTCTTGCAACTTTTGTCATATGAGTTCAAGAAGTTTTCTGCTGTTCAGTCGCTTAGTGTTATTGAAGCCACTGAAATCAACTCTAATGCTTCTCCAGAGGTGATTTCGAAGAAACACTTGGACGAAGTCTTGTCTCCGTTCGACTTGAAGAGACTTGATTCCTACGCCAACAATTTGTTAGATTATCACGTTATTGTTGACATGTTACCACTTTTGTCTCACTTGCATTTCAACAAGAAGACCAGGGGAATGAGCTTGTCCTCAGTGCAGTCTGCTATTTTATTGGCAATAGGATTGCAACGCAAGAGCTTAGATGATGTTGCTAAAGAGTTGAACTTACCAACCAACCAAGTGATGGCCATGTTTGCTAAGGTTATCAGAAAGTTTTCTGTATTTTTCAGAGATATCTTGAACAAATCCATTGAAGAAACTATGCCCGAATTACAAGACGAGTCTGTTCAACAAATGGAAGGAAATGTTGAGACATTCGATGAAATCAACAATGAAGATATACAAGCAGAAGGTGAAGAGGTGTTGAGTGACTTGAAGTTAAAGCAGAGAGAATTGATTAATGCTATAAACTTGGATAAATACGCCATTGCTGATGATGCAGAATGGAACTCAAATAAGAGCTTGGACAAGGCGGTTAAGGCCAATGGAGTTGTCAGCGTCAAGAATAAAAACGCCAAACGGAAGAAAGAGGATGCCAATGAGATTTATGAACAAGAGATGAAGGAGCTTAAGAAGGCGAAGAAAAAGTCCAAAAAGTAGGTTGCCCTGAATAAATAAATACATGCAATATATAATGTTTCTATAAAGCTCGGGTGTAGTCCAAGATCTGTTCGATGGACCACGAAACCATTTCAGTGATGTTACTATTATCGTCGTTCTTGTACGCTCTTATCTTTAAATCCACAAGAGCATGCTCGTTCAAGGTATTGTTGACATCTGCATGGGTGAATAAATGCTTGTGAAAACTCGCGTAGGCCGGCCATACGTAATCGTCAAAGTAGTTCGGAGGGTCCACCCAAAATCCTGCAATGGTAGAATAGCCTTTCCGGTTAGCTCTTCTAGACTTTAGGCAGTCGTATGTAGAATAATAAAACAACTTCAAGTCAAACAAATCAACGAGTGTTTTGTCATGAAAGAGCATAAACCCATCCACCAACACAATTTTGACGCCCTTAAGCTGGTTTTGGAGTTTAGCTTTCAACTCTGTGATTTCTTGAGCAGATAACTTCAAGTTGATATCGGGCTCCAAAGTGTCAATTTTTTCGGGAAATTCTTCTCCCGCCTTCACCTTCTGAATATAGGTGATGAATTTGTCAAAGTCAATGCTATCAGGGTGGTCCCAGTTTTGTTCACCGGTTTTGTGGTCAACGGGAATTTGGTCGTCAGGGAAATAAAAGTCATCTTGATGGAGAATTTGACAATCCAACAAATTAAGGAGATTTTTCGTCACGGTTGTCTTGCCTGATGAAGAGGGGCCGCTAATACCTACAATAATTATCTTCAAATCACTCACTTCATTGTTCTTGTTCTCCATCTTCAGCCGCCAGTGGAAAAATACCCGCGATCTTCAAGGTGCGATTGCGAAATTCAATTCAACCCACCTGGTAATTTACCCAAAATAAACCCAAAATGAGCCAACAATCGGAAATTAGGTGCTGATGCATACATATACCTACATGATTTGCTGTGATTATTAAGGTGGGTTGGACCTTTCGGGGTAAAATTGACAGTAAGTTTCCCGCAGGTAGCTCATGTGTCCCCCCATCCAAAAGTCTCTGTGTGCGGCAACGGGGTTTAGAGATAGATATTTGTTGAGCCCCTTAACTTCGACAGGGAAGCCCCTGAAATTTATAATATCCACGTGTAATTTCATTTGTAACATGCTTGTGATTTTCACAGGTCCTCATATCTATGGCTGGTGGGTTTGCTGATGGGTTCGGAACATCTGTGTATGCTTCCTCTCGCCTTCACAGGATAAAGCAATGATTTTGCCCATTGCTCATTGCCCATTTGATAACCTGTAAAGGAAATTCCTTAAATCCGCTACAATAGTAGATATTATAAAGGAACAAGTGCAATCATGCAAACAGCAGGAGTAATCGCCAATTCCACCCTCGCAATAAGGAAAAGTTATATGCGATAAACCAAAATAGTTCGCAGTCAAAGATGAGATTTTCCTAGATGAGCCCGTAATTTTCAATTATATTTCCTAAATAGGGAATTTGGATCCATGCACCACGAAGCATTTCACAAATTCCCCAATATAGTAATTTCTGACAAACTCTGGATGCATTCAAAGACCTTCCTTAACTATATAGGCATTATAAGTATCGTCTGTTTCCCAATCCTTGAAAACCCCCTCCCCCCTCTTCCATTCATCCAGACATCTTTTTGCTGATAGTCTCACGAATTTTCGGCTGTCAAATTCTAGCATATATCATTGACTAGTCCATAGCTCATTAATAGCATAAACCGAGTGTGGGCTCATCATTAATTGTTTCATCTTAATCTGAATTGCCATTCACTAGCCTATAAGCTGACAAAATTCAACCTGTTTCCACATTGATATCGCTTGTTAGTCTAATGAATGATCCGCGCCATAGTGATCAGGTTCGAAAAAAAGAGTTCCAACTATCAAAAGATGAGTTGGATGGCGAAACACAATTTACTCACGACGAACGAGTGACCCCCGAAAAGGCCCCTGTCGGTGACTCCAAAGAGTCGCCATCGAATTTACTACCCAACATAAAAAGCTTTAATATCGACAGGTCTAAGTACCAACACTATGGCCATAAGTCATCGATGAACGCCCAGTCACTAGAAAAAATCATCCACGAAGAGAACCTGCGTCCACAAACAAAAAGACTCACTCCTATTCACCAATACCAACCGCCATCACAAGTGGCCACCGATTCTGAAGGTGAAGGTGGAATTATCAAGTCGCAATCTGACCCAGCCCTCAATAGAACCATAATAGATGAAACCTTGGGTCATATTTTGGGACTTCCCATTGGAAACACACAAGCCCTGTGGCCATACAGTGACTCGACGTTGTCTGAATTGCTACGGTTCAAGACTGAACAAGAAAGAACTAAACAGGAGGAAATGAGATCCCAGTTTGCCTCTACAGCCGTCCAGCTCTTGACCCTTGCCAAATCGATGAACATCAACAGCGACTTTATCCCCCAGCTTCTTAGTAGCACTTCATTATCAGAGATGCAAAAAAATATCGAGTTTCTCAAGGCCACACCCTTGACGCAAGCGAAACAAGATGGCATTAAAAGAAGACACTCCGAAACCGTGAAGCTGGCGGGGGTCGAAGCCCACGACCATTTGCGGCCAAGGAGCCAAGTGGTTTCACCGGTGTCGCGGTCTCCGGTGGAGCTGCCCCTGTCAGTTCATAGAAGAAACCGGTCAGATGAAAGTGAGCAAGTGGCCCCATCCGGTGCCCAATCTCCCATTAGCACATCGGCAATGGCTACTCGGTCTGAGCAGCATTCTCCAAACCAAGTGGCACAAAGCCTTCCTCCTCCAGGCATGTACCCGGTGTATTATGCCCCTGGACCTCCTCCTCCTCCTCCACCGCTGCAGCCAAATTCGCAGCCAGGAAAAGAAGGTCAAGGTTTGGGATCTCCTTACAAGCAAAAATACCAGCATATCGTTTACCAGCCACAACCACCTTCTCAGCTCCCATCTTCATACCCGGGACCTGGGGCTCCTTATTATCCGGCACAACCTTATCATTACTATATTGCATCTCCTCCCAATCAGCCATCTAATCAAGGACAATATTCGTCTTCGATGGCACCCACAATGGGTCATCCCCCACACATCCCCCCACCTCCGGAGACTAAAGAGGACGAGTTTCCCAGTCCCTCGTATAAAAAACAGAAAACGGTCGGAACCGGTAAGAATAATAATATCAACTTTATGATCTCGACCCCCAAAAACCCTCCGGCTAGGAAATATAACAACCCTAAGGAGAAGTAGTAGAGTAGACCTATTGCATATTCATGATACCTCAATACATATATATATATATATATATTTGTAGTTAGGTTAACATCTAGCATAGAAATGGAACGCGGCTGTTATCCGCTACAGCCGTGTCGATCGGAACGGCCACTGGTGTCGCAAACTTACGCCGTTAAACGCCAGGGTTTGCAGTTACAGCATATAAACCCCAGAGTATCTCCTTAACTTTTTATCCATAAACAATACATGGCCAAAAGTACAATAGACGATGTACTGGAGGTAAGCAGTCCAAACCCACCGGACATGGCTACCGCTACAATCACCACCCACACAACCATTCCATACTCAGTATTTTCCCCAAAGCAGAAATATGTCTTGATGGTGATACTATCGATGGCCGGATTCTGGAGCACAGTTTCATCCACCATTTACTTCCCAGCAATTCCTACGGTGCTGTCGTACTTCAACATATCAAGTGGAATCGCCAATTTGTCGGTGGTGGCATACCTTTTTTTCCAGGGTATTGTCCCCACATTTTCCTCCAACGCAGCCGATACCGTCGGTAGAAGACCTATGATATTACTAAGTTTATTGATCTATGTGGCTGCGTGTATTGGCTTGGCTCGCTCCAACGCCTATTGGCTCTTGACGGTGTTACGATGTGTTCAGGCTGCTGGGATAGGTCCAGTCATTTCCATATCTTCTGGTATTGCTGGTGATGTCTGCACCGCTGCTGAAAGAGGAGGGTTTGTTGGTATGGTTGGAGGCATGCAACTCACTGGGAATGCGTTTGGAGGGCTTCTTGGTTCGGGACTCATCAGTTCCTACGGCTGGAGAGGGATTTTTGTGTTCTGTGCGATTGGTTCTGGGGTTACTTTGGTGGTGATTTCTCTTGTACTACCAGAAACTCTACGGCAGATGGTTGGGAATGGAAGTATCAAGCCTCAATCGGTTGTCAATATCCCCCCGATATTTGTGTTCAAACGATTGCGGAGAGGATGGACTAACCAGATAGAGTCTTTGGGCCCCCGCAAGAACCTAGACGTGCTAGCTCCGTTCAAAATCCTCTTTAATTATCAAACCTTATGTGTGCTATTTGCACCAGCCGTCAAGTTTGCCGTGTGGTCGATGGCATTAACATCACTCACGGTTCTAGAGGGTGATGGATACAACTACACGGTGCTTAAAGTCGGGTACATCTATTTGCCCCAAGGAGTAACGTGCTTGCTAGGATCGTTGATTACCGGAAGATTGTTGAACTGGTCTTATAGAAGAAGTAAGAATTTGCACGATGAAAAGTATAAAGAGGTCCCCGAACATGAAAGACCTGTGTTTAATAGTCTTCGTTCAAGGCTCTATGTGTGTTTTGTGCCATCGGTGATGCAGTTCACAGGTATGATCATTTACGGTTGGTGCTTACAGTTCAAAATGAACATTTCATCTATCATCATCTCGACATGCTTGATATCGTTTTCTTCTTCAGCAGCGATCTCCACTGTTTCAACCGTTTTGGTGGATATGAATCCTCACCATGCCTCTGCTGGAGTGTCACTCATAAACTTGACACGATGCTGGATGGCAGCTCTTTGTATGGGTGTGCTCTCAAATATGACAGCGGCCATGGGACTTGGAGGCACTTATACCTTTTGGGCAGCAGTTGGACTTTTAGCCGATACCTTGATGTTCTATGTTGCCTGGTACAAGACCAGGTGATCGAAAATACAATAGAAATAGATGACATATACGTATTATGAATTACCTTAAATGGGCAGGACCTAATAAATACTAGAAGAGCTAATTAATAAAATCATTGAGATTGACATTGGACTCCGCTACCAGCAGCACCTTCTTCTTCATCGGTGTCATAAGCATCACGTCTGGCAGCAGTCTGGTGTCTGTATGGGTCCACGTCCACCAAGTCACATTCATCGACTTCAACACCCTTTGGAACCACAATCTTGGTTCTAGGGGGTAAGATGGTCTCTAATTCCTTCAACTTTTCTTCAGAAGCAAAGTGGTTGGCAGGGAATTTAACCGAGAACTTAATGAAAAGATGGCCTCTACCACCATGTCTGTAAATGGGCATACCTTGGTTCTCGACAACTTTGGTGGCACCAGGGGCAATCACTTCACCCGGTAAGATGGAAAGCTTGACAAACTCTCCGGAAACGTGCTGGAAACCGAAATCACCACCCGCTAAAGCTGTCAATAAATCAACCTCTGCTTCGTAATATAAATCGTTACCCTTTCTGTTGAATTTCTCGTGGGGCTTTTCATCAACCACAAATATAACATCACCAGGAGTCACACCTGGTTCTTGATCACCTTCACCGCTGAAAACAACTCTTTGGCCATCCTTCATACCTGGATCAATGTGGACTTGTAAGATCTTACGCTCACTTTGAGTCTTCTTACCCTTACAAACGTTACAACGGTCCTTAGCATCACAAATATCACCTGTACCTTGACAAACCTCACAAGTGGTTTGGAATCTTTGAATCATTGGACCCATTTGTCTGGTGACTAACTTGATACCTTGACCATGACAAGAAGAACACTGTTTGACCTTACCTTCTTTACCACCTCTACCTTCACAGGACTTACATAAAATTGTCTTGTTCAAGGCCAATTTGGCAGTTCTACCTTTATAAAGTTCTTCCAAAGTGCAACCAATGGAGTGCTTGATGTCCTTACCTCTAGCAGGGCCTCTTGAAGCGCCTCCCATGCCGCCAAAACCGCCACCAAAGAATTGAGAGAATATGTCATCAGCGCCCATACCTCCCATTCCACCTGGGCCTCCAGCTCCACTCAAACCTTCTTCACCGTATTGGTCATAGACGTCTCTCTTTTGGTCATCTGACAAAACTTCGTAGGCCCTTGAAACGTCCTTGAATTTTTCAGCGGCTTCTGGAGATGGGTTTTTATCTGGGTGGTATTTTAATGCAGCCTTTCTGTAAGCCTTTTTTAATTCGGTATCAGAAGCAGATGGACCAACTCCTAAGAGGTCATAGAACTTTGTATCTTTAACCATAGCGTCAGTATGTGGAATGTACAATTAAAAATGGACAAATCTCGTGTTGGGATTTAATAGAAATTATGTTCTTTCTATGAGTATCTATCAATTTGCACTTTTTGATATCGCCTTCTTCACTGCGAAAAAATTGGAAGCGCAGATTTTTTTTTCCATAACGTTCCATCGATGAGAAATAGGAAACACCAAAACTTGGACTCCGCACGATTATTTTCCGAAGCATATTAAGACACGCGACACGCGACATCAGTCGCTTCAGAGGGTAGAGAGGGTATTCAATACCGGCACCCAGGACTAATATTCATCTTCATGAACACTGCCATTATGAAACTTGCTGAAATTCATCGATGCTCTGATTTTTTGAGGTTTTTTGAAGGTCTTGAAGCTGTAGTTTGGTGTTTATTTGAATATCGATGACATCACCATTTCCATACACCTAAATGTGGTACAGTGGGCTTTAGATTAGGACTCATATGGACTTATTTCCATTTCTTTAATACACCTTCACTATGTTGATGATTCTTGGGATATTAATCTTCAAAAGTGCTTCTTACATATTTTGATCGTTGAAGCAAAACTAATTCCGCTAAAAGTTGTGATTTTTACGATTCTCGTTTGCATATTTCAGTTTACTAACAATAAGACCACAAACTGGAGAACAACATTTAACGAGCTCCAGCTCATCACTGACATGACCATCCCTCCCATCCAGTATCTACTTCGGGATATCATATATTTATTCACTCTACTAAGTAATGTTAGTCAGTTGGAGATGGTACCAATACCCAGCTAATTTAAACCCGATGCATGCGCCAGCAATGCTCAGCGTGGCCAAATAGGATTTTAGCCAAAAGCAGGACCGAGGGATCTGTGCAACTAACGAGAGTTGAGCCCCTAAAATAACTTTAAAAGACCTTTTAGCCGGCACAGAACTCTCGGTAGATCTTGCTATAGCTTTGTAGGGTTTTGCTATTGTTTCCAGATGTGAAATGAAATTAAAATAGGGTCTTTTGCTGGTATTGTTGAAGGTAGCTGGAGCCCTTCCTATTTGGGAAAAAAGAATCGTACCTTGTAGCCCATCGCGGTCTAAAACAAAGACCCTATTTCGCGGGCGTTCACCAAAACTTCTTGACAGGCATATTATATCCAATAATAGTTCCAGGTACAATTCAACAGAAGCCCTATCCTCTAGCAATTAAAGTGGTTTGAACCTCCAATAGCAATGATAATACATTTCTTGGCTGTCGTACAAGTTGTGAGTAAATCCTGAACATATGTCTCATCACCTCGTCTCGAGTCGTCGGCAAGTGCAACTCATAGTTTTTAGGCGACAACAAAGGTGACAACAGAGTAAACGCTAAAGCTCTTAAAATTGCGGAATCTCTTGAAATGTGACAAGTTAAACCCAAAATCTTGGTGCCTTCATAACCGTCTACTATTATCTCGCGTATTGTTTATTTTTATGCATTGTTCTCGGGTGATGAAATATTTTTTGCCAATCTCAAACTCCATTATATTCGCTTGCGTAATACTGGTGATTTCATTATTAGTATCAATTACAATGATTAATCTCCGACCACTGCTGCTTATTCTGGGAAATTTCAAACCCAATTTATAAGGTGAAGTTAGGCTAACTGCAGGGAGATTGTTTCTCTGTTCCACCTCCTGTTGTTATAGACAATTATAAAACAGAAGCCAAATTCCCACTACTGAAGGGTTCATCACAATTCTTTGAATAGTTGTTTTACCACTCTAGTCCTTCGTTATGTACTTTTCAAAGATTTTTAGTGCGGTTGCTGCTGCCGCTTTGGTGACTCAAACCGAAGCCTTCAGCTATAACTTCAGTCAATATTTTGACTTTACCCTTGGAGAACCAACCACTTCTAGTGAGGAATGTTCTCCTGCTAGTTTGTTTCAATTCGGGATTCTGGAAAGCTTGAACTTTTCACTCAACGTTGGTAAAAGAGACGATGTTCAAGAATTTGATTTGGTTGAGAAGAGAGCTTCTTTGATTCCAAAGGCTGACTTTTCCATTAGTGATGTTGAAAAGATTGCTTGTGATTTGTTCAAGGTGACCATTAACTTTGAAACCATCGCTGCTGATGCTTTCTTCAACATCTTTGGTATATATGCCGGTGCTGCTATTATTGAAGGGTTTGGTATTGGTGCAGATGGTGCTCAGTTAATTGTGGGTGGTGCTGCTGAAGGTGGAATTGAGAACTTGTTCCAATGGTCTTCTACTATTTTAGTCAATGCTTCTGTTCAAAACAATAATCTCTTCTGTTTACCCAGTGACTTCAAGCTTTCCATTGATTTCAACACCAGTGCTTCTCTCGACAACCCAATTGCTGAGGCTATTGAGAATGCTCTTTTGCCAAGTTCAATTATTTACACCATTGAGCAAGATCTTTCGGACATAGTCAGCACTTTCACCAAGAGAGACCTTGACGGTCCTTTGGGTCCTCAAAGTAAGAGAGACTTGTTGGATTTTGACTTCGACCTTGATTTTGACTTCAGCCTCTTGGGTACTGACAACAATGTTTTGCCAAACTTCTGTTGGTTAGACTGCCTTGAGCAGCTTTGTGCTTCTTCATCATCGTCTGCATCTTCATCTTCTGCTGTGTCCTCTTCTGCGTCTTCGTCTGCTACTTCTTCGTCCGCAGAATCTTCATCGTCTTCTACTTCATCTGCTACTTCATCCGCTGCTTCATCTGCTGCTTCATCTGCTGCTTCATCTGCTGCTTCATCTGATGCTTCATCTGCTGCTTCATCTGCTGCTTCATCTGCTGCTTCATCTGCTGCTTCATCTGCTGCTTCATCTGCTGCTTCATCTGCTGCTTCATCTGCTGCTTCATCCGCTGCTCCATCCGCTGCTTCATCTGATGATTCATCTGATGACTCGTCTGAGACTGGCTGCCCAGAATGTACTGACTACTCCACTGGATTCACCACCACCAACTCAAATGGTGAAACTGTTACTGGATCTGAAGAAATCATCATCACCACAGACTCTGCTGGTTCTTTAACTACTGAAACAATTATACTCAACTCTGGTATCGTTTCTGACTGTCCTGACTGTACCGACTACACTACTGGATTTACCTCAACCGAGTCTAATGGTGATATTGTGACAGGTTCCGAAGAGATCATTGTCACTACCGATTCCGCTGGTTCTTTGACTACCGAAACTTCTGTTTTGGGCGAAGCTACTATTTTCCCAAGTACTGCGACCAATGTTGTTGGAACCACTGTCATCACTATAACCTCTTGTTCGGAAGACAAGTGTTCTGCTACTGCTGTTACCACTGGTGTGACCACTGTTAGTAACGATGCCACTGTTTACACCACGTACTGTCCATTGACTGAAGAAGCTGCTGCCACTAAAACTGAAATTTCAACTACTGTTATCACCATCACTTCTTGCTCTGAAAATAAGTGTTCCACTTCTGCTGTTACCACCGGTGTCACAACCGTTACAGAAGACTCCACTGTGTACACCACATACTGTCCTTTGACTAGTGCTGCCGCTTCTACAACTCCTCCAACTACTGACGTTGCTGCCAGTGGCTCTGCTTCAGCTCCAGCTCCAACCACCGAGGCTGCAGAAGTTCCATCGACTGTGGCTGCAGAATCTGTACCAGCTGCAAGCACTGTTTCTGCTGCTTCTGAATCCACTGCTTCCATTGTGGCTCCAGCATCTTCCGTTTCTGCCTATGAAGGTGGTGCCAGTGCGTTCTCTGCTTCCATTGGAGTTATGATTGCCGGTTTGTTCTTGCTTAGCATCTAAAGTTGATCTTTGGAAAGTCCATCTTTCGTGCCTTATAGAATGGCGTGCTTGGCCAGAAGATTTTCAAACAAGTAACTATAACAATTCAACGTTCATCCTTATTTATACCTATTTCTTTTGGTTTTCTCCCTTTTTAATTTTCAGTTCATACCCTTTAATTTACACAGGCTTTCAATTTATTGAATATGTACATGAATGAGTTTCGTCAAATTAGTCAGTTTTATCCGCTACTGCCTCTCGGGTATTCTTACTTCGGGGCCAGAGGGAAGGGATTCTAATCACCTGAAAACGGGGTTCTACACTACGTTCAACGAACCACTGTTTAAGTCTAGCCTCGATTAAAGAAGAAATTTTGGGCACGTCTTGCAATTTTGCTCTGGATCCTATCAATGACTTGATATTGAACTCGAGCCTGTAGTCTGGCGAGAAAGAGAACCGAATAGCAGTGCCCGACTCTATTTCAGCCTTCTTTTCGGTCTTTTTAGATCCATTCAGTGTTCCCTTAAGCGGTGATGTCACCAAAGGTTCTAGCACAGCAGCAGTAGTTAGTGCAACGTCTCCTGAAACAGCAGGAGTAGCAGCGGTAGTAGTGGAAGTAGCGCTATTTGCAGTTGTTTCGGTTTGGCCCAGGGTTGCCATCAATTTTTCATCGTTTGGACTGAAAAGAGACACAGCTAAACACCCACTGAACCTGACAAGCGAGACCGAAAGCTGGATGGGCAACGACGCGATCATGGGCCTGGGATGGTTGATCAATAGTCTGGTTTCAATCCCCAAGGTGATTGTATCAGAGAGATCAACATCGATTTTGGCCTCTAGTCTGCCTGATCCGTCTTGACTCTGTTTAATTCTGCAATTAGAGAAAATCGGAAAGTCGTCACCGATGTCTATCTCGGTTATTTTCACCGTGTCCAAGTAGTCTGGGAAATCCAGTTTGGTGAGAAAGTCGTTCAACGAATGGAAGATATTGTCGGATATCAATGCTTCTGTTCTCAATTGAGAAATGGTTTGGGCAATCAACACATTAAACCAGTCCAAACTTTCGGAAGCATGGTTGTCAACATTATAATAAGTCTTTTCTAGGATGGTGGCGATGTTTCTAGCGTGTAAGTCAATGTCATCCTGGTCCTCTGATTCTATTCCTGGTGTTTTATTCTTTTTATCACGTTTAACCAACACTCCGGTAGCATCTTTAGCAGATGACGTAGACGACACGTTGGACGCGTCCTGGAACACAAAGAACTTGATGAAAATCGAGACCACCAAGATTACACTCAATTGTCCCAATATTAGGCCCTGGGTGAAGCTGAAAGTATTGGATGAACCAGTGGATGGGTGCCTTAATGCCTCCTGAGATAGAAGGTCTCTTTGTTGTTTGAATAATTCTTCTTGCTGGATTCTCAAACGATCGGATAGTTCCTGAAGGGAGACAGCATAATGCTCGTCCTCCAGCCCAAGATTACTTTCGATTATATCATTTTGCACCATGGTCCGGTAGCTTATGTTTTTATCGGATGAGAAATTAGACAATTGCGAAAACTTTCATTAGGCTACATACGAAAAGGTCAATTCAGTTAGTTGGTCAATTTTTTTCTACTAACCGGTTTCTTGAGTTTCCTACCTTTGACAGAGTTTTTTGGGGTTGTGACCAAAGTGGAGTCGCTTTCAAAGTCCGATTCCTGGTGATGATCACGGCTCATCCATCCTTTGACATTGGCGAATATCGACTTTCCGTTCAAGTCTTTGTTGGCATTTCCAATGTACTTGGCGGCAAACTCGGCCATTGGAGTCGATTGTCTGAAACTCATCTCTGATTCTGAGTCGCTAGCGGCGGCCGAGTCAGAGTCTTGCTTTCTTCCCCGGATATACTCTCTGACCTCAAAGTATAAGTCTTTAGAGACATTGTTAATATTGGCGGTATTCTTGACCCAGTAGGTTCTGAAGTCGTTAATATGTTTTTTAAAGTCCAATTCGTTCTTCTTTAACCAACTCACATTCAACTCTTTCCTAGTGGCACCTCTAGCGAAGTTTCTCATCAAGTACTTGTCATAATCTTTGATAATCTTAGTGATGATGTCAGAAGTCGAAATCCCATCTGTACGTTGTGTGGCCAAAAACATCCCCAATTCTTTGATGGGCTTGTATATATCGTCGGAGTCGGTAGAAGCATAGGGTAAATCATCGTGAGCAACATAGTCGATATGGTGCTCCTTCACAAACTCGGGAGTTACGCACCAAGGTGCATTGGGCACCACTTCATCCACCCATTTACAGTGTTTCAAGGTATCACATCTCTGTGTATCGGTCAACACCGTCAACCCCTTGCGTTTGTGAGTTTCCACATCTGAGGGCACTCCACACACCAACTGAGCATTGGGGAAGGCCTTTTTGGCCTGTTCCAATTGCCGCATGTGTCCCAAATGAAACAAGTCAAACACCCCATCGGCATAGACCCGGATGGGTCTGTCTGTAGGAGGCAAGTTGAACCTGTAGCCAGTGGGCCTGAACTTTCTTAGTTCTTGAGGTAGTTCTTCATCCAATTCCTTCTCTCTGGCCTGAAATGCTTCATCTATTTTCTGCTGCTCCACTTTCCTCTTTTTGGGATCGGGCAGTGACTCATCATCTGAGTCTGAATCGTGAGAAGAAACGTCCTCTCTTTCCGACCCCCAATCTCTAAGTCTCTTTCGCTTGCCAAAAAAGGACGTCAATTTAGGTGCAATCGATTCTACCGAAATGCTTCTGGTAAGCGGGCTCTGAGAGCGGGTTTTGCGCAATTCAGGACTTCTGGCCATTGTCTTTCAGCTGTCACTTATAGGACCGGCAATTGGAGTGAGTTACCTGGAGGCTATACCGCAATTGTATTTGTACCTTGAAAGAAAAACCTTTCGCAAGCCTGTCGCATGTTCGTGCGACCGTGCATCGTTTGTTAAACTATAGCCGAAGACCGTCTCTACTGAATTTTCACCACCTCCTATGAGTTCGTACGGCATTGCAGACCTCAGGTTCATCAAGGCATCCACCGTGTACTCATGGTTTAAAGGCGGAGCCCCCGGCCGATTCGCCGTGGTAGATGTCAGAGATAGTGACTACGTAGGCGGCCATATCAAAAACTGTCTTCATGTCCCGGCCGCCAACTTCCACGAAACTTTACCGGCGTTACGCCAGAAACTCTTTGATATGAAGGTCCAAGACGTGGTGTTCCATTGTGCACTTTCTCAGGTTCGGGGCCCATCTTCGACTCTCAAGTTCTTGCGGTCATTGGAAGAAATCAAGGATCCCCAACAAATCGAGTTTTTTAGTAATTTGAGTGTATGGGTCATGCAAGGGGGATTTACTGCGTGGCAGCAGAAATATGGAGAAGATGAGTCGGTGACAGAGGCGTACGATAAAGAGATCTGGGATTTTGGCATCTAGCGAGAGAGATACAACAGATGTATACACGACAAACCACAAGGCTGTGAACTTGTGGCTGTGGTCTGTCACTTCGCGTCGCATTCCCCAAGGGTGCATCGCGTGCCGCGCACCGCGCACCAGCCAGCCCACTAGCAGCAGGAGCTGACCTTATTTGAGGCTATGGCCTTTGGAGCCATGTTTCGGAGCCAAGCTTGAGCGCGGTATGGCTTCTAACAATACACGGTTTTTTTTTACCGTGACGTGCCTGCAATCATCAAATATTATTGTTCGTCATCATAGCTCTATTTATAGGAACTTAATAGCTGCGAAATTTAAGAGGTGCGTTTTTCCCATTGTGTTAATTTTTGGCCCTACAATATGATCGGTTTCACCAAGTGTTTGGTGCTTCTCATTCATACCATTGCCATTCTGGCGACTTCCACATCCAGTCTCTGTAACCCGTTGAGTACCTCATCATGTCCATCGGAGAAGGCGTTGGCCACCGACGTCGCGTACCAATTCACGCTGGAGTCAGACGATTTTGAAGTGACATCAATTCCATCAGGAATCTCCTATTCCGACAACGGGGTGACCATGACCATCGCTAAGAGGTATGACAATCCCACCTTGATGTCCAAATTCTATATTATGTTTGGTCGGGTCGAGGTATCGATGAAGGCTGGTAATGGCACTGGAATCGTGTCCTCGTTCTACCTCCAGTCCAATGATTTGGATGAAATCGACATCGAATTGATTGGTGGTGACAGCACCCAATGGCAGTCTAACTATTTTGTAAAGGGTGACACTACGACTTATGACCGGGGCGAATTCCATGACACTTCTGCCCCTCCACAGAATGATTACCATAACTACACCATTGACTGGACCAACGAGAAAATCGTATGGTACTACGACGGTTCTGCCGTAAGAACCTTGAAAAACGACTCATCACAAGGCTTCCCTCAATCTCCCATGTACTTGAAGTTTGGGATCTGGGCGGGTGGGGATCCATCTAATGAAGCTGGTACTATCGAATGGGCAGGTGGTGAAACTGATTACTCCCAAGTCCCTTTCTCTATGCATATCAACCATTTGGAAGTCAGTGACTACTCCACGGGTGATTCGTACTCTTATACTGACCAATCGGGAGACTGGTCTTCGATTGAAGCTGATAATGGTAAGGTTTTGGGAAGACAAAATAGTGCCAACTTAAATCCTAGTGTTGGGGATACTGAAGACTCGGACTCGACAAGTTCGACTGCTTCTAAGACATCTTCCCAGCTGGCTTCCAAGACTTCCAAGGCAACTTCCACTAAAACATCTTCCAAGCTGTCCACTGAAGTGTCCTCCACTGAAATGTCCTTCACTGAAGTGTCTTCCAAAGTGTCTTCCGAAGAAGCCTCTTCTACAGACTCTCAAAGCTCAGCAGAGATCTCAACGGTCGTCTCTGAATCGTCTGCCCTGGCCGAGACTAGCTTAGCTACCGACTCTGAAACTTTATCTGATTCTTCAAGATCATCAGGTTCAGGCTCTTCAAGCTCCTCAAGCTCCCGAAGTTCAAGTGCTGTACAAACACTAGCTTCGACCGAGTCCACGGATTCCTCGTCCAGTTCAACAACGCCCTGCATCGCGTTAATGGCAATCATTGCATCTTTCTTCGTCTAGTGTAAATTCACTCTTATATATTACATGTACAAATTTGGAAACATAAACTTTTGGTTCACTAAATCAAGCTTGGCCCATTGTAGGTGTTATTGGCATAAACACTCTGCTGTATGGGTTGGGCTTGTTGCATTGATTGACCGGGGAACAGACCTTGCTGAGGAAACTGCTGTGTGAACTGCTGCGTGAACTGTGGTTGGAATTGTTGCTGAAATCCAGCCTGCTGCTGCTGAGCTGCCGCATGGAGAGACATTTGTGCATTATTCAACGTCTGTTGTTTCTGCTGTTCTCGCTGCGTTTCCGGAAACACAGGTATGGAAGGTAAGTTTTCTAAACCTCCGGCTGTAGCTTGAGGACGGAGGGGAGCTGGTTGATTATGTTGATTTTCTGCTTGTTTGAATAATGATGAGGTGGTTTCAGAAACCTTAAACGGATTGGACCCAGTAGCAGTGGCTCTAATAGGCTCTTGCTTTTGTTGAGATCCTCCAAACGTGAGAGCAGTGGTGTTGCTTTCTCCCGAAAATCTACTGTTTGCAAAAGGGTTCGCAGTGTGGTCGCGAGCAATAAACAGAGCTCTGCCGTTGCCAGTCATGGATGCAAAAGGATTGGTGCTTTGGGGATGAAGTGGTTGAGGTTGAGTCTGCTGAGTATATTGTGGCTGGAACTGTTGGGGTGGCTGTTGCACAAATGGCTGAGCCTGGGTCTGTTGCGCAAATGGTTGAGTCTGGATCGATTGGGGCACAAATGGTTGCTGATTCTGCGGTGGAGCAACCTGGTTCCCCGTAGCCATACTTTGCAAAAATGGATTGTTACCCGTAGATTGCACTTGAACTTGCGGTTGGGCGGTTTGTTGAGGACCATATCCACCAAAGCCATTGCCGGTAAATGCTGGGTTCAACAGAGGACCCAGGGTTTGAGCAAAGGGTGAGTTCAGTTGAGCAACCTGTGGTTGGGCCTGGAAAGCTGGTTGGGCTTGGAAAGTTGGCTGAGGCTGGAACGTCTGCTGAGGCTGGAAAGTTGGCTGAGCCTGGAACGTCTGTTGAGGCTGGAAAGTTTGACCCTGTTGAATAGGAGCCATGGAAACCACCCCACCAGTATGGTACACCTGTTGAAGTTGTTGCTCCCATGGATTGAAGGTGCTCTGTTGCACAATGAGAGTGTTTGAACGTTGAAGCCCCACACCATTACCATTATTAGCCTGACCATTTTGAGTCTGCGCGATAGCCTGAACCGGAGCCTGAGATTGCGCTGGTGGTCTCTGTAAAATACTAGGAGTTTTGGATGGAGAACTGGCGTCTTTCTTTAAGCTCTTCTCAAGGAGATACTGTCTTCTATTGTCCTCAAAGTTTGGATCATTTAAGTACTCTTCCAATGATGAAGTTAACGCGGTAGGCGCATGCTTAATGGTAGGAACATGAAGTTTGGTGGAATGTTCCAAATGCTTTGCAACTCTCAAATAATCAACCACATACTTAGTCTGGTCCACATACTTTTTGTAGATGAGCAAGGCTCTCTCGGCATCAACCTTGGACATTTCAAAATAATGTTCTAGGAGATTAATAACACCCTCATTCAACTCCTGAAACAATGCTAAAAGATCATTTACCAATAACCTAAAAGACGTCAATATCACATCGTTGTTAACATCATTCTCCATGAAGTTGTTCTTCAAGAGCGAGTCGATTTGCTTTTGGACACTTTCGGACTCTCTCAACAACCCTCTTTCAACCGATAAGAATCTCAATCTTCCTCCTGTTTGGTCGGTACTATTATTAGATCTTTCATCTCTAACATAGTCTGTTTTTGTAGCATGGTACTGCTTCACTCGGGTCTGTAAGTATTTTGAATACTTCAAGATGAATTTGACATCACTAGTCATCCCAGTGCTCCGGGAAATCGAGGATTGATCTAAACTTAATAAATTTGGCATTCTTTCACCAATGTATTTAAGGGTGAAATCCTTATCACCTTCCCGAATCATGATGTGTATCACAATCAAAGCCTTATAAACCACCGACCAAGCGCTATCCCGGAGCCTTATCTGTAAAGTCCTCATGATGGTATTGAAGTTTTCCACTTCTGTAGGGTGGTGGACCAGAGTCGCCAATAGAATCGGCTCGATGTATTTCAGTTTGGGAGCCGCCACTTTGACCTTGGTGGCCCCTTTAACTATCTTCTCATATGTGGTCATTTTCCCGAGTGTCTAGAGCCTATCAATGGGTGATGAATTCCACTGTCAATTAATATGATCGCTGTGCTGGTTAAGACACAAATAGTTGAGTTTCGACAGTAAGTTGATAGAAAGTTTCGCGCGCAATACACCCAAAAAATAATAGATAAATCACTACTAGTATTTCAGCCCCATTAAGTAGATGCATATTTTGAAGCTACCTTGGCTAGCTCATAGAGGTATGAATGACGGAACAGAATTCCCCCGAGATTATGGTACTAACAGACATTTTCTATAGGAGAAGCAAAGAAAGTTGAGTGTTATTCTGTGAGCGTAAATGCTGATGGAACAAGGTTAGCATCAGGAGGACTCGACGGAAATGTGAAAATATGGGATACACACACTATATCCGAGTTCAAAGCGATCGATGGAATCGACCCAGCCAAGATGAATGAGCTCGATCGCCTACTACCTCCACAATCGCAAAGAAGACCCCTTTGCTCTATGAGTAGACATAACGGAGTTGTTACCAGTGTCAAGTTCTCTCCAGATGGACAGTTTCTTGCTTCGGGATCTGACGATAAGATTGTGTTAATATGGGAAAGGGATGACCTGATGGCTAACCGACCCAAACAGTTTGGGGAAGTAGAGGCAGACCTTGAACATTGGACGGTGAGAAAGAGATTGGTGGCTCATGAAAATGATATACAAGATATTTGTTGGTCGCCCGACGGGTCTCTCTTGGTGACGGTGGGATTGGATAGACTGATAATCATCTGGAGTGGTACAACGTTTGAACGGATCAAACGTTATGATATTCACCAGTCCATGGTTAAAGGAATAGTGTTTGATCCTGCCAATAAGTTTTTTGCAACTGCATCTGACGATAGAACCGTCCGGATTTTCCGGTACTCCAAGAAACTTCACGAATCAGTTAACGACTATGAGTTTCAAATGGAGCATGCTGTGTTTGAACCGTTTAAGAAGTCACCTTTAACGTCTTATTTCAGAAGAATGAGTTGGTCCCCTGATGGTCAGAACATCGCGGTACCGAATGCTACCAATGGACCCGTCCCTTCTGTTGCCATTATAAAGAGAGGTGACTGGAGTACTGAGGTGTCCTTAATAGGTCATGAGGCACCTTGTGAAGTCTGCTCCTTTTCACCCAAACTTTTCATGGACGAGTCTGCTGACCCCAAGAGAAGCGATAACTTCTACACTATTTTAGCCACTGGCGGACAAGACAATACCCTTGCTATCTGGAGCACTCGTCAGAGTAAACCTTTGGTGGTAGCTCACGATATCACTTCCAGTTCTATTACCGACATTTGCTGGACTAATGATGGAGGAACTCTCTACTTGAGTTGTCTTGATGGGTCCGTCACTTGTGTGTCTTTTGATGGGAATGAGCTTGGAAAAGTGGTGAGTACGGAAACCCTTGCTTCCCAATTACACAAGTATGGAAGAGATCGAGAATCCAATGTGTTTCCTGAAAGTACACAGCAACTTCTTTTGGAAGAAAAGGCATTCAAGGTGTTGGACAACGAAGGGAAGAAACCGCTTGTGCCACATAAATCAGAGGTCACACCCACACCTGAACCGACTAAACAAGCTTCGAACGTGAACAGTCCTCGTTTACCACCACAGCTCCCTACCACGGTCACCAAATCTACTTCCAAAGAACAGACCATTACGATAAAGAACGGAAAGAAACGAGTGGCTCCAATCTTGGTGTCGGTTCTGTCCTCTAAACCCAAACCCAATCCAGATATTGTTTTGAATAAAGTTATTAAGAAGTCAAAGCCGAATAGTAAGGTTTCTCATGGGTCCTACATTCTCCCCAGGTCGGGTGTAAGCACTGCAGTACAAGGAACCAAAATGAGAAGAGAGGACTCACATATTCATGGAAATAATAATAATGACGACCAAGACAATGATAATGATGAAATAGGGCTCGATGTAGCAAACGATCAGGCCAACAATGCCAACCTATCCATTGCCACATTGAAAAAACAGAAAAGTAAAATTAAAAGACAAATCATGGAAGCCAGATATCCGAATCAATTCAAGCTCATATCCAATTTATCAGAGTCCCTATTTAACCACAGCTCTTTAATGAGACATGAAATGAGTAAGATTATTAATGCTTATGACTTTAGAAATGCAGCGGACCTTTTCAGCGGCACTAGTGCTTCTGCTGATACCAATGACGAAGACTTGATATTTGCCGTGTTGGTGTCAGCAATTTCACATAAGAACAATGAAATGTACTCCATTGATTCACCCTCAACTGAACCCACCAGATCCATAATAGAAGTAAGAAATGGGACTCCTTGGATAAAAGATGACGAGGAGATGGATATCGAATATGATGATAGAATCGACTTCCAAGATCCTACATCTGTGATTGTCACGAACTACTTAGGAGACGAGGAACGCAAAAAGTATGTCATATACTTCCCATTCAAGATCCAGCATGCCCTACCAATTTTATTTGATGGTGTTTTGACCTATTATGCTATGGCATCGTTTGAAGGAACGTTACAAATCATCTTTGCAGAATCAGGATCCTATTTATGCCCAAGCTTAGAGCTTGGAAATAATCTTGTGTGCTTGAAGCATTCTCAAGAATATCTAATGGGAGTAACCAGCTCTGGATTAATCTATATATGGAAGCTTCCCAAGTTTCCCCAGGAAAGGCATTTGAAGGCTGTCCTTAAAGGGGTATCAATGGCCCCCATCATGAACTGTGATTTGATTGTCGAGCAGATGCCCTCCAACTCAAAGTTTGGTGAGGGAATCATTTCACCAGACGTGAAGGCCATTGAGGTCGATCCTCGAACAGGGAGCCCGTACGTTATATTGAGTGAAGGTAACAACGTATACCAGTACTCCATTGAGTTGATGTGCTGGACAAAAGTGGTCGACTCATGGTATTTCCATGCCATAGATACAGAAACCTGTTCCAAGTGTAAGACTTATGACTACTTCTACAATATGAGCTCACGAGGATTCAAGGTGGACGTTGAGACATCGAGGATCGGTAAGTACATCTTCGACGACAGCACTTCAGAGCTCCAAAGCGTTATGAAAACTAGGTTTGATGAGTTGATGCATTGTTGATGAGTAGTAACTCATTTATGTATATACTGTAATATAAAAACTAATTCTGATGTTTCACTTCTTCAACCTTCAGTTTATCGACTGGGCTGGGCTTCTCCACAGGGGTCTCAAATGGGAACTTGATCAAAAATTCCAACGAAGTTAACACTGAGTTTACAGAGAACATCCATACCGTAAGTCCTACACCTCCAAGAACCACAAATGGTAAACCAAATAGTCTTTCAATGGGATAAGGGAGATACCCGGGCGGGAGATGGAAAAGCACCGCCTTTCTGAACCAGAGCCTGAAGAACCAAATAGGCAAAGTCGTTAACACACTGATGAGTAAACCCAAATATTTCACCACACCAGCTTTCTCCGATGCCAAACCTTGGTTTAACTGATCAATTTCGGCCAAGAGCTTGTCATGCTGACGGTTGAGCTTCGTCCATTTTGCATACTCATCTTGGGCACTCACGGCTTTTCTTTGGAGGTTTACCTTCCTTGCTTCCAGAGATTTATTTGAAATCTCCAGTAGCTTTGAGTGGCCCAACTTGCCAGCAACCTGGCAGTATGATCTCCAGGTCAAGTCTTGGATGTTTTTCTTTCCCACCACCTCAATGATCTTCTTAAATAGCAACACGGTCAACACCGTCACCAACAAGGTCGATGGATATAAATCAAAAGATACCATTATGAAGGGTATTCTCAGTTAGCTTTGTCGTTTGGGTTACAAAACGGTAGGTTCGCACTTTTTTCTGGTGATGCGCTACCCATTATCATTCTTCACAAGTTTGAGGCGTTCATATTCATCAAGCCCAGTTAATCGGTTCCACCCATCTACTTTTGTGCATCATGTCCAGCGGAGGAGAAGATGATTATGTTCCTTGGATCCAACAATTCTGCAACTTATTCGGCCACGACTACTTTGTGCCTATATCGCAAGAATTCATCGAGGATGATTTTAACTTAACAGGTTTATCTCTGCAAGTTCCCTACTATCGTGAAGCCCTCTACACGATTCTAGACTACCAAGTGGATACTGCCGACGACAGTTCCAATAGTGGCCTGAAAAATAAGGGAGACTTACCCAATAAAGCCTTATTGGCACACTCTGCAGAGTTGTTATACGGGTTGATACATGCTCGATACATAATATCCAAGCCAGGATTGACGGCCATGGCGTCCAAGTTTGAACGTAATGAGTTCGGATCGTGTCCTCGTCTTCACTGTGATGGAATGCACTTGATGCCCTGTGGAGCCACTGATTTACCAGGTCAAGAAACCGTTAGACTATATTGTCCATGCTGCAACGATATATATCTCCCGCTGAGCTCGCGGTACTTGAACATCGACGGGGCATTTTTTGGCACCACCTTCCCTGGTTTGTTGATCAGAATGTTTCCCGAAATTGAACACCAGTGTAAGTTAAGGATCGACAAGGTGAACCAAGACGAGCTGGGATTACGGTTGTTTGGATTCAAAGTCAACGAGATGAGTGCAAGCGGCCCCAGAATGAAGTGGCTCAGAATGCATCCTAAGAGTACCGAACAGAAAAAAGAGTTTGATAGCTGCCAGCTAACGCTTCCAAGCTCAGATGAGATGGAAGAAGAAGACGACGATGTAGACGAAGAACAAGACGATGATGACGATAACACGATGGCGAGCTCGGGCTCATAGGCACTGCTTCAGATTGTATCATAACACAACATATACGTATATTTTATATATCCATAATTCATCAATTCAATTATCCATAATTCAATGGGTAAGAAGAACGGGTTTACCAGGTTCCCAGTCCTTGATGCCATTTTGAATGTTCACCCAATACTTGAGACGAATAGCCTCTAGCATCACCTTGTCCCAGTCAATTGGTGTTTCTATTAACAATTGGTCAATGGTTTCTTCAGTCTCTTCTATTCTCACTTTATTTTCATCTGATAACGGTTCTAGGTCTTCTTCACTATTGGCAAACTCAAGTGATTCATGAGCGTCTAGCACCGTCATTAACATTCCTTTGTATTCCAAAGATGACTCTTCACTCTCCGACTGGAATTTCTCTATCATTTTCTTCGAAACATCATCTTGGCTGATGTCCGGATGTTGAGGATGATACAATTCAATTAAGTGAGATACTCTGGTGTACGGATTTTGGATGGTGGTATAGGCTTTGTTCAAGAAGGCAGAAAAGTCACCTGACGATGCTTCTGGAGACTTTGAAAGTGCTTGTGAACCAATAAGTATATCTGGGTGGTGTTCACTTTGTAATAACCTGAACTCTCTTCTCAATGCTTTAGGTGCTACTTTGAAGGGGTCGGACGGTGGTCCACCACCAGGGAAGCTTTTGGGAAACAAATCAAAGTAGGACTTTAACGTGGTGGTAAGGGTACTAGAATACCAACGATATATCCTCAATGGCCTTAGAAATGCCGATACAACATATTTATTGGTGATCATTGGTTGAGCAAAGTTTAGGTTTTCTGATGATCGCATCGCATTTGTTTCATTTCTAATCAAGACAACACCGAACTGGCTATAAGAATTCGACCAATAGTAGCCTTGGTTTACAAGCAAGATATAAATATCAGACTGATTAAGCAGACTACGCTATACAATCACAATTTCCAAGGGTCTTCTCTGGCATTTCATGTTCAAAAAGAGACGCATCAAAAAGCTGGACCCCAGCTCCGCAAAACGTAAAGTTATCAATACAGACCTACAGGACGATGAAGAGGTGTCTGTGATGAAAGAATCCGTTCCAGTAACCAAGAAATTCAAGACTGCTGACGACAGTGGCCAGAAGAAACGGATTCGTGAAGAATCTACTGAAACTAGCTCATACCAGTTGGTCCATTCAAAGAACACAGCCGTGATGGAAACAAACAGCGAGCAAGATACCCCCACAAAGAACCCTCTCAATGCTATACCTGTCAACATACGAACTACCACCATCACCGACTTCCAGCCCGATGTATGTAAGGACTTTCAACAAACTGGGTACTGTGGGTATGGAGATACCTGTAAGTTTTTACACATCCGAGATGAGACGAGAGCCAAAAATCCCGTGAAAAAGGAATGGGAAACAGTGGGGAAGAGCAAGCAAGTGGTGGCCCAAAAGCCCGGAATTCCTTTTAAATGTGTTATCTGCCGTCAAGATTATATTGCTCCCGTAAGAACCGAATGCGAGCATATATTTTGCAAAGAGTGTTTTACCACTCGCTACAAGAGTCATAAAAAACCCAAATGCTTCATTTGTGGCAAAGATACGAGCGGAATAAGCCACCCTGTATCCGTTTCCGAGCTCCTGAAACTTTTGGCTGTAGAATAGTCTGTACCATATAAACCAATTAATTGCACCCAAAATTGCCATTGCATCCGCGCGGTACGAACACCAGTTTGTACATCTTCTAAACTACAATGTCACAGTTACAGCTGCAAATGGAGGGCCTTCCTGGGTACGACATCCTCATGGGGTTCTGGGAAGACTACGCGGGTGAGCATTTGAATACCATTGACCCGTACGAGGACGAAAATGGCAATAAACGGAGGTTACCATCATCTTCGTCTCAACAAGAACAACGAATGTGGAAAATAGTTCAAAAAAAAGCATGGGCTCACGACAAGTGTTTCTTAGGTTCGTGTGGAGTTGGCATGGACTGTGGAGTCGGGTTGGCACCGTTGGTGGTACTTTTTTTCCCGGTGCTAGGTCCTCTAATCATGTACGGGGTTCATGCCAGATTGATACATGTGGTCACTAACGAGATGAAACTCCCCGGGTCGCTTGTGGCCAAAATGGAGGCCAACATCGTGGTGGATCTTTTGATCACGTTTCCACCCGTCATTGGCTGTTTCTTTGGGTATCTTCACTCCTGTTCCACCCGAAACGCTGGTTTGATCTACAAATACTTTCTATTTCTCGCGGAACAGCGAGAGAAGAACAACGTGCCACTTTATGTGGGCCGGGGGGCCATTGGACACGGGCCTGAGACGGTGCAGCCAGCTTACGCGGGAACTGCTCGTCAAAACAATTACCAGAACCCGAATCTGGTGCTGAAAAAACCGATGTTTGGCCAACGGACATATAGCAGTGGCCAGCGTGGCAAACCTCTGGCACAGATTCTGGTGGATCAGCACCAACAAAGTGGCTTCCTATAAGCACTAATATATAAAAATCTCAATTATCCCTGTTATCGCGGTGAAGAAAAACATCTTCAAGCCATATGTTCTCGAGACCAGAAGGTATAGAAAACACGCGGATCTGGGTGGATGGATGCTTCGACTTCACCCACCATGGCCATGCTGGCGCCATGCTCCAGGCTCGCCAGCTCGGACGTGAACTCTACGTCGGAGTCCACAGTGACGAAGATATTCTTCAGAATAAGGGCCCAGTGGTCATGAAACTAGCAGAACGGCTCACAGCCGTTGAGGGCTGTAAATGGGCCACAAAGGCGATTCCAGATGCACCGTACGTGACGGCCCCCGACTTCATGGACAAGTATGGCTGCAAATACGTGGTTCATGGTGATGATATCACCACCGATGCCAACGGGAACGACTGCTACCAAGAAATGAAGGACCTTGATCGGTTCGTGGTGGTGAAAAGAACGCCTAACATCCTGACAACGGACTTGGTGGGGCGGATGCTTTTGAGCACAAAAACACACCATTTGCCCGCCATAAAATCGATGGGTCATGGGCTTTTCTCCAATGAGAACGTTGCGCAGTTCGAAAAGTATGCCACCGATCAAGGAGGGCTACACCCCCATGCCGGAGTCTACGTCCACCTCGATGACGACCCATTGCATGTGCTTGTGCAGCCAGCGCAGGAGGTTAACCAGACGTACCAGAAGTTGGTGTACGTCGACGGAGGATTCGACTTGTTCCACCCAGGGCATATCGAAGCGTTGAGACTCGTCAAACAGCATGCAAATCATGTGGGTGCGGCTGTGATGGTGGGGATCCATGACGACAAGTGTGTCAACGACCATAAGGGGCTCAACTACCCGATCATGACGCTTTTTGAACGGCTGTTATGTGTGCTTCAGTGCAAGTACGTCGATGGGGTAGTGTTGGCAGCACCGTACAATGCCGACCGCCAGTTTTTGGACCGGCTTCCGGGCCTGGTGGTGGCAGTCATGCATGGCCCTACGCCGGTAGACCCCGAGGTGTATGCCGATGCCCGTACCGATGGGATTTACCAGCAAATGGGGTCTCATAAATTCGACGACATCAACACCCAGTTCATTGTCAAACGAGTGTTGGACAATATGGAAGCGTTTGAAGAAAGACAGAGGAAAAAGGGGTGGAAGGCCGAGAACGAACGGCGACTCGAAGAGTTGGAGAGACAAAAGCATACATAGACTAGTTAATTCATTCATTTAGGTCGTATAAAATTCGCAGCTATTCGCGGTCGTCGTCTTTGAAGTAGTGGCTTTCAATCAGTTCAGACTTCTCTTTTATGAACCGCTCGTTTTCCTGGTGATTGGAGTTGCGCCTTTGGCTCTTACCAAACATGTTAAATTGGATATCGGAGTCCAAAAGTTCGTCGCCAACACGGCCCCAATTACCTTTACCGGCCCCATTCTTCTTGACCTTGGTGGGATCGGTACCAAAGTAGCCATTGTGGGTAAACCATTTGGGTTCGGAGGATGCTTCGTGGACAGTCCATTTTTCGGTTCTGGTCATGATTATTGTAGTTTGTTATAGTTGATAAATTCTTTTGGTTGCAGAAAAAGGGTTGAAGAGGTCTATTTATACTTTTGAATTGTGGGGTGATAAGTGAGGGAAAGAGTGTGGTGGAAAATTCCACGGTGAAGGTGGGGCGGGCTGACCGAGCGCGGGAGAAATTTCCAGTAAATGAGTCAAGCGAGGCCGAGAGGGAACAGAATTTTGGAAGCATTTGGTTCGCTGGGCTTACGTTGATTACATAGAGTTTGGGTTTGTTGTAGTCGGGTGTCTGGAGTTTATTCTAGCTGGGTGTTTGGGTGTTTTGCAGCTGGTGTATCTAATAACCCACGGATAAGCTGGTGGTGGATAAACCAAGCATGACAGATGGAATTAGATGACTTGGTGCGGCGGTGGGTCCATAAATGGAACCAGCCGGCCACATCTCAGGCCCAGCTGCGAGGAAGGTTTTTTTGCGATTTTCACTTTTTCCAGTCACCTGTGAAGAAATAGGGGAATTGGATTGTGGACGCACCACACATTTCCAATGTGGGTATAAGTTTTGGGTACCTGCAGTATGTAAAACCCATGAATTACATAGTCTTTTCTCTGATTAATAGCCTCTGCCACTTATACCTAACTCCCTAATGTGATATTCTCGGCTTCATAATAATTCAGGCAAGACAGTACGTTATTTAATGAGATAATGCACTAATTAGCAAGCCCGCCCGGGGCACACGTCACCACACCCCCTTTGTTGCGGGACTCGGTGTGCTTCAGTAAACAGAACCTTTTTCAGCATCTGGTGTGCAGAAAACCGCTGTCAGCCATGTAAATACACATGCCCCATCAAGGTAGGTATCGTACGACCGCCAGGTTCTTCGAATACAGCCTTAATAGGAAAAAAAAAATATAACGTCAAAACTTTGATAAGTAGAACAATATTTATAGTTTGGGATTTTATTCTACCACAGTTTTATACAGGCGTTTTGACAGAGCAGTTTTGTAGCTATTTTAGAGCTTGTTGGGACGTTTTATAGTTTTTTTACAGTAGTTTCAGTATATAACACTTGGTATACCCTTTCGATGGGTGTATGGGTCAGACATCGACGCCCATGGGGGCCGCATGGTGCAATGAGCTGCAAATTATACCTGTGCGCATAACCATTGCGAAGCTAAAACTAAAAATATCCACGTGGCGGCCTCCTACAGGAATTACTAGTAAACAAGATGAATAAGCCCGCAAAAGTTGTTACCCCCAGCGCCTTAACGGTCTAGGCATCTATCCCTAATACTTTTTCTTGAAGAAAAATACAAGATGGACAAAACGTTTAACCTCAGGCATAACCGAAAGACCGTCTTCTACGGACTCATTGTCGTTTGGCTCGTGTCGGTTAACCTATGGCTTTACGGGTATAAATCGGTGGGATTTGCCGCCTCCGAAGCTTCCATCTACGACCACGAATATGGAACTCCCACCACCATTCTGGCCCAACCACTGAGTGTTAATGTGGACGTATTTCATGATACCACCATTAAAAACATGGCCCAAGCCGTGGGCATCAAAGATACCCGGTCCATCGATGCTCATTCAAGTGTCTACGACCTGTTGTTGGCTAAACATCAGTTATCGGACATATTGACCAACCTAGATTTCACCGAGCGGTGTGACTTATACTTCAAGAACCTCTTTGGCCAGAACCGTAACTGGTTTGTGAACCCTAGCGAGGACCTCCCACTCGATCACCGGCACGAGTTTGACTATGAACTGTTCAAACACAACGTCTATGATGGCATGAAGGAAAAATACGCTGAGGGGTCACACAAGAAGGTCGACGATGTTGACTACAACGACAAAAAGGTGGCCAAAGCGGTTGAACTGCTAGTGAAGGCGGAATACAAGCAGTTCTGGGACAAAACCATGGGAATCGAACAGAAGATGGTGGACTATTTGTCCCACTTGCGTATTTTCAACAAGTGCTACATCACCAATGACAATAAGTATATCATGGACAAGGCCAACAAATTGCTCACCAAAGAGGCCACGAAGATTGACCACTCCAAGTTTCAGGCCGATTCTGCCGAAAAGTTGATCAACCACAAGAGTTTTGGCTCGTGTAGTGAGTTGGAAAGCAGAATCTATAAATGGATCTCGTTTTCGTATCCGATTTATGAGAGATGGACGGGTGATATCTTCTTGACACCTCCAAACATGCGTGACTTTGTCAAGTATCCCGAGGTATTTAAGCCCACAACCCCCAAGTTCAATGAGCTCACGGATGATGTTACTAAGTCCACGCTTACTGGAAATAAACCCTGTTTCTTCAACAACTTCAAGAACAAGCTAAACGGGAAGGGGATCGTATTGTCGATAAAAGACAGTCATGTGGATGATACCGTCAAGCTTATTCATCTATTGAGGGCGTTGAACAACCACTACCCCATTCAAATTGTGTTCTACGACTCTATTAACGACGAGTCCAAAATAAAAATCGTCAACGCTGCCAGGAAGAAGATGATCGATTTGCCCGCCAGCTTCAACAAAGTGGCCAAGAATTTTCCTCCCGGCTATTTCAACTTCCAGGATGGAGGGTTACCCAAGCAAGAGGTTTGGTTTGTCAATACGTATAATGCAATTCACAACAACTACAAGGATAAGTTCCGGGGGTTTGCCAATAAGTTTCTAGCCACTTTGTTCAACTCGTTCGAGGAGGTTATGTTGATAGATGCCGACACCGTGTTAGTGCAGAACCCATCGTATTATTTCAATTTGAAGAACTACGTATCGAAGGGAGCATACTTTTTTAAGGATAGGACCGCTCCGGAGTTCAGACCTACTGGAGACACCAAGTTCTTTGAGAAAATCACTCCTTCAATACTAGACAACTTGATGTTCGACATCCCTATAATCTCCCAGAAGACACTTGGCTTGGAGTTCTTCCAAGGAATGGGTCATTTTATGGAAAGTGGATTGGTATTGATCAACAGAAATTTGCACTTCAACTCAGTGTTGACCATGGTCCAATTGAACTTCTTTAACCCTGTCACTACTAGAGTATATGGGGACAAAGAAATCTTTTGGTTGGGATTCGCCACAACGGGTGACGAGGACTACCACTTTAACAAGTTTTTTGCAGCATCGGTAGGAGCTCTTACACCACAGCAGGACCGATTGAACGGCGACGGGACCGAGAAAAAATCCCAGGAGGTCTGTTCGGCTCACCCAGGTCATATCAACGGAGAGGATGGCAAGACATTGATCTGGTTTAACTCGGGTTTCAAGTTCTGTGGACAAAGTGACGTTGTAAAGTACGAAGATGAAGTCAAGAAGCAAGAACATTTGAAGTTCTTGAAAGATGCTCAAAGTATGAGAGAATATTATGAAGGACCCATAGTACTCAAAAATGCCATTATTCCTCCCTTCAAAAACAAACTAGAAACTTGGGCCGAGAACATTATAGAAGAGCCAAGGCAGGGTTGGCATATGGAAAAGGGCTACTGTAACAGTTATTTATGGTGCGCATATTCTTCAATTGGTGGTCTCACCAATGATGGAGGTGACACCACCCAAACGGGGCAAGTGTTTGATTTTGATAAGGATTCGATCGACTTGTTCAAATACTATGGCGATGTTTGGGTGGGTAATGAGTAACATTTCCAGTCTTAAAGAAACTATATAGATAAATTAGCACATCTTTTGCATCCGTATAAGCATTTCAAATTCGCTTTTGCGAACTACGAAAAACCATCTCAACTACTTTCACAATAATGGATGACGATTATTCAGATGATGGCTCTGTCGAGTTCTCCGAAGATTTACTCAACGACCAAGAATATGATCAGCTCTTGGATACCTTGCCAGTACTTAAGCAAAAATTAGCCAAGTTTGACAAGGGGAGTCAAATTAACGAGTTGGTGCTTAAAGAGAGTTTATATGATCATTACTTTGAGGTTGAAGAGGCTTTAGAGGATTTGAAAGTGAGCCACAAACTCAAGCGTACGTATAAGTTTTCAGATTACCTTTCAAGTGTTTTTTTGGGCCACACAAGTGCTGTTCTTTTCATAGTTGATATCCTGGTGTAAATGGGTATATTTGCAACAGTGCGAACATTGGCCTTTTCACTAATGTCCAAGCTAGCAGCGTTGGCAAAAAAGCGTAATTCCTCCAACAATACAGGCACAAATAGGAATGTGGAGATCTTGAACCGACTCACTGGTGAGCTGAAACCAGGTCCTACTGTTCCAGAGACCAAAATACGAAGCAAGCTTAGCCTTATACGAGATACGCAAAAGGAGCGGGAGAAGGCAAAGAGTCATAGTGAACACCTGAACAACGACGATATGATTGTTGATCTTGCAGCCACGTCCCAAAAACGTATACCCATAGAGCCAGTGTTGAGACCACCCTCCATCGACTTTGACATTTGTGTCGACACCTCACTCATAAGTTCTCCCAGACTTTTCTTCACGGATGGTTTATATTCCCACTTGAACAGCACTTCCTCCAAAAAACGAAAGCTTGATGATCAGTTGGGCCAGCTCTTTACTAACTATGAACTTTCTCTAGAAACCGTCAACAAGATCGATAAGAACTTCAATACAGAAAGCCCAGATGAGAAGGTGCTAAATGCCCAAAAGAAAGCATTTGATGACTTTAACAAATTGAACATCAAAACGTCAAAGAAAGAAGACAAAATATCGAAGATACTCGACCAGAGCCTCAAGGTTGATATAAAATCCGAGTTGGCCACTAATAAACAGTTCAAAAAACCTCACAAGTCGTTTGTGGTGATTGGGCACGTTGATGCGGGTAAGTCGACGTTAATGGGAAGAATTCTCCTTGACTTGAACATCGTTGACTTGAAAACCGTAAACAAATTGATCAAAGAGAGTGAAAGTATTGGCAAGGGATCATTTGCGTTGGCTTGGGTTATGGATCAAACGGTAGAGGAGAGATCTAGAGGTGTAACTATCGATATAGTAGCCACCAATTTTGAAACCGAAACCACCAGGTTCACCGCTATAGATGCTCCAGGACACAAAGACTTTGTTCCACATCTCATAAATGGTCTTTGTCAAGCCGATTTGGCTCTATTGATTGTAGATTCCATTACTGGTGAATTTGAATCAGGATTCCAATTGGAAGGCCAGACAAAAGAGCACACTCTACTCGCCAAAAACCTTGGAATCAAGAATCTTTGTTGTGTGATCAACAAGCTCGACAAAGAAGACTGGTCACAACACAGATATGAGTTTATTAAGGACCAATTAACAGACTATTTGATTAATGAAATTGGGTTTGAACAGTCTGATTTGAGCTTTATACCCGTTTCTGGTTTGAGTGGTAACAATGTTATCAAGAGACAAGATATTCCAGAGTTCAAGTGGTATGAAGGACAAACTTTATCTGCCTACTTAGAAACAATTGATGTTCCCAAACCAAGTGTCGATGAAATCATTAAGGAACCTTTTAATTTGGTAATCAATGATATCATTGACAACTCAAACTCTGAATTCACTGTGGTGGGAAAAATATTGTCTGGAGTCATTCAGATCAATGATAGTGTCAGCTTTCTTCCAATAAATGAGATATTCAAAGTGAATAAAATCAATATGGGAGGAAACTTTGTAAAGTTTTCTGTTTCTGGAGAAATAGTCGAACTTTCATTCAGTAAAAAACAGTTCAAGGAAAAGACATTTGAGGATGTGATTATTGGTGATATTGTATCCAATTCTACTGATATTAAACCTGTGAAGTCGTTCACTTGTAGATTGTCATTGTTCAACTTACAAAAGCCTTTATTAGTTGGAACTCCATTTGTGTTATTCCGGAACAACTTCAATATCCCAGCAAGACTCACAAAGATCATTGAAATTGACAACTCAAAGAAGCGGAAGAAGCACTTGATTTCTAAGCAATCGGCTCTAGTCGAAGTGGAAGTCGAAGGAGAAAGATTATTACCGTTAACAATATTCGAGACAAATCCTCATTTGGGCAAAGTTGTTATCAGAAGAGAAGGAATTACTATTGGTGCCGGTACAGTGGTAAAGTTGTGAACTTAACATATATAAACCCATGATTATCGTATATAGTCCATTATTAACAAAAGTATTCCCAAAATAATGTTGGTAGTTATTATTATATTTGCACTTTTCTTGTTCCTTGAGGTGGCCTTGGTTAAGTTTTTGTTTCCAGAGGTCAAATCAAAGTTTATCTGGTCCTGGTTATCGATAAGATTCATGATTTGGCTGGACTGACTTTCTATCTGGTATGTGATTTCTGCTTGCATATTCATGATGTCCACCATTGACGTATGCAAAGTTTCAACCTTTTTAAGCTGAGTATTCTTCAAGCTAAGTAAAGTTTCATTTTCCAGTTCGAACTCTTGGATTTGACCCGGTGACAATTGGGGTACCTCATTCTCCCAGGAGATGGGTCCGTCCAACTCTGTAGCTGGAATATCTAGGTCGAGATCGTCCTCTAAGTTTTGGAAATTGAGTAAGTTTAACTGTCGCTCTCTCTGAATACGCTTCTTTTGCAACTTTTGGAATTGTTTACCCGAATTATTCAAGGATTCACTCAAAAACTTCAACACTTGATTTCTGTGATTACTTAGACTCACAAAATATAACTGTTTCATATCTTCTTCCTCATCACCAAACATATTGGATATCCAGTGACCTTTCGGCTTGTGGACTTGGCGTTTTTTTTCGTAGTTTTGAAGGACCTTAAGTTTCTCGTATAGAGCCTGAAGTTTGATTTGGAAGTCTTCATCGAGTTTGTTTTTGTCATCAATACTTAGCCCTTTCGTGTCGTTATCATCATTTATAGCCAAGTATGGTTGCTTGATTTGTTCGAGGAATGAGTTGAGCCCAATGATATACCTGTACAACCCCTTTGATTCTTTGGTGAACGTATCATTTATGGCATACTCGTCTTTATTGAGGCGATTAATCTGGATCGAGTCTCTAAATTCCTCTTGGACGATACTTACCACCTGGTTGAATAATGGGGTCAAGTCTGCCATGGTGTTTGTCGTGAAAGTTTGAAGCGCGAAGATTGATTTTGATCGAGTAGCATGCAACTTGAAAGAAAATAATTTGAAAAAAGAGATCTGGTTCTAGAGGGCACTCACACGTAGCACAAGAAACCATCTATGAGTTCTGGACAATGCCAGGTATAAAACTCTTAAGTTCCCAAAATAGCGGTTAGTACACGAAGATGTATTCCTTAGGACTCTCTCGCGAATCTCCCGCGGCAAGGGCTCGCACGGGGTTAGGTCGATTTGGTTTGGGGCTAGAACGAAGATTGCTTATTTCCTAAACAGGCATTTCGCAGCCATTACAAGGAGCCAAACCAAGAAAAAAGTCCATAATATGCCTTGAAAAAGTATCGCTAGCCCTCTATAAGAGTCTTTTACTATTGCTACTCATGTTTTCCCACATACACTATTTTCAATGGTTCCACCAGCATTTCCCTCAAGCATCTCAATCTCGTTCTTGAACCCTCATTTCACCCGACGTGCCCTGGCAAATAAATCTCCCTGGCCTCACACACGTGGATGAATCTCATCTGCCAGACATTAATATCGGGGCAGGACCACGAGCATTTTCAAAGTACTTCAAGGTTTGAAGCGATACAGAATATTCTTCAATTAGTTTGAGTTCTCCAATCTCACCGCTTATCTATCATGAAGTTCGGAGAGCATTTAAGAAAGTCTTTGATCAAGGATTACAGTTACTACTATATTGACTACGATGACTTGAAGCACGAATTGAAAAAATCCTTGAAGCTGAACGACTTTCAGTGGAAAAACCAGTTGGAAGAGGAGTTTTTGAACATGCTTGAAATCGAACTTGACAAAGTCTATTCGTTCACGAAGGTGAAGAACACCGAATTGAAGAGAAGAATTAAGGATGCTGAGAAACGGGTCAACACTGTTATCAAAAACTTGAACACCACCGAAGACGATGAGTTCCAGTCGTTGGAAAACGAGTTGAGTGATGTGATTGCCGACGTCCACGACCTTGCTAGGTTTACTAGGTTGAACTATACCGGGTTCCAAAAAATCGTCAAAAAGCACGATAAATTGACCAAGTTCAACTTGAGACCAATTTTTCTGGTCAGATTGGACGCAAAGCCCTTTTTCAAAGACAACTACGACCCGTTGATAGTCAAGTTGTCCAAGTTGTACGACTTGGTTAGAACCAAGGGGAATCCAATTAAAGGTGACTCTTCTGCTGGTGGTTCTCAACAGAATTTTGTGAGACAAACCACCAAGTACTGGGTTCACCCCGATAACATCACCGAGTTGAAGTTGATTATCTTGAAGCACTTGCCGGTGTTAGTGTTCAATGCTGAAAAAGAGTTTGAACCTGAGGATGGTGCCATTACTTCCATATACTTTGACAACAAGGACATGGATCTCTACTACGGTAGGTTGATGAAAGACGAGGGTGCCGAGGCCATCAGATTGAGATGGTATGGTGGCATGAAGTCTGAACAGATATTCGTCGAGAGAAAGACTCACAGAGAAGACTGGACGGGAGAGAAGTCTGTTAAGGCAAGATTTGTCTTGAAGGAAAAGAAGGTGAATGCTTTCTTGAAGGGTGGGTTGACTGCGAAGCAAGTGTTTGATAAAATGAGGAAGGAAGGGAAGAAGTCTGAACAACAAATTGAAAACTTGGAGAAATTGGCTACTGAAGTTCAATATAGAGTTATCAAGGACAAGTTTAGACCCGTAATGAGATCATTCTATAACAGAACTGCCTTCCAGTTACCTGGTGATGCCAGAGTAAGAATATCCTTGGATACAGAATTGTCGATGGTGAGGGAAGACAACTTTGATGGCCATGATAGAACCGATGGAAACTGGAGAAGAATGGACATCGGTGTTGATTATCCCTTCAGTCAATTACCAGAGAAGGATATCTGTAGATTTCCTTATGCTGTTTTGGAAGTTAAATTGCAAACTCAATTGGGTCAAGAACCTCCATTGTGGATTAGAGAATTAATTGGTAGTCATCTAGTGGAGGCTGTGCCCAAGTTTTCCAAGTTCATTCATGGTGGTGCTTCCTTATTACCAGATTATGTCACTTATCTCCCATTTTGGTTGCCTCAGATGGATGTGGATATCCGAAAGCCAAAGATTCTAGAAGAATTTGGTATCAACAGAAATCAATACAGGCTCAAGACCTCTTCTTCAGGTAATGAATTGGACGAAGAAGAAGGAGCGGGACGCGAAGTGACGTTCTCCAATGACGTTAATCCTTTGGAAGATGACTTGGATGAAACAACTCCATTATTGTTTCCCTCTTCTTACATGAGCAGTAGCACCGGAACTCCATTTCAACAATGGTTTGTCAAGGTTTATGGAAAATTCTTACACTACTTTAACGATGATAGAACTTTCAACGTCAAACCTGGTACTAACTTTGATTTGAACACCACTTTCAAGGATAAAATTCCAAAGGGTAAGGAAATTGCTATTCCGATCAGAATTGAGCCAAAGGTTTACTTTGCAGCCGAGAGAACTTTCTTATCTTGGTTATCTATAGGTATGATCTTGAGCATTACTGCCACCACATTGTTGAACTATGGTACTAAAACCTCCTTGACTGCATCAATTGGTTTCTTTGTTACTGCATTGTTCACCTTTGTATATTCAACGTTCATGTACATCTGGAGAACTTTGATGATTAGAGAAAAGAGACCTGCCAAGTATGGTGACACTTTTGGACCAAACATGATTTGCTTCTTCATTGCTTTGTCCACTTTCCTTACCTTTGTCTTCAAATTTACTGAAAGTTGATGAGCAAGGAATAGTTTCATTTCTTAATCCTTAAGGATATTTTTATTTTTGCATGTTATATATCATCTGAATTACATAACTCTATAATACTTTTATTGATAATGCATTGGAGCTCGTGGATCTATTTTATCTTCGGTTAAACCCATCAAGTCTGTCAGAAATGATAGCATCGATATCCTCCTCATGTTCCGTTCTGGTAATCCGATCCAAAATACTCTTTGATCTGTTTCTCTTTACCCTCTTACCACTTGGCAATACTTCATATTCAGAATTATTATTAGAAGCGTGATATTCTGCACCAACACTGTATACTACTTCTCCATCTGAGCCTGGTGGTAGTTCATCTGGGCTGGTAGAAGTGCCGGCTCTTTTCCTCTGTTCACTGGTTTCATCCATATACTTGTCCTTCAAATGGATATTCAGACCCAATCGACTCAGCAAACCATTTATAACCTTGATGTATCGTTTGTACCAAATAGATGAATCTTTGGGTGAAGTCCACCCTGTTTTCAACTCGTTATATGCCTTTTGCTCAAAGCTTCTTCTCATGTGTATATCCTTTTCAATGGCTCTAAATATCTCATCATCATTAGGTTTGATAATAAATTTGAAAACCTTGATTATAACATCCAAATAAATTGGAATAACAGAGATAACAAGCAAAGACGCCCACCAGCTGACGTCTTGTCCAAATTCCAATAAGCCGTAGTCAGCATAGAAGATGCTGTGAGACAGTGAGCGATACAACATCATAATAACAACATTCCATACACCGTATCCACCCACAGAAATAATGAAAGCTGCAAAAGACACCCATGACTTATTTTGCATTTCAGTGAATTCACATTTGGCATTGATAATAATTACCAATGATGCGAATAAAAGGGTTCCCAATGGTAAGGTTGAATTATCCTTCAAGGCATTAAAGCCCCATATGTACCAAGATAAAAATGAAATACCAACACTTTGCAGTGCAGCCAAAATCATCCAAGTGACAAAGATTTTCAAATTAAATCCTTTGTATAACCTTCCTTTTGAGTATAATTCGGGAACTGCCAATAATGTAGCTGGTTGCAAGTCTTTGTCGAAAATCCCGATCACCAAAACCGGTAAAGAAGTGAATAACGTGTTGAACATGGATAAGGACCAACTTTCATAAACCGAAGACCCCGAAAACAAGGTATATCTCTGGTACATAGCTTGAGTCAAGTAGAAAATCAATTCTTTATAGAAGGTACAAAGAACAAACTTCGATGTTCTAACATAATTGTACCTCCCATTTACCAAAAGTAACTTCAACAAGAATCTGAACTGAGCTATGGCATAATCAGATGCTCTGGCTGCTTGCAAACCTTCCTTTCCTGTTATGCCAACACCAATATCAGCACTTTGGATCATAGCGATGTCGTTTGCTCCATCACCAATTGCTAAAGTTACAGACCTCTTATCCAAATTCCGAATGGCTGAAACCATAGCTGCCTTTTGAGAAGGAGATGCACGACAACAAATGGCTGAATCGGCCACCACACACAAATCAATGTAGATAGCCATCAACGCTTCATCATTCTGGATTGTTGCAAGAGTGGCACCGTCTACAACAACAACACAGTGAGCAATACCACCCCCATTGACTTTTTTAACCGTACTTAGGATCCGCTTTCTTACTTCATCTTTGCCATGATCAATATTCAAAATGGACACAGTAGAATAATCTTTGATTAATCTACATGAGTAGCCAATATTGATGGCAGTCTCCCTTTTATCACCTGTAAGCATCCACATTTTGATACCAGCTCTTCTTAATTTTTCAATGGCTTCACTAACACCATCTTGAAGCTTGTCCTCAATAGCAGAAGCACCAATGAGATCAAAACTATGTTCAATGGATTCTCCAACCTCTTCCACCTTCTTTGCTCTGTCCGACAATGCACTCTTGGCAATTTGGTACTTTTCACTGAACTGTTCATAATCTTTCTGGTCCATCCATTTAAACGAATATAATAGGGTTCTAAGTCCTTCGGTAGAAAATTCTTCAACATGTTCCAAGGTCTTCTCTATCAAATACTCATCATTAACAAGGATTCTATCGTCCACTACAAAAGAGTATTCTGTTTGAGGAATTCCATTTGTTGAATCAAGACTGTACCTTTGTGCTTGTTGAAGATGCAATGATTCCCGTGCCCTCTGAGCTACATCATTAACCTCGCTTTCATCTTTCGTCATCAAATAACTGTCTACTGACTTTATTGTGTCAGCTATTTCCGGACTAGAAGGACCACTCAAATGAAGACTTTTTCTAATAGATTTGATTGATCCAGTGGACCTTCTGACCTCTGCTTCCTGAGAAAATCTGTCTTGTAAAACGACGTCCGCTTCCATCATTTTTCTCTCCGATGCATTTAAGGAGATCTCCTTGGCTTTTGTCTTGGCCATTTCGGAATGTTTCAACCTTTCAATAATCACATTATCAGCACCTTTGCAAATTACACAGATTCTATTATCTGGAAACTTCACAATAATAGACATTCTTTTTCTTGTAGAAGAAAACTCGATGACATCGAGAACCTGATATTGCTCGAATTTAGGAGCTTCTTTAAACCCATTTGGATATGTCTTTAATGTTACCAGGTTGTTCTTTTTGTTACAAACAACGAAACCCAAGTCTCTAGCTGCCTCCACTAACGCCTTCTCATCTGGGGAAGATGACTGGTAGGAAATATCTTGATCGTCTTCAAAATCACTAGTGTTTTCCAAAGAGTTCAAAGACCCATCAGGTGGAGCTTGTTTCCTCTTTGGAGAACATGTGCTACACAATGCTACACTTAGCAAGAAGAACTTGGTCTTTCTGGAGAATAAGGTGTTTGGGTGAGATTGGATATACTTTAACAACCCAAGGGAGCTTTCAGAATCTTGCAATTTATTTGGGTTAGCAGTAGATTTCCAGGCAGGGGTGGATTGGGTAGGGCTCAACTCTATACTCTCTCTGACATAAGAAGTGGTGCTCTTCCTCGATGAAACTTCAAATGAGTTGGTACGACTTCCTTGAAGGACTTGCTCATTTATGTGGTCAGTATCAAGAGCTTCTGGCTCAACAAAAGTGAAATTTGCACTATCACTTTCTCTAGATGCAACATCTACATCATGTAACCAGGACATTCCGTTAACACTAAACTTCCTGAAAAACATCAAATTATCCGTCAACGTTCCAGTTTTATCACTGAATATGTAACTCACTTGACCCAACTCCTCCAAAATAGTAGCAGTTTTTGCATCTGCAGGGGTATTACTTTCAGCGTGGTACATGTCAATATCACATTGCAAAAGGAGGAGCTGACCCAACTTGATAATTTCCATGGTAACGTATAGTGAAAGGGGAATTAACGTGTTGTACATGATGATGAAACTCATTAGAGTTGGTGCCGTACCGGCATCTTTCTTGTACAAATACCAAGCTTTGTCTTTGATATCACCATACTTAAATTTTTGGGCCATAAGTGAAAATCCAGATAAAGAAGCCACCACAAACACCATGAAAATGACAATATAGTTGATGTTTCTTTGAAGTTTTGGAGCTTTAGTTCTTGGGTTCTTGATGTTATTCATTCTGATTTTAGTTTCTTCACCCGTGAATATTACCAAACCAAGTACCGAGTTGGTGTTCCTCAAAATCGAACCTCTGTACACAATATTGTCAGGTCCCAAAGGAATTGATTTATCTTCGAGGTTTACCAACCCCTCAAAGTTATATAAATCAGTATTTGGGTCTTCTACGGTCATCAACTCATTAAAGTTCTTTAATCCTGAAGCCTTTGACATCACATTGGAAACGTCTGGAGGAGAAAACTTCGACTTGAGGTTCGTCTCTCCATCCAAGTCCATGGTTTCAATATAAGCTATATCAGCTTCAGTATCATTAAGAACAGACAACAACACAATATCAGCAGGAATCCATTCGTCTTCGCATACTTTAATAACATCACCAACACGAATCTCCTTCCAACGAGATCTTACTTCCTTCAAGTTATACCTCTGAAGCGACTGTATATCATGTGCAGAGAATACCGGCGTCTCCGTATCCTGTACGGATTGAAACGAGACTTCAGAACCATTCATATCAACACTTAAAGTTTCGGTCGAAATGGATTGGGCATCAAAACTGCTCAACAGGTCGTCTTCTTTGATACGCACGCAAGTTCGATTGTTCTCCTCCTTGTCGTGTTTATGTCTCTTCCAGTCATCAAAACCTTCTCTTGCTATCGAAATGGATATAAAGATCATTAAGGGAATAATGGTAGTGAACTTACCGGTGGTGGACCAAGATGGTATCATTTGCATGATAGCTACACACAAAAAGTAACAGTTGGCGATCTTGGAGAATTGGGCCCGCAACTGTTTGGGTAAGAATGAATACCTGGTATATTTTGACGACGTTATCACGTTCGAACAGTACGGTTCGCCCGAACGCTCGTCTATAAGGTCCTTTGTTGTCTCATCGTAGAGGTCAAGACCAAACACACTGTTGATGCCTTTGCTGAAGGAGACGGGGATGACTCTTCCATTTTTGGTGGGTGGGAGCTCTGTTTTGCCCAATATCTTATTCTTGAGCTTCGTCAATGAACTAAAGAGCTGGTGTCGGTGGTGAACTTTTCTTTGCCTAGATATGAACTCAAACGAGCTTGCTTCACTTGCAATGGAGTCAGACAGAAGGTGGGAACTCTGACCATTTAAGCTGGTACTAGAGTAGCCGTATGGGGAAAAGCCGGGTTTGCGGTCGTCATTCAGCTCCTCGATTGTAATTTGAGGAGTTCCTGATCTTTGGATCGGAACATTGAAGTGGACGGATGTGTTCTCAGTCTGAGACATTGAAGACATTTCAATGGAGTCATTTTGTTTGGCGTTAAGTTCAAACACGCTGGGGTTGATCAAGTTTGAGGCGAGCGCTTTGTTGAACAATTGAGTTCTTAAAGATAGACCTCTTTTACGCCTTGCTTGTGGAGTACTGGATGGAATCAGGAGATGGTTTGGGTTGGAGGACGAGTCGGGGCTCGGCCCGCCCATGCCATCCGTATCAGTGTACGGGGTAGAAGATACATTATTATCAGACATATGATATGAATTTTCACCCTAAAACGCAGCCACCAATTGCAGTTGGGAAGTTATGGGCAGATGTTTGTGGTTATAGCCTGGCTGTGCTAGAAAATTTTCGCATTTTTAGATCGGATCTACGTATCGCAGAGCCAAGCAAAGTACAGATATCTTAAGGGGAAGCACTACCCGATATTCGTAGACTACTTACAGTTGAAAACGTATATTCAGTTTACTCCGTGAAAATGTCATGGATCTTCCACTAGGTGTGTTTACTCCCTCGAAACGACTTTAGACCCTCTCTCAATTTATTTATAACTCTTCGCAATTGGCTGCAAATCAATTATTCGCTCTACAGTGCTCCTCTAACCCTTTAAGTCTCTTTTCTTTTGTTTCGACACTCCGAGATCGATGATAGAGGATTGAATTGTAATGGTGTTTCTTGGTGTTGGATAACGATGGAAGATTTTATTAGAGAAACTTATCTGTTTCTTAACTTCATTCAACACAGCCGCATTTTTGGGGAAGACGCTGGGTATATACTACAGTCGTTTAACTCACCCACTAAACACCCTCATATCTCATCCATTTGGCTTCTGTGGACGCATCCACAGAATTTCCAACCTAAATCTACGACAAACCAGTGGCTGCAAAAGAATCTGTTAACTATAATACAAGGTGCATTCTTATACGTCGAGGGTAGCTCTGAGTCGGCCAAAACAGTAGTCCTTGTACTCCTCCACAAAGTCAGGGACATTTTTTGAGACCTCCCCACCAAGCTCGCAAATCAACTCTCCATTACCTGCCACTAGCACCATTCCTCGCGGAACTTGGTCGAGTGCCGGGGTGGGTTCGACGAATGTATTGTCAAAGATCAAGCTCGTAAGGTTATTGGCAACCTGACGCCCGTGATAACATGCCCATCCAGCACTCTTGATGATATCAAGGCTCACCAAGTCTCCAAGCACAAAGAAGTTGCTTATAATGTGATCCTCGCATTTCAATTGTAGGTACTCATTGACAAGAATATCGTTTTTGGGGGTCACAAACTGCTTGAGGTGGCCGGCGAGGAGCGAGGTGTTGTTGCGATGGGCCGTGCACCAGATGTTCAAGTCGGAGGTGATGGTGCCGCCACTGGTGGTGGATAAATCCCCTGAGGTAGTTCCCAAGTCTACCGATTTGGGTGCTTCGATCCGTGTGTTGAGGATCACGTTGACACCCGACTGGCAGAGCAGATCAAGGGCAAGCCGCTTGAACTCCTCCTGGAGTGGCTCGGGCGGAATTGATGCGTGGGGGTGGATGAGGTTGATGGTCTTGTGGGGCCTGAAGTGCTTCAAGTCTCCTGCCAACTCGATGCCCACCGCCCCACCACCCACAATGGAGATGGTATTGGCAGCATCGATGCGGACCATGGAGTCGTCCATTTCCCGGAGAAATGACTTGTGAGTGTAGGCCTTAGGAGTGGTGGGCCAGTTACGATCACGGCCAGTTGCCAAAATCACATAGTCAAAGTCCACTACCGCCTGGCCACAGGAAGCCCCAGTGTCGGCGACGAGCGTATACTGGGCCTTGGTCTCATCCAAGTACGTGACGTGGCCCTGGACGTAGTTAACGTTGACACCAGCGAGATTGTTGTCGCTGGTCTCGGCTGGCAGTGGGGCCAATTCCAGCACCACGTCGTCGTTGGCCAGTACCACCCGGTCGATCTTGAAGTTATTCAAGCGGTCGAATGACACGAACTGCGTTTGGGCGAACTCGGTGTCCACAATGCACCGGGGCATTCCAATCACGTTCAAAAGCCCAGCTCGCGGCTCGATAAGGGTGATGGAAACCATGTTTTTATCGGAGTATTTTCCGGGAAACTCCCGGGACTTGGCCTTGAAGTGAGTGACAAATGCGTTGATTGCAGAGAGTCCCGCATAGGCGCCCCCCACCACCAAGATATTGGTGGTGAACGAGACTGGTTGGCTTGTGAATTTGTCAAGAATGGTAGCATCTGAAAATCCAGCAAACGTGGTTGTTGACGACGGAACCGGCTGTGGGGGGTGTACGGCTGTGGTCATGGGGATCTTTGTGGTACGAAAAGGCGATTTGAGGGTGAAGAAAACTCTTGTTCTTCTCGCAAACTGGAAGATGTACAGATACACTTTAGGAACAGATGCGAATAAAAAAGTCGCTATAAAATTATCGATAAAATCTGTGGGCCTCGATGAGAGGGCAACTGGCGGATATATATGATGGTAGAGACATTTTAAAAATGAAAAATGGGGTGTTAGTGGGATGGAAATGATATCCGGATCGATCCGAATCTACTGGTGGGTGTATGGGCTACTTCGATTGAGTTTGGTCTGCTGAGCCCCCATACCGCCCCCTCGTCCTGGTGGATCGTAAACGGGTACGTATGCGGTTCCGACATCGGCAAGCTAGTCGGGTGTTTGATGGGTTGTAATGACTTGATTTATCGTTGGCACACTCGGTCACGAGTAGGAAGGTGACCATGCTGTAGAGGAGTATTTTTTAGGCGACGACAGACAGTAATTGGTGGACTTCCTTCATGAAACTCTCCGTGGTGAAATTTACGGATTTTCTTGGAGTGCGATGCGACACCTCGGAATTTTGTGATCAATTTCTAACGCTTTTTCCAGTGTATGCAATGTGTATTAGTTTTGTGGGATGGTGACACTATCTTCTTTTGGGAATTATCTTATATACGTCTCTCTCTATGTTGTTGATGACTCTTTTTAAGCCGAGTTTGGCCGAGTTTTGTTTGAGAAACTCTTCAAATCGGACTCGCTGGTACTTCAATTCATCGATTAACGGAATTTTTTCGTCCACATTGTAGTAAGGATTAAGAAGAATCTCAAACAAAGGCTGCCATAAAGGCAATTGCCAGTAACGTCTTAAGGAGTTTTGAAGCTTATACTTGCCATTGGGAAGCTTGTTAACGCGAATATAGTCCCCAAATAATAACGTATGGATAGTGGCTGCAATGCCATAGTAGTCTGCTTCGTACGACCAGGTCTTGTGTTCTCGCATTTGGGGGCAGTCTTGTTCATCGGTCCGGAAATCACTCGAGAATTCGGTGCCTTCTGGAAAGAGTGTCAAGTCAATTGCTCGACCAAAGTCAATTAACACCAATCGGGGACTTTGCCATTCATTTGCTTCATGTGCTTTGTTATCATAGTGCTCGGACATACTGAAGGTATTCTTGAGGTCGATCATACAGTTGTCCGCCTTGAGGTCTCCATGTATCACTCCCACCCGGTGGAGCTGCTCCACCACCCGCAAGAGCTCAATCGTGAAGAAAATGCAGAGAATTTCCTCCACCGTATCACCTTCACCTTTGTAGTAATTGACAAGATCAAGCAAAGTTCCTTGGTTCAAGTAGTTGAGAATCAAGAAACTCTCATCCTTATACATATACAAAGATTCGGGGTTCACCAAACGAGAGTCCACCAACGGATCATGTTTGAGTCTTCGGTGGAGTTGGTTGAGGATGTAAAATTCCCAGTTGGAAGAAATCGTCTCTGCCTTCAAAGCTTTGAGCATCCCCACCTCATTTTCAATAAGGTAGACATATCCATATCCTCCTTGGCCCAATTCACATTTCAAAGAAAAGATTTCGTCCCCACAAAAATTCACAATAGAACCGCTAGATCCCTTAGCCACGATCTTGGTATCCTTATCAGTGATAGACCTGAACTTACGTATGGCTTCAATGAAGTGAGTTTTGGTGTTATTATAGCCAGGATATGTTTCAAGTGGTGGTGATATTCCTGACAACAACTTCTCACGTAACTTTTCCAGTAATGGATCCACAACCTGTGGTTGGTTCCTATTTGTGCCGCCAAATGAGTCTATATGTGAAGAGCTGACGATTTGGTCTTGAACTGTGGGTAATTTCGCTGGAGCTTTATGAAGGGTCTCAGTGACAAATTCATCATAGTTGGTTGAGTTGCCTCCCTCAGACTTGTCGTCTTCAAAATCGCTTTCGTGGGGCATTTTGGACACATCGTTAAACATGCTCATAACTTCGTTATTTGCAGCTTTGGAATAGAGCGTTACTGTTGGAGACTGCAAAATGTTTCTTGGTTGGAAGGTGGTCGTATCATCATCTTTCAAGGGAATCGTGAAAGTATCGGTGAACCGTGCATTTTCCTGGTAGCTAGCGCTTTGTGAATCTCCTTGAGTGGGTAAGGTTTCTTCGTGTACCTGACTGCTTAACTCCATATTTTTGGTTCTGCTCAACATCAACAATTCTACCAAAGACACCTCCTCTCCATGTTCTGGGTATATTAAGTCTAGGTTGGCGTGCACCTGTTCGGGCTTTTTCCCCGGTCTCTTGACAATTGTGGATATCTCGTTTGGGCTCGTGAGATGGACTTCATACTGAGTTGCTTCCTCAACCGGAACACCTATATCTCTGTAAACAGGGATCTTGTTCAGTGAGCTACTGCTCAGAGAGGGTCTGATTTGTTCCAATATTTCACCTGACCATGGCCGTGGGGTGAAAACATTCTCCTTCTTTCTGAGTTGAATATCAAGGATATCTTTGGATGGGGCCTTCCCATCGAATAGCTTGTCGGCCATGCGCAAATTGCTGTCGTCGGTGAAAACCGAGATCTTAGACTTCTTGAAGGTAGCAGGCATCGACTCTTCAGGAGATGGGTTTGAACCTCTCTTCAACGTCAACACTCGTTTGACTTCACTATCAGACCGGTCTGTGGTCTGCGACAGTTTCCGTAGTTCAAACTGTTTCAGGGATCTGATGAGTCTGCTCACAGGTCTGGCATTGTTCTGCAATCCTATATGGTAAACGTCCTGGGCATCGCTGAACTTTTGGCGGAGTTCAAGAACCTTAGCAAACTCTTCATAGTAAAGGGACAATTCTCTGCCGATTTCTTTCTTGGCCAAATAGATGAAGATCTCAGTGGGTGAATCGGAATATTTGGCGTATTCCAACCATATCTTTAGGTATCGAGAGTCATTCTTGTACTGATTGAAGTCTCTGAAATCTGTAGTACACTTCTCTAGAATCTCTAACAATCGGCTCTCGGCGTTATTACCTTGTGGATAGCTGTCATGACACCAACGTATATAACGGACATACACCTCCAACGGGTCATCGAGGTCGTCAAGATCTGCCACTTCATCCTCAAACTCTTGTCTCTGTTGGTTGAGAAGGTCTTTTCTATGAGTACCATGCTGTTTCAACGAGTATGTCAAGCTCAGTACGGACCTGCCTCCAGGAAGTGCTTCGATATTCTCTTTCTGTGCTTCAATTTCTGATATGTTCAACGAGGACAGCATTGTTTCAGTTATATCATCAGAGGGCTTTTAGAAAGTAAACAAAAAAATCAAACACCCAAATTCGCGTTCTGCGAAGAACAAGTTTTCATCTTTAATGATTCACCAGGTGATAGCGCTAATTGCGTTGATCTGTGGTATACATGCCAACAACAACTTCTACAATGAGAGCTTGAGCCTCACGCCGTTGGCCCGCAACAATCTTTTGGCCAACTTCAACTTCGAGATCAAATCATTACCCAAGCACCTTTCATACTATAACGAATCCAATGATAAAGATTCCATAGCTGATGCCAGCCACTACACGTACTTCCCGAGATCCATTGGACCGCTTTTGGAGAAAACGAATACCCGTGAACTCCACTTGCGGTTTGCCCAAGGCTGGTGGGATTCCGAATCATGGGGCAGTTTACCTGTAAATGGGTCGAAAAGTGGAGGTACCGGAGTAGAGGTTTGGGCAGTCATCGAAGCTCCTACGTCCAAGGAAGCGTTGAAGAGTTGGTCTAAGCTAGCGGTGCTGCTTTCAGCTTTTTTCTGTGCTTCGCTAAACTTTATTGATGAGTCTATCACCACGTTTCCCATAAATGCTTTTAATCCTGATACTTCAAGTTTCAGCGCTGACCCGGCAAATAAGTTGTTCTTGTTGCGAGCGGCCATGCCAAGCGAGCCCATTTGCACGGAAAACTTGACTCCATTCATCAAGTTGTTACCCACCAGAGGGAAAGCTGGGATTTCATCGTTATTGGATGGTCACAGAGTATTCGATTCATTATGGAACTCCATGTCGATAGATATCCAAACTGAATGCGACGATGAGTCTGAAGCCTGCAACTTCAAGATGGACCAGAGCATCTCGGTGATTGTAGATGTGATGAGATCTTTACGTAAAAAAGAAAATGGCCCCATTCCAAAGCCCGTTGAAGGCGACAAATTACAGTGTGATAAGTCAAGAGGTTACAGTGTCTGGCAGTGTTTCCCGTTGGGGCTTCCCACGGAAATCACGTACAGCTTGCGGGATGTGTTTGGTCGACCCATTAACGGTGGTCCTTTTAGCTCTCAGGGTGTGCCAGTAACGGTGAACTTCAAAGCAGAAGGATGGGATATAAGCTTCAAAGACGGCATGAACAAAGTTGTGTCGCTCTCAGAAAATGATTCTACCTACACTATTTTAGGCGATGATGAGGTGAATATCGACTTTAAAGCTTCAGATTCCTCCAAGACAGTAGGTCTCCAGACTGCACCATTACATGCTTCCAGATCTTTAACCGGATACTCCCAAGACAAAGGTGGATTTAGAGTTGTTTTCGAGAACCCTGGCGACAGTGCTATTAGTTTCGTCTATTTTGAATCGTTACCCTGGTTCATTAGATTGTATCTCAGTACCATGAAAGCCACATCCAAGGGACAAACTGGAACTTATCAGGAGGTAGACTCGTCCGAGTATGTGACATTATCACACTATCAGCCTGCCATAGACAGAAAGAGGCCTTCCCATATGGAGTTGCTTGTGACGGTCCCTGCCAAAGAAACCTTGACGTTACACTATGAATTCGACAAGTCTTTACTTCTTTACGCGGAATACCCACCAGATGCGAACCATGGATTTTCTGTGGAGCCAGCCGTCATCACAGTGTTGGATACCAACCAGAAGAAGGTCTATGAATTGAGAACTACCAGTTCATTGGTGGTGCTTCCTACCCCTGACTTCTCCATGCCCTATAACGTAATCATATTGACAGGAACCGTGATCTCGCTTGCATTTGGCTCCCTCTATAATTTGTTGATAAAAGACGTCATTACCGAAGAGGAGTTTGAAAAGTTTGCTGCTCAAAGTAAGTTACGCAAGTTAAGAGCCAAGATCAAGTCATTAAAGTCTTTTTTGAAAAGTAAATAACTATATATTAATGTCACAAGCTGTCAGATTATTTTGCAGCCTGGCCGCGCTTTTCGTCCCCGAGCCGGAGATCACTGGTTACTATTACATTATGTTTATTGAAGAAGCAGTGTCACGGGAAGACAACTTAGTCCTACGAAGCCTTTGTCTTCCTATAGACTATAGTAACACCAAGTACTTAGCCAAACGCTTCGAGACATCTTTTGACGACCTTTTATCCAAAGATTCTCGCAGTTTCAAATACCTTTACAGCAGAAACGGCCTTATCCAAGAAGGACCCTTCCACAAAGAGTTCCCCAAAAAAGCCACTTCCCTTGACAATGATCAGTTGTACGTCGATACCAATAGTGACTTTTTTGTACGGTGGTTCCCTCGGGATATCGCCAAAATCATATTTCCTGCTATTTACTTTAACGAGCTAGTACAACAGCTAAGGAACGAAAGAAGCAAAACATTGACAGTAGAGTTCATGGGAGGACTGGTGCCTACTTCTTTTGAACGTCAGTTATGTGAGGAACGGAATGGCAACGGGGTTTGGAGTCGAAGAGGCGTTTGGTTTTGTACGTGTCAGAATGTTGATCTTCAGCGTAGAGACGATTTCGGCCCCAAATTCTTTAACACCTATAACGAGTGGTTGTTATGGGACCGGCACCTCTCCCTGGTGGAAGAAAAGGCCCGTCTAGAAGGAGATACCGAGACACTTGGACGAACTGCCAAATGCAAGTCATTCCCATGAGTTAAGAGAATGAACAGGAAATTATTTAGGAAAATGCATCATTTATAGGTCTGTTTATAGGGATAAACTCGACAGCTAGAACGGGTCCTCGTAAGGATCCTCCTCGTCGTAGTCATCGTCTTTCTCGAATTCATATATAATGGCACCTGAGTATGAGCCGAGCTCTTCTTGTGCTTGCATGAACGGTAAGTCCACCTGATCTTTGGCTAATTTCTGCTTCGTGTTTGTAGTCAAGTTGAACGTCGTCAAGTCTTTGAGGAGACTCTCGTCTTCAGCTGAAATCTTTGCTTCTGTTTCTTTGAACGCTTCATATGTGTGGTTCACCGAGTTAATGATAAACCGTGATGTCAAAGCTCTGCCTGACTTTCTACGGTTGGTTAGCGTAATCTTGAACATTGACGAGTGAAGGGCTTTGATAATGGGAGTTTTCAAGCGGCTGATCTCCATATCTATCTCTTCTTCGTCTATTTCTGATGTATGGTAGGGTTCGACATCCAAGATAGAACTGGCAATGTATGTCAACAACGTCATATGAGAAGGGAAATTGGGGTTCTTGGTAGAGCTCGACTTGAAGTCGCCATGGAACACTCCCAATACTATGCTCGTGGGCAGAATCAAGGATGATACAAATGTGGTGAGATCTTCCAATCCCACATAGTTGAGAGAATCAACTATTATCAACGTTTTCCTTGTTAGTAGCGGTGAGGATTCAGGCTTGGTGGTGGAAAGTTGCTTCACCTGCTTTACAATTTCCCCGGCTGTCACATCCATGCAGTCTATGAAGTGTGTGGCATAAGATGGCTTATTGACGGTTTCAAACGACAAGTATACTATGTCGTTATTGCAGTTATGGACGAATTCCTGGATGAGATGGTAGGATGACTGTAACAAGGAGTCTACTACTAACACAAATGGAAACCCATCTTTCAACGAGAACACCCGGTTCAAAAGAACCAAAGAGTTCTGTGTAGACATCAGTGATTGAACCAGAAATTAAATCATCGCGAAACTCATCTCACTCTTTCTACTATCACTACACCAATGTCTCTGCGAAGAAAGAACAAGGGGGAAACATACTCCATGCCGAAGCTGATAGCAGCAGAGCTTCTTCGAGAGTATGAACGGGACGATTCATCGACGTCTGAATCCATCAAAGAAACCATTAAAAGCAGCTATAATAAACAGTCTCACATACTTACAGACACTTTGAATGTGACCACAAACCTCACATACAAAGAGCGAATGAAGCTCTTGAGCGAGGCCGCACAATCACCGATAGACGTGTCGCCCACGAAGCTTGTGGAACCGGGACCTCATCCTCCTAGAAAGAGAAGAAAAAGATGGGATGTGACTCCCGAAGAGAGAGAACAATTGCTCAAAGCTGAAGCTGAGCAAGCAGCTCTTGAGAAATCTACGGAACCAGCCAAACAGTTCTACGAACCGCTCGGTGATAATGAAGAAAACAAGAAGCAAATTGAGCAGAGCATAGTGGTGGCCCCAGAAATCAAAGGATTGGAGTTCTATAACAACACAGATGATAAGTATTTCGGAGACCTCAAGGTCCTCCAGCAGAAGAAGATTCTCACGGGAGACGAAAAAATTGACGTCAAGGTGATGGAATTGCTTCTCAAAGTGAAAAATGGCAATCAAGCCGTCAGAAAAAGATCTTTAAGAGCATTAACAGACCAGCTGAAGACTTTAGGACCCAGTACCTTATTCAAACGGATTCTTCCCTTGCTTATTGATGACACCATATCTGATCAGGAACGTCATATTTTGGTTAAACTCATAGGAAGGATCCTCTTTAAACTCGACGAATTGATTAAACCTCACACCCATCAAATCTTGGTAGCAGTGTCTCCTTTACTCATTGACGAGGACCAGACGCTAAGATTAGAAGCTCGTGAGATTATCTCCAACTTGGCCAAGGCTGCAGGTCTTGCAACCATTCTCTCGGCCTTGAGACCCGATCTAAGCAGCAATGACGAATATGTCCGGAATATTGCTTCCAGGATATTAGCAGTGGTAGCCAACTCTTTAGGATTGGCTAACGTTCTTCCGTTCTTGAAGGCAGTGATAAAGTCAAAGAAGAGCTGGCAGACTCGACATACGGGAATCAAAATTGTGCAACAACTTTGTCTTCAGTTAGGAGCAGGTAATGGAACTTCAATATTACCATACTTGCAACAGCTAGTTGAACTTTTGAGTGCTACGCTTTCAGATGAGATGCTTCAAATAAGGTCAATCAGTGCCATAGCAGTGTCCCAACTTGCTGAAACGGTGGCTCCGTATGGAATCGAGTATTTCGAGCCTGTTCTAGAGCCTGTGTGGGCAGGCATTAAAAGGCATAGAGGAAGGGCATTATCGACATTCTTGAAATGTCTTGGATCGATCATCCCGTTGATGGCACACGATGCAAACTACGAAGAATACTCCAACTATTATACCAGAGAAATAATAGCAGTGATATCTAGGGAATTCAGTTCTCAAGATGATGAAATGAAGTCTTCCATCTTAAAAATCTTACAAAAACTCCCATTATCTCGCCAATTGATCAGAGACTATGAAAAACAGTTGTACCTTCCTTTCATTCGGTACTATTGGAATAGAAGAACTGCTGCCGATATGAAACTCATGTACCGTTTGGTGGTGAATGCAAGTACTGAGCTTGCTCTCAAGCTTGACTATTTGTTGATGGTGGAGAGACTAATTCTTTATACCAAGGATGAAAATGAACAACTCCGTAAAATGGCAGTTGAGAGCATAGCGAAAATCATATCCGCCAAGCCCGAGGAGTTGATCGGTCTGGACCAGAAGTTTGAAGAGCAGTTGGTTGATGGTGTGTTGTATGCTTTTCAAGAGCAAACAACATTTAATAAGGTGTATTTGAATGGATTAGCAACTGTTTGCAACGCTTTGGGAATGAGACTAAGGCCTCACATCAACTCTATTCTTAGTACGGTTCTTTATCAAATTAAGAATAAGTCTCCTGATGTGAGAAAACAAGCATCTCTTTTGATAGGGGCAATTGCCCCAGTTGTGAAACTTTGCACCGAAGGAGAAAGTGAAACGCTTCAGAAGTTGATTTTGATTCTTTACGAATCTCTAGGTGAGGTTTTCCCAGATGTTTTAGCGGGTATTTTGTCTGCTTTAAATGCCTGCCTTGATTCATTTGATGCAGATGATCTTGTGACGTTATCCAATCCCTCAATTCCCCAACTCCTACCATCCTTATCGCCGATTCTTAAAAACAGACAAGAGAAGGTTCAGGAATCATGTATTCTGGTAGTGGGTTTGATTGCCAGAAAAAGTGCTGAAGTAATCAACGTAAGGGAATGGATGAGGATATGTTTTGACCTATTGGATGCTTTAAAGAGTCCTGTGAAAAGAATCAGAGTTGCGGCCAACAGAACTTTTGGAGAAATCGCCCGAACTGTAGGACCTCAAGATGTACTCACAATGCTACTCAACAACTTAAGAGTCCAACAAAGACAATTGAGAGTTTGTACGGCTGTTGCCATAGGTATTGTTGCGGAGGTTTGTTCGCCCTTTACAGTCATTCCTGCGATCATGAACGAATACAGAACTCCAGACAACAATGTCCAAAATGGTATTTTGAAGGCAATGACTTTCCTTTTCGAGTACATTGATGGAAACTTGACCAAGGATTACTTGTATGCCATTACTCCGTTGTTGCAAGATGCATTAACAGATAGAGATCAAGTCCATAGACAGACTGCTGCTACTGTAGTCAAACACATCACCCTAAATTGTGAAGGCTGTGTCACTGATGCCCAGATAGATGTCTTTGTTCATTTCATGGATCTCTTGATGCCCAACATCTTCGAGACTTCCCCCCATGTCATCAATAGGATTTTAGAAGCCATTGACTCCCTCAAGAATATTATTGGCTACGGAAGGTATATGAACTATATCTGGGCTGGGCTTTTCCACCCGGCGAGAAAGGTGAGAGCATCCTACTGGAAGCTCTATAACTTGGCTTACGTTCAGCTGGCTGATGCCATGGTTCCTTACTACCCCAAGCTTCATGATATCGATGATGTTGGTTCAAGCTACGCTGTTGAGGAATTTGACTTGTTCATTTGATATTAAATGCAGGGGGATAGGAATGAGGTGATGGAGAAGACGAAGGAGCATAAATTTCTTCGTAGTTATATTCTAATCCAGAAATGTCATTGAACTGGTTCGACCTCCATTCCATAGTTCTTTTATAGTTAAGAAATGCATTCCCATCACAAACAGGTTCTGTATCACTCAAGTACTCGCTAATATAGGCTCTGGTGATGAGCTTTGCTTCAAAATCAATGATGTCTAAGTCTTCGTATCCACCAAGTTCGTCTTCAGGGTCTTCAGGATACGCAGTTCCATGGAGACACGCGAATGAGTGGTCCCATTCGGGGTAGTAGATACCAATGGGGACTAACGGCAACCACTTTTCAATCTTCTCGTCGAAATGCACATTTTCATCGTTTTTGGGGTCAATATTTGACCATGTTGAAAGCTCAGGTTGGATCTCATTTTCAGACTGAGACATTAATATCGATGGTATTTTCAATTTTGGGGGTGTACTTCTGTAAATAGTCTGATCGACGGTTCCAGTAGTGAGGTTGAGGTATTCAGGTATAGATTCGTGAAGCAGTGGTTTGGTGGTATATGGTGGAGGTATTAGTGAGGTCAACTGGAAATCTGATTCAAAGGGTGCAGAAGTGAACTCGGACTCACGAGCCTCAGTAGAGTACAAATTAACAAATGCACCTTGTTGATGTGCCTCCTCCTGTTGGTATTGCCTGAGCCTGTTCTCAAATCCTTCGTAGTACGAACTCTGCATTTTTGAAACCAAGGCTGCAAAAAGGTTTGTGGCAGCTTGGGTTCCAAATTTCGCAATCACAAAATTCAGTCGCGAAGATAACCAAACCTCATCTTATTGCTGATAGATGGGAGTAAATTCGTTATGGGATATTTTGGGCCCCACAGCACGGCCTGTGCGACTCGAAGCACTAACAAGAAAGAGGTTGGCGGTGGATGCGTCTATTTGGATCTATCAATTCTTGAAAGCTGTCCGAGATTCAGAAGGTAACACCCTTCATCTGTCACACATAGTTGGATTCTTCAGAAGGATCTGTAAACTCCTTTACTTTGGGATCCAGCCAGTATTCATTTTCGATGGAGGGGCTCCTGCTTTAAAGCGCGATACAATAAAGAAAAGGAAAGAGAGACGAGACGGTAAACGAGAAGATGCTAGTGAAACAGCCCATAGACTCTTGGCTATCCACGCGCAGAGAAGAGTTCAACAACCCAAAGAAAATAACGATGACACAGTCTACCTTGAAGATTTGCCCGGGCAGCATCCCAACCATATTCAGCATTCTCCTTCTCGAACCGGTAAGAGGTTTGTTCCATCAGATGAGTACCATCTCCCGGAGTTGAAGAAAATAAAGATCCGAGAGTCAGACGAGAGACTTCTCCCAGATGAAGAGTATCGTGAGTTGGCCCTGGAATCGTTTGATATTGTTGATGGTATAGATATCAACTCTGTGAATCCCAATTCTGAAGAGTTTGCTGAGTTACCAATGTCCACTCAGTATATGATTCTTTCCCACCTTCGATTAAAATCTCGGTTGAGAATGGGGTTTTCGAAGGAACAGCTAGAGAATATCTTCACAGACAGTATGGACTTCTCTAAGTTCCAAATCCAGCAAGTGCAAAAGCGGAATTTTTATACCCAAAGGTTAATGGATGCCAGTGGGATGGGAGAGGATGGAAATGCAACCAGACGAATAGCTGGAGAAAAAGACCGAAAGTACGCGTTGATTCGAACAGACGATGGGTGGGCACTTTCGTTGGGTCAAGAAGATGATCATCAAGTTGTGGAGAAAGCACCCGTTGAGTTGAATCCTCAATTCCCCGAAATCATCAACATTTCTGATAAATCAGAAGATGACATTGAAGTTGGTGATGAGGACGACGATGACGATGATGACTTCGAAGATGTTTCAATAGGTGAGGCTCCAGTGGAAAATGCTGAAGACCAAGAGCTTAATAGAGCTGTGATAGAGTCCATATATGAGCAGTATGAAGATAAGCCAGTATCCAAAGCCACTGATGAGTTTTCCCAAGATGAGTTGAAATTGGCAATCGAGAAGTCCAAGAAGGAACTAAGCGTCCTTGTACAGAGAGAAGAGGCTATGATAACCAACCAAACAGTGGAGCCTTTTGACTTTAACTTTGGGGACTCTTTATTGTTTTCTAGTAACCAACTGGCAGAGCCTGTTAATGCCTATCCTAAATCTCATAAACCTCAAAAAGAAGTTCCAGAAACCATTGTTGAGGAAGAAGAGCCCGAAAGTTATTATGATAGACTTGGACGTAAAGAAAAAGAGCTTGAACATCTAGATCAATTGGAGGCTTTGATGGAGAGTGAAGAAGAAACTGATAAAAAGGACACTGCTAAGCAGAATTCTGTCCCCGAGTGGTTTAATGAAAAGCTAGAAGCAAATTCCGTATACCAGAATTTTCAAGCTGAACGTGAAGACTCGGTTGAAAAGGACGAAGATGTGGGCTTAATCCCGTGGGATAAGGCTAAGGAGATGCTCGATAACGAACTGGAGGATGAGGATCCGCATGAGGTTGAAGAAATAAGCCATACTAATCTAGTAGACTCGGTAGAAGATGAGCTGATTGTGATCTCTGAAGCTAACACCCAAGGGATTGAGGATCCTGTCGATGTCCCTGAAGTCGAAGAAAAGGATACTGAAGTCGATGTGAAAGTTGAACCTGTCGAAGAGACGAGCTCGAAGACTTCCAGGAAGGATGGAGTGCTTGATTATGTTTTTGTAGATGATGAGGATGAGTTGGCTGATAGACAGTTACTTCAAGAGGAAAAAGATCACGACAAGTTGAAACGGGACATAGCTGCTCACCATGAACCATTGCTAAACATCACCACTTCCATCACCGAGGAACAGCTTCTCCAAGAACGATTATTGAAGCAAAAGAGAGATTCGGAAGAGGTCACCCAAGCAATGATCAATGACGTTCAAGAGCTATTACGGAGATTTGGAATCCCTTTTTTGACTGCTCCAATGGAAGCTGAGGCCCAGTGTGTCGAACTACTCAAGCTCGGCTTAGTTGATGGTATAGTAACAGATGATAGTGACACTTTTCTTTTTGGGGGTGATAGGGTTTACAAGAATATGTTTAATCAAAAACAGTTTGTTGAATGCTATTTACTGGAAGACGTATCAGGAAAGTTAGGTTTGAGTCAAGAAAAATTGATTGAATTGGGTCTCTTGTTAGGAAGTGATTACACTGAGGGAGTGAAAGGGATTGGTCCCGTTCTTGCAATGGAGATTTTAGCTGAGTTTGGAAGCTTGCACCAATTTAAAGAGTGGTTTGATGACTGCAATTTAAGAGCTAAAAACGATTCCAGCTCGAGCCTAAAAAAGAACCTTTTGAACCGGATCAAAAACAGCAAACTCTTTCTTCCACCTCTGTTCCCAGACCTGGTGGTTTTTGATGCCTATATTCATCCTGAAGTGGATCACAGTAAAGACCCCATTAAGTGGGGGGTTCCCGATCTTGATCTGATCAGATCTTTCTTAATGTACAATGTTGGATGGTCCCAAGGCCGAGTGGATGAGGTGATGGTGCCTTTAATAAGAGACTTGAATAGGAAGTTAAGAGAAGGAACTCAGTCTACCATTGGAGAGTTCTTCTCTACGTCATATATTCAGTCGAAGAGAGAGGTGCAGATTGGTAAGAGGATGAAGGCAGCTGCAACTAAGTTAAACAAGAAAGCAGCGAAGGATGGTTTATAAGTCTATACGAAATTATGATCTCATGAAGTACATTTGTGTAGAAGGTGCGCGGTATTTTCTCAAGTCAATCTCACAGCTGATGGCAGAGTCGCTCTCTAAGATATCATCCATATTTGAATCTGCCAAGGATATCGCCATTGAAGCAGCAGTCTCTGCTTCTTCAAGGCTTGCCGATACTCCCACGTCACTGCGACCCCAGGAAATCAGGAAGTTGTTGAGTTCGAGAGTTGAAAGAGATGTTTTGAACGGAATGAAGTGTGTGATATCATTGGTATCCAGAGGCGAAGATGGGCTCCCATACTTTGCCGAAATAGTCAAAAACATCACGTCGTCGAATTCTAAAGTCAGAAACCTTGTTTTAGTTTATTTGACAAGGTATGCTGAAGTTGAACCGGATAAAGCCTTGTTGTCGATAAATTCAATTCAGAAGTTATTGGACGATAAGAGTCCTGCAACCCGTGCCAACTCCGTCAAGTCTTTATCGGGGATTAGGATTCCAAGTATCATTCCCATATTACTTGTATGTTTGAAGAGAACCATTAATGACAGATCTCCGTTGGTTAGAGCTTCTACGGCTATAGCCATTGCGAAGGTGTATGAGATTGATAAGACCAGTTCCAAGCAACTTTTTGAGTACATTACCAAATTGTTGGCTGATTCAGATGCTCAGGTGGTTGGTACAGCTATCAAAGCGTACGTGAAGATGACGTCTCGGGGTGACTCGCATACTAAGAAATGGGCCCCAATACACGGACATTTTAGAAGGTTTTGTGAGATATTGCCAGAGTTTGACGAATGGGCCCAATCTACTTTCATAGACCTATTGACTGACTATTCGAGAATGTTCTTAGCCAAGCCCAAATTGTACATCCAAGATAGTCAAAACACCATTATTGATTTGCCCGAGGATTTCTCGGCCATTGCCAATTACGACTATGACATTTCATTCGATGAAGATATGGGTTTATTTCTCAAGTCACTCAGAAATTTGGTATACTCAGACTCTGAATTTGTAATATTGAGTATCCTCAGGGCTTTATTGGCTTTGGCTCCTCCTAAAACCATAAAAGAATTCGATTTGGGGTCGACTCTATGTGCAATGATATCGGATCTGGACAATCCCCAGGTTAAGTTGCTTGCATTACAAACGATATCGGTTATGATTTCTAAAGACAAAACCGTGTTTGCCCCTCATTATAAGAAGTTCTATATTTTCACATCAGATACAATAGAGGTTGCAAAACTCAAGCTTGGAATCCTATCATTATTAGTGGATGAAAGTAACATCAAATATGTTATTGAAGAACTAAAGTATAATGCTCTCAATAACTCCGACTCTCTTGTTACTAGTGAGGCGATGAGAGCTATAGGCCGTTGTTCAGGAGTTTCAGATACATGGAATGACAAGATATTGAAGTGGTGTTTGAAGAATATTAGAAATGCAAGTGGAAGTGCATTGAATGAGCTATTGACGGTTATACGATACATGATTCAAATACAACAACAATTGAAATCTGTGGGTGATTCGAGTAACAAAAAAATAGCAAGCATAGTTTATAATTTGTCTTTGATCTTGTATGATGAAGGCTTGAACTTAGAGTCGGATGCGAAGGCAAGCATTATATGGATCATTGGAGAGTTCACCAAAGAGTGCGATAACCAAATAGCCCCTGATGTTTTAAGAAGGTTCCTCGAGGGTTTTGCAGATGAACCGGAAGAAGTAAGATACCAACTTCTTGTGCTTTCGGCTAAGCTCTTTTCACTCAAATTGGATGAAATTCATGAGATTGGATCCAGTTCATCTGAATTTCTCCAAAATGATATCATTTCCAAGATGTTCCAAAGAGTTTTGACTTTGTGCAAGTACGATTCCTCATACGATACACGGGACAAGAGTAGAATGTTCAACATTCTCCTCAACTCAGGACATGACAATTCCCAATTAGCATCTTTATTCTTACAGGTTCCCAAGCCTGCTCCCATTTTTACTTCATTGGTCTCCAACTCCATTGAGAGCAAGGTTCTCGTAAAATACCTCAAGACCAGTGCATGGGCTGATCAGCTGGAACTCCCTCCTGCATCCATTAGAAAGCCGGCTCCGGTGGTGGAAAACAAGCTCAATGGAAGCACCGGTGTTTCCTCGTCTATGATCAGCAAAAAGATTGGCGAGCTCCCCACCTCGACTACAGGAATCTCGTCTAGCCTGTACAATAATCTCACAACCAAGATCCCTAAGCCCACCTACCAGCTCCAAAGTTTGGACGAGTTTTTCGGTAGTGAGGAAGAAGAGGGAGACTCCCTGGATGAAGAGTATCTGGAAGAATCGCTGGAAGAGGATTTTCTGGAAGAAGAACTGGCAGCCTCAGCAAACCCGAATTCCTCGGATGTTGGTAGCTTGCATCACAGCAATGACAGTGAAAGTGACGCAGATGACAATAGCTCTGGCAATGGTGACGACGCAAAAAGCCTATTAGCATAGGTATATGGTCGCCTTGAAAGATAACTGTGCCGAAAAGTACATGTAATCAGCTTTAGAGTTTGCGCTCTAAACCCTCAATTCACGTTCTTACTATGTGTAATGTTTTCTGGGCTGTACAGTGATCCTAACGCTTCACAAAAGGCCTTCTCGAAGCCAAAGTTTAGAGTTAAATAATTACTTAATCAGAACTGTGTACCCCTTGCTCGTACTTATTTTTGCTTAGTTAGTAGAGCGCTGTCCCGAACAGGTCTGGAAATAGAGTTTATTTCAATTCAAGTCTGGAAAGCTTTTTAGATGACCATGTGAAGTTTGTCCCTGAATTGCTGCAAAACGCGCTTGCTTAAGGGTCCTATTTTTGCCCGGAGTTCTAAAAAAAGAAGGTTTCCAGTGACTCTAGTGTTTCTGACTTTGGTTCAGGTGCCACGTGAGGGATCTGATTGGCTACCTGGCTCTCTAGCCCTGAGTTCAATGACTTTTTTTAAGCCCTCAAAAGTTCTTAAAGCTTAAGCTGTACTAGACGGGGATGGCGAAACTTTAAGTTGCGAGGTTGCAAAACCGATGGTAGCAGTATTAGACAACAGTAGCTGAAAATAGATATTGTTTCATCCGCCCGAGGAGTTCATTCCGATCCTACCACGGTGCCCATCCCTATAAATGAGTATAAAGTTGGCGACTTTGCACAGTTCTTTTTGTCTTCTACAGAATTAGTCGCAATGCGTACCAATATTGCATCCACTCTCGCTTTATTCCTTTTGCTTGTGGTACCAGTTCAATCGTTCTTATTTGATTTCACTGACTTTACCACTTGGAAAAAAGGCCTTAAGAATAAGTTTTGCTCCAAATGGGATGTTTACAGTAGTGATGATGGATCTACCAAGAGAAAGAGAGACATGATTGAGGCTAGAGATCTTGGATCTTTAGCTCCAGCTGCAGCTGTTGTCGTTACCGATGTTGAAAAGTTTGCTGATGATCTCTTTGGAATCGTGGTGAATTTCAAAGTTGACAAGGCTGAAGAGCTCGACGAATTGAAGGATAAGATCAAAAGTTTAGTTATTAGTGGAACTGATACTGACGACAATGAGGTTTCTATTGTGGAAAACGCGAAGGCTTCGGTTGCAAATCCACTTCAATGGTCTGCTAAAATCCTTGTTAAGCCTTCAAAGAAATTCAACAAGTGTTGTTTGCCTAATGACTTCAAGATCAGTTTGGAATGGCTCAAGGATGAAAAGGACGAACTTATTAGTGATATCCTTGGAGTGTTTAAAGACAAAGTTGAATATTTTATTGACGAGGCTAAAGATGCTGTGGATACCTTCAGCCCTGCTAACTTGATTAATGATATATTCGGACAAGATTTGAAGAGAGATGTTGGGGTTGAGGAAAGAAATCTTGGATTTTTGACAGATATCATTAAAGGAATTGGAACTAAAGACTGTAGTCTTCCAAACTTCTGCTGGAAATGTGACTGTCCTGTGACCTCCACTGCATCTAGCAGTTCTACTCCTGTTAGCAGCTCTACCCTGGTTAGTTCCACCATAGAGACTTCTAGTTCAGAGACTTCTAGTTCAGAGACTTCTAGTTCAGGAACGTCTTCTAGTTCAGAAACGTCTTCTAGTTCAGAAACATCTTCTAGTTCAGAAACATCTTCTAGTTCAGAAACATCTTCTACTCCAGAGACTTCTAGTTCAGAAACTTCGTCAACCCCAGAGACTTCTAGTTCAGAAACGTCTTCTAGTTCAGAAACATCTTCTAGTTCAGAAACATCTTCTAGTTCAGAAACATCTTCTACTCCAGAGACTTCTAGTTCAGAAACTTCGTCAACCCCAGAGACTTCTAGTTCAGAAACTTCGTCAATCCCAGAGGCTTCTACTCCAGAGACTTCTTCTGCCCCAGAGACTTCTTCTGGAACTACCGAAAGTTCTGTCCCTACTGGTCCCACTGGCGGAAGCTCTACTCCAACTGATTCCACGGGTACTA